GAAGGTTTTTCTCTCTGTGGGAAGTGGGGATTTCAAGGAGCGAGAGATGTTTCTTTCCAGCGTGATTCACCTCCAGACCTCTTCGAGCACGGCACATGCAACTGCAAGGATTAATTTGTTCCCATCCCCACCTGGACACAGCCCAGCTGGCTGTGCTCCCTCAGGCCTGTTTGTGCAGAGGAGGGACAGCTGCAGAGATTTAAGAAAAGTGGATTTCCTGACAGTATTTCTCTGCAGTCTTTCCCTCCTTTGACTCACAAGGCAGTGTCTCCTGTAGCTGTTTCCGTCATAGGCAGGACCTGCCTCATCTGGAAATAAAGATTAACTATTTTAAGTGGGTTTTTAAAAACAGAGGGTTTGCCAGTGGAGGGGGCGAGTTGCAGAGAAACGGGGGGAGAAGAAAGAGAGCATCAGGTGTTTGATGAGCTGCACCTTCTGGACTGCAGGGAAAAGTCACTGCTGGCAATTCCAGAGGTTCCAAAAGTGGGAAGAGGATGCTGAACGCAGAGCAGGGACCGGGCTATGCCTGACCCGCGGCACGGTCAGTGCCGGCTCCGGGGCCGGCTGTGCTCCCGGGGCTGCCCGAGCGCAGACACAGGGACAGACGGGCAGCTCCGATCGGGCTCCCGAACGCGGAGCTCGGCCCCTCCTGCCCCCCCATCCCCGGGGCACCGGCCAGACCCGCCCCGCCGGAGCCGCCGGCCGGACCCGCCCCGCCGGAGCCGCCGGCCGGCCCCGCCCCGCCGGAGCCGCCGGCCGGACCCGCCCCGGGACCGGCGCAGGGGGGACGGGCGCGTGCGCGGGACACAGGTGCGCGAGTCGGCAGGGCGCGTGCGCGGGGCACAGGTGCGAGGGGCGGGCCCGAGGTGATTTAAACTCCCTTGAGGCGCCGCGGGCGCCATTTTGCAGCTCTGAGCCGAGGCGGCGGCTGCGGCTGCTCCGGGCTCCCCGAGCGGGGCCCAGGTAGGCGCGGCGGCCTCGGCCACCCACCTCTACCCCTCTGCACCTCTCCTTCCTCCCGTCCTTCCCCCGTACCTCCCTCTTCCCGCCACCTCTTTTCTCAGAGCCGGTCTCCCCCCTCCTTCTTCTCTCCTTCCTCCGCCCCTCCTGCTCCCCCTGTCCTGGCTCTCTCTCCCTTCTGTCCTGCACACCCCAACGCCCCCCGTACCCCTCCTCCTTTCTCTAACCCGGCTTCCCTCTCCCCACTCTGCACCCCGACCCTCGTAACTCGCTCCGTCCCTGTCCCCCCGGCCCACCCTCCTTCCTCCCCTCCTGCCTGCCCTGTCCTTTCCCCACTGCCCAACCCCAATCCCCCACCATTCCCTCTCTATTCCCCCTGAATTTCCCCTTTATTTCCTCTCAATTCCCCATCTATTCCCCCACCATTCCCTCTCTATTCCCCTGAATTTCCCCTTTATTTCCTCTCAATTCCCCATCTATTCCCCCACCATTCCCTCTCTATTCCCCCTGAATTTCCCCTTTATTTCCTCTCAATTCCCCATCTATTCCCCCTCCATTCCCTCTCAATTCCCTCTGTCTCCCATCTGTTCCCTCTCCATTCCCCCTCTATTCCTTTTCAATTTCCCCTTTATTTCTTCTCAATTCCCTCTCTATTCCCTCTCAATTCTCCATCTATTCCCTGTTTCCCCTGTATTCCCCCTCAATTCCCTTTCCATTCCCCCTCTCTTTCCCGTCTGTTCCCTCTCTCTATTCCTCCTGAATTTACCCTTTATTTCCTCTCCATTCCCCCTCCATTCCCTCTGTTTCCCACCTGTTCCCTCTCTATTCCCCTCTATGTCCACTCTATTCCCCCTCCATTCCCCTTCTATTTCCCGTCTGTTCTCTCTCTATACCCCCTGATTTTCCCCTCTATTCCCTCTCAATTCCCCCTCTATTTCCCGTCTATTCCCTCTCTATTTCTCCTGAATTTCCCCTTTATTTCCTCTCAATTCCCTATCTATTCCCTCTCAGTTCCCCCTCCATTCCCTCTCAATTCCCTCTGTTTCCCATCTGTTCCCTCTCCATTCCCCCTCCATTTCTTCTCAATTCCCCCTCTATTTCCCATCTGTTCTCTTTCTATTCCCCCTGATTTTCCCCTTTATTTCCTCTTAATTCCCTATCTCTTCCCCCCTATTTCCCCTCTATTCCCCCTCCATTCCCCCTCTCTTTCCCCTCCATTCCTCCTTTGTTTCCCCTCTGTTCCCCCTCTATTCTCCCTCCATTCCCTCTCAATTCCCCCTCTATTTCCTGTCTATTCCCACTCTATTCCCCCTGATTTTCCCTTTTATTTCCTCTCAATTCCGTATCTATTCCCCCTCTATTCCCCTTCTCAGTTTCCCTCCGTGTCCCCTCAGTTCCCTTTATTTCCCCTCTATTCTCTATTTCCCCTCGATTCCCCTCTCTCCTTTCTCCGTCTGCCCTCGCTGTCGCCCCCTGATCCCCCTCCGTTCCTCCTTCCCTGCCCTCCTCTGTGCCCCCTCCTCGTCCCCCTGTCCCCCGTGCCCGTGTCCCCGCAGCCGCGGGCTTGGGGGCGCCGCTTTAATAAAGCCGCGATGGCCGGACCCGGCGCCCCCCCTGGATCCCCCACACGGGGCCGGGCCCGCTCGGCGGGTCCCCCCCTGCAGTTCCCAAGCACCGCCCGACACGGCCGGGGCTCCGGCCCGTCCCGACATCACACTTGGGGCTCCGCGGGCGGGCGCGGGGGGCGAATCCTGCGGGATCGGGATCGGGATCGGGAACAGACGCTGTTTGGGCTCTGTTCCCGGCACCGAACCCAGGGGCCGTCTTTGGGGCGGGGGGAGGCGGGCGGGCAGGGGATGAGGGTCCCTCCGAGGAGGGGCCTGAGGAGGGAGGAGGGCGGGGACCCTCCGGAGGAGGTCCCGGGTGGAGGGAGGAGGAGGAACTCCTCCTCTGCTCCTCCCCTCCTGGGACTCCCTCCTCGGGGCGGTCGGGGCAGGGCCCCTCCGGAGGACGGGGTCCTGGGGAGGGGTCAGGAGGCCCTCCCGGGAGGGGGTCCTTCTCCCCCGGACGGGGTCCCGCCTGACCCCTCCACCCGGGACCCCCGTCCCCCGGAGGGGGCCCCGCCGGGGAGTCGAAGGGGGGAGCCCCGTGCTGTGGGTTCTGACGTGACCCAGTGGCAAATAACGATTCCATTCATTTGTTTAATAAATTTGATTTATTGGTTTATAGCTGTGTATTGTCCTTTATTTCATATACTCGATATATTATTAGATTAAAAAATTTATTACGTTGGGGTACATATATTCGTATCCATAATAGCATATACACATAATATACACATTGTATATAACGTATATAATCTATACATTAATTGATGTATACATTAATTTATATATACATTATCAATAACGTATATAGTCTATACATTATCCATAACGTATATAATCTATACATTAATTTTTATATACGTTATCAATAACGTATATAGTCTATACATTATCCATAACGTATAAAGTCTATACATGAATTTGTATATACATTATCAATAACGTATGTATTCTATACATTAATTGATGTATACATTAATTTATATATACATTATCAATAACGTATGTATTCTATACATTATCCATAACGTATACATTCTATACATTAACGTATATATTCTATACATTATCTATAACGTATACATTCTATACATTAACGTATACATTCTATACATTATATATACTGTATATGTGCACCTCTCATACGTTTGCATAACATACATAAAAACCATGGATTTTTTTTTTGGGATTGTGGGGGTGTTCAGCATATAATTCTATAGAATCAAATTTATAATTCATATGTCACATCATCTATATTGCATTTATACACACGCATACAATGTGCTCATATATCATGGTGTGTTTGGTTTTCATATAACATTAAACCTTTACATTTGTACATGATCATGTAGGTACCTTATTTTTCTGTGGGTTTTTTTTTTTTTATTGTGAAAATTTTATACTTATATACGAGAACCGCTTGGAGTCCTACCCCCTTCTTCCTTCCCCCTCAATTCACCAAAAACGAACTACGTGACAATTTCTATGGGAACTTGGAACTTATATATAGGAACTTACATAGGGAAACTTTTGAGTTACTTATATATAGAAACTTCCAACTTATTTATGGGAACTTTTATATACGTGGGCATTAGGGATCTGGGAACTCAGAGCTTGGAACTTATATAGAGGAACTTTGAACTTATATAGCAAAACTTTTAGAGAGTAGGACTTATATATACACCTCTAAAACAAGAGCACATACATATATATATATATATATATGTGGCCCCTCCCTCCTCCCTCCCCCTCCCTCTTCCCCCTTCCCCTCTGTACCTCCCCTATCCTCCCCTATCCCTCCCCACCCCTCCTCCTCCCCCACCCCCATTTAGGATCTACTAACCGTGGGTACTCCCCCCTACCTCCCCCTCAAACCTCCCCCTTCCCCCTCCACACCCCCCTTCCCCCTCCAAACCCCCACTGCCTTCCCTCACGTCCCCTGGTCCTCCTCCTCCTTCCCCGGCCCCCCTACCTCCCTCCTACCCCTCCTCCCTATCCCCCTCCTTCCCCTGTCCTCCCTCGGGCCCCTTTGGCCCCCTCGGCTCCCCCACTCCACTCCTCTCCCTTCTCCGGGCCCTCCTTCCCCCTCTTGGCTCCCCTTGGCCTCCTCCTCCTTGGCCTGCCCTGTTCTGCTCCACCTGGGCCGGCCCTGCCTCTGCTCACCTGGGCCGGCCCCTGCCCTGCTCTGCGTGCCCTCAAAACCGGCCGAGCCGCGCCCGCCCCCCCCTTGGGGAACCAGCTCATCCCAGGGGACGCTCCCAGCGCTGCGCCGAGCCCCGGACCCGGAGCCCAGCACGCCGAGCGGGGCCGGCACCGGAGGACGGTGGGCGGCAATGGAGCTCGGCCGCGGGACCACGATCGGAGGACCGAGGTGAGCCCGGGGCCGGGACAGGGCTCGGCATCAGGCCGGGCACCGGGACCGGCCCCGGGAGTGCCGCCGGGCTCGCTCCCGGTGCCGCGGGCAGGAGCAGCCGCTCCGGGCCGGGCACCGGGACCGAGCCCGGCGGGGCCGCTCGGGCCGGGGCTTGGCCGGGGGAGAGCGGCGGTGCTTACCTCCTGCAGACGCTGAGCCGGGGCCGGCACCGGAGGACGGCGGGCGGCAATGGAGCTCGGCCGCGGGACGGGCACCGGGACCAGGACCGCGACCGGAGGACCGAGGTGAGCCCGGGGCCGGGACGGAGCTCGGTATCAGGCCGGGCACCGGGACCGGCCCCGGGAGCGCTGCCGGGCTCGGCCCGGGAGCGCCGCTTCTGCCCCGGTGCTGCCGGCGGGAGCAGCCGCTCTGGGCCGGGCACCGGGACCGCTCGGGCTGGGGAGAGCGGCGGTGCTTACCTCCTGCAGACGCTGAGCCGGTACCGGAGAACGGCGGGCGGCGATGGAGCTCGGACGGGCACCGGGACCGCGACTGGAGGACCGAGGTGAGCCCGGGGCCGGGACGGAGCTCGGTATCAGGCCGGGCACCGGGACCGGCCCCGGGAGCGCCGCTTCTGCCCCGGTACTGCGGGCGGGAGCAGGCGCTCCGGGCCGGGCACCGAGACCGAGCCTGGTGGAGCCGCTCGGGCTGGGGAGAGCGGTGGTGCTTACCTCCTGCAGACGCTGAGCCGGGGCCGGCACCGGCGGGTGGCGATGGAGCTCGGCCGCGGGACGCGCACCGGGACCAGGACCGCGACCAGAGGACCGAGGTGAGCCCAGGGCCGGGACGGGGCTCGGTATCAGGCCGGGCACCGGGACCGGCCCTGGGAGCGCCGCCGGGCTCGGTACCGCGGGCGGCGCAGCTGCCCCGGTGCCGCCGGCAGCTGAGACCGAGCCCGGTGGGGCCGCTCGGGCTGGGGAGAGTAGCGGTGCTTACCTCCTGCAGACGCTGAGCCGGGGTCGGCACTGGAGGACGGCGGGCGGCGATGGAGCTCGGACGGGCACCGGGACCGCGACTGGAGGACCGAGGTGAGCCCGGGGCCGGGACGGAGCTCGGTATCAGGCCGGGCACCGGGAACGGCCCCGGGAGCGCCGCTTCTGCCCCGGTACCGCGGGCGGGAGCAGCCGCTCCGGGCCCGGCACCGAGACCGAGCCCGGTGGGGCTCCTCGAGGTTGGGGAGAGTGGCGGTGCTTACCTCCTGCAGACGCTGAGCCGGTACCGGAGAACGGCGGGCGGCGATGGAGCTCGGACGGGCGCCGGGACCGCGACCGGAGGACCGAACCCGGGACCGGACTCGGTATCAGGCTGGGCACCGGGACCGGCCCCGGGAGCGCCGCCGGGCTTGGCCCGGCTCGGCTTCGCCGCCTCTGCCCCGGCGCCGCGGGCGGGAGCCGCTCCGGGCCAGCCCCGGGACACCCCCCGAACCCGCCGGGCTCGCAGCCCCGCCGCTCAGACACCCCCGACACCACCGCACCCCTCCCCGGGGACGACATCGCCCGCCCGCCCCTTTCCCGGGGCCGCAGCCCCGGGGGGTTCTCGCCCGCAGTGCCCCCCGCAACGGGGGGGTCTGGGGCCCGCCGGGGCTCCGGGCACGGTCCCGCGCCGGCCGCGGGGAGCCGGGGCTGTGCCGGGGCAGGGAAGAACGGTGGCGGCCCTTTCCTCGTTCTTCCCGTGCTCCGGGATCCCGAGTGGAGCTGCCTAGCTGTCCGCGTGTCCCTGTGTCTGTCCACAGGCAGCCCCGGGAGCTGGCGCTGACTGTGCCGCGGCTCGGGCACGGGCTGGTCCCGGCCCTGCCTTCGGAACAGCTACAGGAAGAAAAAACAGAAAACCTCCTACCTGGCCGCTGCCGCGCCGTTCCCAGGGACAAAGGAGCCAAGCGAGTCCGGAGCGTTCCCTCGCTCCGAAGCACCGGCGTTTGGCCGAGGGTCGCCATCCGGTCCCGTCTGCAGGGGGGCGTCTCCTCCAGGTGAGCGTTTGGAACCCAAAATGCCGGGGGGGCTCAGGTCGGGGCCGCTTTTCGGGTCCGCAGCTGCACGGAGCCCTCGGCGGCTCCTGCTTCCTGCCAGGAATGTTCCCGGGGCTCCCTGTGCCGTCCCAGCCGGGCAGGAACGCGTGGCCGGACGAGGAATGGAGTAACAGGCAGCGACACAGCCCTCCTTGCGCTTTTTCTTTCCAGGGCACGATGAGCCGTGTCCAGCACTGCCCTGCCGGGGCTCACGGCGCTCCGGATCGTCCAGAGCTGGGGAATCCCACCCGCAGCCGCGGGACTCCCGCTCAGCTCGGGGCAGCAGGGATGGAGCAGCTCCGGGCCAGCACTTCCAGCGGGCACGAGATGGATTTGTCTCTTAGGCAAGGCTCGTCTGCAAAACACACAGCCCGGGGCTGGGAACCCTGGACACACCCCGGCCACAGCACAAAAGGACCTAAAGAACAGCAGCTGGCACTCGGAATTGTCAGCAGGGTGTGGCTGCAGAGCAGCAAAGACAGCGATTCCCAGTGCCGAGCTCCCACACAACCCCCAGCTGTGTCCCACACACCCCAAAATCCCTGCCCAGCCAGCAGCAGGGTTAAACAAAGGGAAATCTTCCCTCACTGCCACCACAGCCCAAGCCTGAGCCCTCAGAAATGCCTGAAAATAAAAGGGGATGGTTGGGGGCAATTTCGAGTTCTTTGGGGAGCAAACTGGAACTTTAGAGGGCCGTTCTCCACCCCACAGACCACCTGAAGCTGCTCTCAAACCTTTCTCTGCCTGTCCTCCACCCAGTGCCTCATCTTGACCTCAACAGGTTCCTTCTCTTGCCAGAAAATGACCTGTAATTGTCTGTGCCTGTGACCACTCGTTACCTCAGATCATCTCCATGTGTTCATTCACTGCCCTGAAGAAAATAAACCTCCTTTTGGAACCCCAAAATTTCCCTCTCTGCCCACTCCTGATTACCTCTTTTTGTACCCAAAATAGTCACTCTGTCCCCTAGAGATTCCCTCCTGTTTAACCCCCAAAGGCTTCCCTACTTGCACACTACTCATTACCTCTTTCTGACCCCCAAAGAATCATTCTCTGCCCTGCAGATTTACCCGAGTTTGACTCTCCAAACTTTCTTTGCTTTTTCCCTCCTGACTGCCTCAGTTTATCCCAAAATGTTCCCTCTCTACTGCACGTTGCCACAGGTTCTACCCCCAATATTGTCCTTCCCTCTCCACATCTCATCACCTCGTTTAAACATGGACATGTCCCTGCACTGCCCTACAAAGTACCTCAACTTTACTCTCTAAACTTTCCCTACCTGCCCACCACTGATTATCTCAGCTGACCTCAGGATGTTCCTTTCTTTGCCCTGCAAATAAAACTTTTTTCTAAATCCCCAAAATTTAAACTCTAAATGTTGATTCTCTGCCCTGGATGTTCCCTCAACTTTTACTCCCAAATTCTTCCCTCCCTGCCCACCCCTGACTGTCTCACTGGACCTCAAAATGCTCCTTCTCTCTCCTAGGAGACATTCACATTTACCCTCACACTTTTCCTGCCTGCAAACTACTTATTATCTCCTTTTTACCTCCAAATATTCCTCCTCTGCCACAGAGATCACCTCAAACTGTTCCCCCCAAACCTCTTACTTGTCCACTGCTGCTGACCCCAGTTTACCCCACGATGGACATTCTCTCTGCTCCATCTCACATTCTACAAACAAAATCCTTCCCTCCCTGCCCACCACTGACTGCCTCAGTTTACCTCTAAATGCTCCTTCTGCCCTCTGCACATGACAGCAAGTTGTACCCCCAACCTTTGCCTTCCTCTACATTACCCATCACCTCTTTGGGATGCCCCAAATTTACATTCAGAAATCATTTCTGCATCTAATTAATCACTATTTCCACTTTCCCAGTGAGAAGAACATGAACTCACCCCCACCCAGGCCTGACAGTCCCTGCAGCCAGAGCTCAGCACACATCCAGAGAGGCAACTCCAGCACCTGAAAGGAAGAAAGAGCAACAAAGGGGTTTGTTTTGGTTTAGTCATTTCAAGCCCTTCCAAGCAAAACAAGACTTGCTGTCATGGGTTTACTCTGCGCCAGATTTCTTCTACCCCCTGCACAGCTGCTGTAGGTTGAGAGGTTGATGCAGACAAAAGAGGGATGATAATATTAGGATTTCTTACTAGTGAGCTAAAAACTAAAGAACTGTATCTTTATTATCAATAATAACCAGCCATAAGTGCTGTGTATTTACAGCAAACCCCTCCCTGCTTGTCTCAGTCCAGGAGGAGGAGCAGTCTCTGTTCCATTTCTGGACCTCCAGGTCTTCTAAATAACAAATTCAGCTGCACCAGCATCACTCAGGAATCTTCACACACAGCAGGGGTTTGACTTCTCGGTCTCTTCCCTGCTCAAGGGAGAAGGAGAGAAAGAAAGGGGGAGAGAAGCAGTTCCCCTCCTCTTCAGGCTTCTCTTCTCTCTCTCCTGGCTGCCAGCTTGGACCTTGGAGGCCCCTCAATGGCCCCTGGGCCTGCTGGAGTGCCCACTCCTGATGGCCTCATCTGCCCCTCCCAGTGTTCACTCTGGACCCCGGACATGACCTCAAATATTTCCACCCTAAATGTCCCCACCGGCCCACCACTGATTATCTCAGCTGACTTCAGGATGTTCTATCTCTGCCCTGCAGATAAAACCTCCTTCTAAATCCCCAAAGGTTGAACTCAAAATGTTCCTTCTCTCCCCTCAGGTACATTCACGGTTAACCTCACACTTTCCTTGCCTGCAAACTACTTATTACCTCATTTTACCTCCAAATATTTGTCCTCTGCTACAGAGATTACCTCAAACTGTTCCCCCAAAACCTCTTCCCTGTCCACTGCTGATGACCCCAGTTTACCCCATGATGTGCATTCTCTCTGCTGCATCATCTCACATTCTACAAACAAAACCCTTCCCTCCCTGCCCACCACTGACTGCCTCAGTTTACCTCTAAATGCTCCTTCTGCCCTCTGCACATGACAGCAAGTTGTACCCCCAACCTTTGCCTTCCTCTACATTACCCATCACCTCTTTGGGATGCCCCAAATTTACATTCAGAAATCATTTCTGCATCTAATTAATCACCATTTCCACTTTCCCAGTGAGAAGAACATGAACTCACCGCCACCAAGGCCTGACAGTCCCTGCAGCCAGAGCTCAGCACACATCCAGAGAGGCAACTCCAGCACCTGAAAGGAAAAGAGAACAGTAAAGTGATTTATTCTGGTTTAAAGTCATTTCAAGCCCTTCCAAGCAAAGCAGGACTTGCTGTCATGGGTTTACTCTGCGCCAGATTTCTTCTACCCCCTGCACAGCTGCTGTAGGTTGAGAGGTTGATGCAGACAAAAGAGGGATGATAATATTAGGATTTCTTACTAGTGAGCTAAAAACTAAAGAACTGTATCTTTATTATCAATAATAACCAGCCATAAGTGCTGTGTATTTACAGCAAACCCCTCCCTGCTTGTCTCAGTCCAGGAGGAGGAGCAGTCTCTGTTCCATTTCTGGACCTCCAGGTCTTCTAAATAACAAATTCAGCTGCACCAGCATCACTCAGGAATCTTCACACACAGCAGGGGTTTGACTTCTCGGTCTCTTCCCTGCTCAAGGGAGAAGGAGAGAAAGAAAGGGGGAGAGAAGCAGTTCCCCTCCTCTTCAGGCTTCTCTTCTCTCTCTCCTGGCTGCCAGCTTGGACCTTGGAGGCCCCTCAATGGCCCCTGGGCCTGCTGGAGTGCCCACTCCTGATGGCCTCATCTGCCCCTCCCAGTGTTCACTCTGGACCCTGGACGTGACCTCAAATATTTCCACCCTAAATGTCCCCACCAGCCCACCACTGATTACCTCAGCTGAATTCAGGATGTTCTTTCTCTGCCCTGCAGATAAAACCTCCTTCTAAATCTCCAAAGGTTGAACTCAAAATGTTCCTTCTCTCCCCTCAGGTACATTCACGGTTAACCTCACACTTTTCCCTTTCTGCAAACTACTGATTACCTCATTTTTGTCTCCAAATATTCGTTCTCTGCCACAGAGATCACCTCAAACTGTTCCCCATGATGTGCATCCTCTCTGCTCCTCATCACCTCCCATTCTGCAAACAGAAAGAAGGGGACAGTTGTCAGAAAACATTTCTGCAATATCATTAATCACTATTTCCACTTTCCCAGTGAGAAGAACATGAACTCACCCCCACCCAGGCCTGACAGTCCCTGCAGCCAGAGCTCAGCACACATCCAGAGAGGCAACTCCAGCACCTGAAAGGAAAAGAGAACAATAAAGTGATTTATTCTGGTTTAAAGTCATTTCAAGCCCTTCCAAGCAAAGCAGGACTTGCTGTCATGGGTTTATTCTGGGCCAATTTTCTTTCACCCCCCACACAGCTGCTGTAGGTTGAGAGAAGGTTTGTGCAGACAAAAGAGATGTGATTGGGGAGAATAATATTAGGGTTTATTACTAGTGAGATAAAATCTAAAGAACTATACTTACAGCTATATATAACTATATACTTACTATAACCAGCCACAAGTGCTGTGTATTTACAGCAAACCCCTCCCTGCTTGTACCAGTCCAGGAGGAGGAGCAGTCTCTGTTCCATTTCTGGACCTCCAGGTCTTCTAAATAACAAATTCAGCTGAAAGGAAAAGAGAACAGTAAAGTGATTTATTCTGGTTTAAAGTCATTTCAAGCCCTTCCAAGCAAAGCAAGACTTGCTCTGGTTTCAGGTGGGTGCCCAGTGAGCGGTGGGTACAGGACAGGTCATCAATGCCCACGGGGATGGTGCTTTCTGGGGGAAGAGCAGCTGGCTGATGGCCCCATTCCGATTGCTGCCCAGGACTGATCTGTGCAGGACAAAGCCTCTGGCAGGAAGGGGGTTTGTTCCCTCTAATCGTATTTGTCCTGCAGATTTGCTCAAGTTGGACCCACCTGTCCCCTAGAGATTACATCCTCTTAAACCCCCAAATGCTTCCCTACCTGCCCACTAATAGCCTGTGGAATTGCTCCCTGAGCTGTTTCAAACCCTCACTGCTGCTCATTTCCCCTCACTCACAGTCCTGTCCTGCTACTTTATGTCACGGGGCAGGGATTTGTCTCAAAGGAGGACCTTGTCGCCAAAAGCCAAACAAACCAATCAACTGCGGGGCTTCCACCTCGATCTGGGGGGTGACCAAGTCTAAAGTCTCCTGCCTAGTCCTGGGCAATACTTCCTGATGACACAACACCACTGAGGGAACCGAGCCCTGCTCCCCACCAACCCGGGTCCCCGCTCCCCCGGAGGGGACCCTCATCCCCTGCCCGCCCCAAAGACGAGCCCAAACAGCGTCTGTTCCCGATCCCGGTCCCGATCCCGCAGGATTCGCCCCCCGCGCCCGCCCGCGGAGCCCCAAGTGTGATGTCGGGACGGGCCGGAGCCCCGGCCGTGTCGGGCGGTGCTTGGGAACTGCGGGGGGGGACCCGCCGAGCGGGCCCGGCCCCGTGTGGGGGATCCAGGGGGGGCGCCGGGTCCGGCCATCGCGGCTTTATTAAAGCGGCGCCCCCAAGCCCGCGGCTGCGGGGACACGGGCACGGGGGACAGGGGGACGAGGAGGGGGCACAGAGGAGGGCAGGGAAGGAGGAACGGAGGGGGATCAGGGGGCGACAGCGAGGGCAGACGGAGAAAGGAGAGAGGGGAATCGAGGGGAAATAGAGAATAGAGGGGAAATAAAGGGAACTGAGGGGACGCGGAGGGAAACTGAGAAGGGGAATAGAGGGGGAATGGAGGGGGATTGGGGTTGGACAGGAGGGGAGGAAGGAGGGTGGGCCGGGGGGACAGGGACGGAGCGGGTTACGGGGGTCGGGGTGCGGAGCGGGGCGAGGCAAGGGGAGAGGGAAAGGAGGAGAATCCGGGGGGGCTCGGGGTGTGCAGGACAGAAGGGAGAGGGCGGAGAGGGAGCCGGGGCAGGGGGAGCAGGAGGGGTGAGGGGAGCCGGGGAGCGCAGGGGGAGAGCGGCTCGGGGGAGAAGAAGGCACGGGAGGGAAGGAAGGAGAGGTGCGGAGGAGTCAAAGTGGGTGGCCGAGGCCGCGGCGCTTACCTGGACCCCATCGTGCGGACCCCCCCTCTGCTCACAGCTCCAAAATGGCGGCCGCGCCCCCTCAGGGGGGGTTTAAATCACCTCGGTCCCGCCCCTCACACCTGGGCTGGCCTCGCGCCCCGCCCCTCACACCTGGGCCGGCCTCGCGCCCTCGGCCCCGCCCCTCCCGCCTCGCTCCGCCCCCTGGGCGGGGCCGGCCGGTCCCACAGCCCCGGCTGGAATAACGGGATGGAAACCTCGGAGTCCAGCTGGAAAGAAACATCTCTCGCTCCTCCAAATCCCCGCTTCCCACAGAGAGAAAAACCTTCCTTCAGAAGTGTCCTCGGCGCCTGTTGTGCCTCGGGGATGCTGGTTCAGCAGGGACACGGGGAGCAGCTGGGAACCACAACCCCTCTGGGCTGGGACCAGGACAGCACCCGCAGTATGGACAGACTTTCCCCTAGTTCAACATTAAGCACGACACTGATGCTGCCCGAAGCACCCCAAACCCTTTCCCAGTGCCAGCAATGTCATTCCTGGAAAACAGATCTCCTCTTTGATGCTGATGCTGCTGGCACTTGGGAATGTTGGCACATCGTGTTTGTGGAACAGCACAGACAGCGATTCCCAGTGCCGAGCCCCCAGAGCTCCCAGTATCAACCTGTCCTTGTCCTGATCCCTGGAGCACACCTGGAACACACCTGGAACCTTGGCTGGTTCCTGGCAAACCTGGCATTAAACTGGCAGCTCTACATGGGAACATCTGGGAATATCAGGAGGCCTCTTCTGCCTCCTCGGATGGGGCTGCTGAGGGAGGAGGACGCAGGGAGTGCCCGGTGCTGACCCTTCCCAGGGCCCCACATGTGCCAGGAAAACTGTCCAGTGGTTCCCCTGGAATTACCTCAGCTCTTCCGTCCGAGATGCCACCCCTGTCCCCCCTACAGCACCTCACATTTTACCACAACGACAGCTGAGTCCCCTTTTCAGTGCTACAGGGTTGTCAGTGTTACAATTCCAACCTTCTCCTGAGAACAAGTTGTGAACAGCGGTGAAAGCAGCGCTGCCTCGGCTGTGATCAGCGTAAATGTCTCACCAAAAGTGCCATCTGCCCGGTGCTGGGCAGCCACCCGCCCGCAGGTGACGCTGCAGCAGCTCTTTAGCAGCGAACAGCTCTGTCTCCAGCTCCTTCCCACCCTGACACAGGGGAAAATCCCGCTCTATCCATACCAGTTCCTCTCCTTTCTCCGGCCTGCTGCACCAACAACCACCACAACCACCACACCGACCCACGGGTCCAGCTGGTCTTACCTTTTACCTAGCACAGCTTTATCCCTGCTCCTTAGACCCCTCCACCCTGTGCATCCAGCCCGGGGGATCTCGGGCCTCCCTCTCGTGCCTCTGCTCCGGAAAATTGGGAGAGCAACATCTACACCCTCACTCAAATCACACAGGGCCGAAATGCCCATTCCCTCTTCCCAGCCCCAAACTCTTGTGTGCCTCAGCGCCTCCACCACTGAAAATCTGAATTTCCAGCTTTTCTTTCATGCCAGGTCTCACTCTGCATAAACACACTACCATTTACACTCCCACGTCACACCAACACCACAAAGCCACCAAGGGTTGGTGACAGCCACTCCCTTTTCAAACACCTCCAGGACAAGGATCCCAACGATTCCTCCCCTTTTTGATTCAGGGCCTCATGCAGACTCAATTTACTCTTGCCCAAACGCATCTGCAGTTCTCACCCAACGTTTCCTGCCATTGACGTGACAGCCTCAAGTGCACTACGACGTAAACTCAGGACATATTCATTCCAAACATTCCCTGCTCTAATTCCATTATTTGACTCTTTGCTTTGCTGATATAGCATGGCTGGAAGTGACAGATGTTTCACCCAGCCTCTGGGATATTTCCAAAAACTCTGGGATCCCCAGGACAGGACAGAGCAGGCCGAGAAGGCTCAATTTTCCTTTTACAGACCTCTGTCACTGCTGGATTAGCCAAAGGACACGACCCCTCTGTGGAATCGGTTCTTAAACAAGAGGCAAACTTTGCCCCTTGCCCTGAAGTTAAAAGATAACGGGGATGGAGCCCAGGTCAGCGCTGGGCAAACAGCAGCGCACGCCGTGGGCTGATGGCTGGGCTGCACCTCGTGCAGAGCAGACCTGGCCTTTGAGGGGGTCCTTTACCCAGAACACAACCACAAAAGAAGCTCTGAGTGCTTCAAAGTGGGGCTAACACTGTGTGCAAGCCTGGGGGAACTGAGACTTTCACACCCACAGCTGCCAGCATCTCCCCCACCACCACCCCAGTGATTCCCTGCGCTCCAGTGCTTTGCTCCTACGAACAACAGCCCTCAAGAAAAGTGGGAAGTTTGAAACACAAAGCCTGCAGTGGATTCCTGTCTGATTATATTATAATAATAGAAATATAAATGGTGCCTACATGTTGTGTCAATGGCTGGTTACAGCACTCATCATTTCCCAGCTGTGGTTCAAAAAAGAAAAAAAAAAAAAAGAAAAAGAGAAAACAGAAGCACGCAGTCCAAATTATTAATTCCCCCTCCCTCCTTTTATAAAGGCCTTTGGTGTTTGATAGCGAGGCAGGAAACACCTCCCTGTCGCTTTCTTTCTGCCTTTGGTTTGCCACAGCAACGCTGGGCCACTCCTAAATAAAAACCTAAATAAAAAAAAAGTGGACTTCATGTTCCACTAGCACTCAGGAACGTTCCCCCGGCATTTAGGAACTGTGAAACACCCCCCATCTCGCGGCACCGACACGCGTGGCCCCGAGTGCCGCTCGCTGCCCTGGGCAGAACGAGAGGCCTGATTAATGTTTAACACGCCAGGTTCACGTCTGTCGAGGCATGTTCCACCCCACTGACACGTGTGTGCTGCCACCGGGCCAGCCTGTGCTCACAAACCCCCCACGAGCAGCTCCGTGGGTGCAGCCCCACCGGGGGTGCCCACCGGGAGCTGTGCCAGGGCACGGAGCGGTCCTGGATCACCCCCGGCACGGCCGGAGCTGGGGGAGGCTCCAGCTCCCAGCCAGTGCCCATCCCCAGTGCCCTGCTCGGGGAACAGCCCGTCCTGCCCGCAGTGCCAACCTCAGCCCCGCGGCCGGGCAGGGGCACAGCGATGCCCTGGGAGTGGGGCAAACACGGCTGGAGCCCGGAGGAAACTCCCCCGTGCCGGGGGGCACAGAGATTCACGGCTGTACACGTGGTGGTTGGTCTGTTTTACAAGCATAATAAACTTCTGAGGAGGAGAACCAGGAGTTTGACATTTCAGGTGAGTTCGGAATTTAATTTCCTACAAAATTAATCCTGCAGGCGTTAATTAAAACTCGGGGGTCTTCTGGGTGATTGGAGAAAGAATAATCTCTGAACCCCTGAGCGAGCCTCGAAAGTGAATCACGCTGAACTGACCACAAATTGCATCACTTAAACCTTCACTTGGACACCAAATTAACTAACTTTCTCTTGATTGGTATATGAACACAAGCCTATCTTCTGTTTAATAAAAATAAACATTAATTCACCCAGATTACTAAAACAAGAATCGCACCTGTCCAGTACAACAGCAAGAATTCCAAAAGGGTGGGAAGTGTTGTTTTATTTTGGTGCCTGTAGGAAGTTTTAGCTTCTAAAATAAAAGTGTCCCCAGAGAGCAGCGAGCTGATCCCAATGATTCAGCAGTATCTCCCAATAAATATCCATACATAGATATATAAAGCAGGCATTTGTTGCAAACCAAACCAAAGTTTCCTCCCTTTTCCCTCACTTCAAAAAAAAAAAGCCCTTTAAAAAAAGGTGACTTTTCAGGGGTGGATCTCTTTCTCCATCATTTAAAAGCAAACAAACAAAAAAACCCCAACCAAACATAAAAAAGGCCAAACCAAACCAAACCAAACAAAAAAACAACTAAAAAAACAGGGAAGAAAATTAGTTTCGACCAGCAAAGCAGTTCCTCTCTCCAACACTAACACAAACACCTCGAGACAGTGAGAAATGAAACACAGAAAAGGAATTCTCAAAACCCCTTTTCTCTGAACTGTGGAACTGGGAAGCCTGCTGAGGTTGTGGCCACAGATTCCAAGCCCTGGGCACCTGAACTGGCACGTGGTTCCACAGGCAGGGCATGGAACACCATAAAGGAGATTCTTTATTCTCCAATGCCAGCAAATCCACGCCCTGGAGCTTTGTGCAGGGCATTTTAGCCCTGCCAGGGCTGCAGGGCACAACAGCAACGAGGCCTTCCCCCAAATCTCCTGCCCAGGAGATTAATTTCCCTTTCTCTATTTCTAACCTGCCTTCAGGCAGCACGGAGATGGGGGCAGGCAGGGGGAAGTTTTCTGGCCATTTCTTGCTGATCCAGCACGTTACCCACAGACAATCACCTCATAAAGCTCACCAAATGTAACACATGCCAAGGGACGCCTCCTGTTTCAATTGCCAGCTACAGAAAGCTCAGTCAGCCCATTACAACCCAAAATTAGAAGTCCACTTACTTGTCAATGTAAAGTTTCTCTGGCCAAGTCCAGGAGAGCAGCTGCAGGAACTCCAGAACTGTTGCTAGCCAGTAAATTTCATATCCAGTGCAAGAGGGAAGCTTTTCCAGCTCAGCAGAGCCGGTTCTGGAGTCCTCACCCCACAGAAAGAACCACTTTAGACTGAAAAGAAATCGTTAGAAAAGTCCCTGAGTCACCCTCGCACCTGAGCTGAATTAACATCCAGTGGGATGAATGAACACCTGTGAAACTCACTCCTGTGTTTCTACAGCTCGTAGATTAACAATTCCCTTCCCAAATTTTGGTAAATGACGCTGAAGTTTTCAGTGCTAGGCCGGGGATTGCTGATGGCCCCTCCACCCTGAGCTCCAGACCGATGTTCCACCCATCTGTGTGTGGGTTCCTCGCAGCTGCAGCAGCCTCCCAGCTCCCTGAAGGGCTTCCACAAGTTTTAAGGTTTAAAGCTTTAAGGTCCTTTCCCAGGCGTGTCCCGAGGTGCAGGAATGAAGCCTGGCAGGGACAGGGACAGGGACAGGGACAGGGACAGGGACAGGGAGCGGTGCCACCCTCAGCCCTGGGCACGGACCACGAGGCTCCCCCAGCAGTGATCCCCTCAGCCCCAGGCACTGGGGACAGGCAGAATTCAGGCCACTAAACCCTCCTCAGGTTGTGAGATGAGGATTTAAAGGAGTTTTTTAATTGCAAACACGAGAGCTGAATGAAGTCGCACCCGAGCCCTGTACGATGGTTCAGCTCAGGGGGCACTGATGGAGCCTGGGGTGCCCCCTCAAACCCACCCCAGGGCATCCCCCAGCCGTGTCTGCACTGCTAAACACAAGTTTCACCTGTCCAAACTGCCCAAATTCTGCCCACTGTCAGCCAGAGCTCGCTCCTCGGCCCCCAGATCCACCCCCAGCCCGGATTGTCCCCGTGGGACGTGGCGGGGGGTGACGGTTACGGGAAATGGCAGCACTGATGAAACGAGCTCGGCGATTGGGAAACTTCAAATCGATATACCCTGCAGAAATCACAAGAGATCACGGCTCCCAGGTTAAAGCCCTTTGCTCCCCTTTCTGCTGCTCTGAGTTAATCTTTGTCCATCCAGCAGCTGGAGTGAGCAGCCCAGATAATCTTTAACCGCTGGCCATCGGCCGGCGAGGGTCACAGCACTTCCCTGCAGGCAGCAGAGCTGGCCCAGCACTCACAGCCCTCCCCCCTGCCCAGGAGATCGTGGTGCAGCACCGGCAAAGGTGCCCCAGAAACCTGGGGTAAATTGCTGAACAGCAGCTCCTTCCACCCTGAGTTCCTGTGGCAAAAGTCAGTCATCCCCTCAAAAGTCATCCCCTCAAAAGTCATCCCCTCAAAAGTCATCCCAGAGCCACCGATGTCACCAAAGCAGAGGGATGAGTTCAGGTCCCCTCGTGGAGCTGTCTCATTTTCCTCCCCAGAAAGGTTCTGGCCTAAATCTTTGCCCCAGATAGAGCTGTTCCACAGGGGGGGTGCAGAATGGGGGTCTCCCCTGGGCTGCTGCCTCAGCAGTTCCTTTGGGAGCGTTTTTGTCACCAGCTGCAAAGCCAGCTTCACCCCGAGGTTTGTGACACGTGAGCTGGGCAATGTGAGGCCTCAGGCATCCAGGTGAGGGAGGAAAAGCTCTCCCCAATCCACACACCTGTCCCCACTCCGGGATCCTCCTCTGAGTCCTTTTGCTTCGCACATAAAGTTCAGATTATTCTGATTTTAGTGGAGAGGGGAAAAAAGGAATGAGAAGAGGTTCAGGTCCTGTAACAGAACCCTGAGCTGGGAGTCTCAGCTTACACTGCCTGTGGAAATCTGAATAAACACCACAAGTGGGGGGTGACAGCCCTTTGGAGAGGCTTTCCAAGTGGGCTTTGCTGATCAGGCAGTGTATTCACCACCAGAATTCACCAGCCCCCAGAGCTGTGCAGGTTCTATCACCTGGGGACAGAGCCAACCAAGTCCCCTCCCGGAGCACAGAACATTTCTGACCGAAGGATTTTCACGATCTCAGGTTTTGCAGAGCCAAACCACAGCTCCTTCCTGCCTGTTACACCTTCCCAGGGTGGAAAAGCTTTTTGTTTTTGCCCCTGGGGTAAATTCTTCCTTCAGGTTCGCAGCTGCTCCTTCCCTGTTGCCACCCAGAAGAGCCATCGTCCCTCAGACACGTGTGCTGCGTTATCTGTCCCCGTGTCACCTCCAGCAACATTTCAACAAACCAGCTCCTTTTTTTCTTTTTTTTGTTGTTTTTTCCAGGGATTTCCAAAGGCTCTGGCGTTTTCATGGCACAGAGCTGGCCCCAGAGCAATCTGCAGCGGCGCTGGATGTTGCAACGCAGCTCCAGCCCCTCCCCAGGCTCTGTGTGCAGTGGTCAGCGCTTCACCTGCAGTGGCTGAGCCCCATTTTGAGGAAAACTGGGCTGGTTTTTTTGCCAGCAACACAACCCCAGAAATGTCAAGTAAGTGGTGTTTCCTCTGGGATTGAAAGGATCCCATTTTAGGGTTCCCGTGCTGGTTCTGGACAAGTTGTGGTGTTTTGGTTTGGGTTTGGGGGGTTGGTGTTTGTTTGGTTTTAATTTGGCAGTGATTTTCTGCTGCTGGCTGGGCACATCACTAAAATCAGTAAAGCCACCTGGGTCCTCACTTTTGTAAAGAGCTACATGGAAAACTTTCCTTCTTTAAACCCCACACTGAGGCCAGACTGCTCTAAAACATCCTAATGGAACAGAAGCTGGGTGATGGAAGGAAGGGAGCCAGGAAATACCCTGTAGAAATGGGACAGGCCTGAAAATATCCTGGGCAGAGCAGACACCACATCAGCATCAAAACAAAGGAGAGAAAAGATTGGCAAGTGCCAGCAGCGAGCTGAGGGAGCCACCAAATCAGTCCTGCTGGCTGTCAACACGCAGCTCTTCACCTCAGGGTTCAGCAGATGTTGCATTTCCCCTTCCCCACGGGCGAAGGAGCCGAGGAAAGCGAGGTCCCAGAGCTGATTTTTCCACTCCTGCCTGCCTAGAGGTGCCCGTGGCTGGGGCAGGCAGGGCCATCTCCCTCCCCCAGATCGATATTTTAATGGGGCTTATCAGAGCTTCTCTGGGTGGGTGTTTACTTTAAGACCTCGGGATCCCATAAAGGGAGAGGGAAAGTTGGGCAGTGGAACCAGAGGTTTGTGACAGCTGAGCGGTGCTGGGAGCCCCGAGAGGAGAACCACGATCCCAGCGATCCCAGGAGGGATCCCAGCCCTGCAGAGGATCCTCTGGCAGATGCCTCTGATGGTGAGTGCCCTCCTGAGCCCGGTTGGTGTGAGGAGAAGGGGAGTGCTGGATTTTGGGCACGGTGAAATGCCCACCCGTCTGTGCCACTGAGCAGGAGCGGGTGTCTGGGAGCCAGGGAGCTCTGCCTGCACTTCTTGGGGCAGCACAAGGCACCCTGAGGGCTTGTTGGTTAAAAAAAAACCCAAAAAGGGGTGGTGGGGAAGCTGAGAGATTTCCCAGGGACACAGGAACTCTTCCCTGGGTATAGGGATAGGACAGGTTCTGTGATCCACCCCGAAAAACCCTCTGCAAAACTCTCTTGCTCTTCAGAATGATCCTCTCAATTGACACAACCCCATCATGTCCTTTACACAGCAAAACCCAAGTAAAAATAAAAGGGTGTTTTTTTCTCTTTGCTTTCTCCCTGTACTGCCCTGAAACTTTCCCATGGTTTTGGGGTTGTTTTTTTGCCCATCTGCCTGTTCTGTGTGTGTTCCAACACTCACTCCAGCCTCTGGACAAAGCCTCTGAGTCCAGCCCTGGATCCCAACCTCCTCCCTCCCCTGCCTGGTGCTCAGAAATGCACCTAAAACCAAGGAGATGAAAATCAAATCCCCCTCTACCAGGGGGATTCCTCAGCCCTGACACAGCCAGAAAAATCTGGTGCTGATGCTGAGCTGGCTCCATCAAAATCTGGTGCTGATCCTGAGCTGGTCCCATCAAAATCTGGTGCTGATCCTGAGCTGGTCCCATCAAAATCTGGTGCTGATCCTGAGCTGGCTCCCTAAAAATCTGGTGCTGATGCTGAGCTGGCTCTGTAAAAATCTGGTGCTGATGCTGAGCTGGCTCCATCAAAATCTGGTGCTGATGCTGAGCTGGCTCCATCAACAAGGGAAGACACAGGTCCTGGCAGGAACAGCCCAGCCCTTCCTTCAGGAATTTGTGTCTTCTCCATTTCCACAGCTGGCTGAGGCAAACTCTTCACCTCCAAGAGATTTGGAACCCCTTCCTCGTCAGAACCCTGATGTGTCCTGTATAAATATTCACAAACACGGTCTCATCTCTGTTTTGCAGATCCTGGAACCTCCCCTGGCTGAAATCTGGCTGAAATCTGGCTGAAATCTGCCCCCCTGGGGGCTCAGCAGCTGCTCCTGGAGCTGTGGAGTGTGACAATGGTGTTTGTGTCCATCTATCAAACGCCATTATCACACTAAATAGCTACTGGTGGACAAGGCATCGGCTCGGGAGGGTCTGGGCCCGCTGTGCTGAGGGAGGAACAGCCCTGGAACAGGGGCAGGAAGATGGCTCTGCTCCTCCTGTGCCTGCTCCCACAGGCACTCCCAAATTCCCCTTGCAGAGCACACCAGGCATCTCATCCTTAGGAGTGTGGATTTCTCTGGACACTTCAGAGTTGGGCATTTTCTTTATCCCTGAAATTAGAAAGCTGAAGCCAATGAGCTGATGGAGAACCTTCCAGCACTTTCCCAAATTCTGATTAAAATCTATATTCTCTAACTATCCTCTATGCAGGTTCCCCACGCCTTCCACGTCACGGTGACCTGAGCACCACGCTCCTGTTGTAAACCTTTGGGGAATGGTCACTGTTTCCCCAGAGAAATCCTTCCAAAAACTGCTCTAAAGAGCCCAAATCCCACTGAAAAATCCAGGATTCAGGAGCTCCTGGCTGAGGGCAGGGTGGGCAGGAGAGCTTTCCCTTTTCCCTGGCTGTGCAGGAGGAAAGCAAAAGTGAGTTTGTCTGGCTGTGCCCTGTTTACACAGCAGCTGCTTTTCTCCTTCACCTTGAACTGGGAACCTCTCTGCAGCAGGAGAGCAGTGCAGATTAATTTACCAGTGTGCTCGAAAACGAGCAGCTTTCTAGGGTGGGTTTTCTTGTACAGTAACACGACTTTTCCAACACTATATGAATATCAGATGTATGGAAGTTTCTGGAAGGGAAGAAAAAAAAGTCTGGCCTCCTGTTGGGAGGCTGTGGCAGGTGAAAGCCCTTCCAATCAGCACTGCAGAGAAACTTCTCTGGCTGCTGTGACAAAGGACTGGAACTCAAACTGCCTCCACCTGATGTCTCCTCACAGTGACTGACAGGCAAGGCACAGCACTCAGACACACGAGATTCAGCTGTGGAAATGTGCTGACTCTGCTAAACTGCTGCCAGGTAATCTGCACAATCTGTGACCCGGGTGAGCTGTGATGGGACAATGCACAGTTGAACAAGACACAGGTGTTTCTGGTGAGGGTGAGTTATGAGGAAGACCCAAACTCCTCCCTCGAAGCAATCTGAAATTAAGAGGCTCCAGGTGAGAAAAAAGGTGGAAAAAGGAAAAAAAAAAAAAAAAAAGCCCTTTATTAAATGATATATGTGTATTAGAAAAAAAAAAAAGCCCTTTATTAGAAAGGTATATGTGTATTGGAAAAAAAAGTTTGTTAAAAGGTATCTGTGTATTAGAAAAAAAAAAGCCCTTTATTAGAAGATATATGTGTATTAGAAAAAAAAAAAGCCCTTTATTAAAAGGTATATGTGTATTGGAAAAAAACCACAACCCTATATTAAAAGGTATATGTGTATTGAAAAAAGGCCTTTATTAAAAGGTGTATATGTATTGGGAAAAAAAACCCCCTTTATTAAAAGATATATGTGTATTTGGGGAAAAAAGTGCCCTTTATTAAAAGATATATGTGTATTGGGAAAAAAAAGCCCCCTTTATTAAAAGATATATGTGTATTGGAAAAAAAAAAAGCCCTTTATTAAAAGGTATATGTGTATTGGAAAAAAAAAACCCCTTTATCAAAAGGTATATGTGTATTGGAAAAAAAAAAAGCCCTTTGTTAAAAGGTATATGTGTATTGGAAAAAAACCACAACCCTATATTAAAAGGTATCTGTGTATTGGAAAAAAAAAAACCTTTATTAAAAGGTATATGTGTATTGGAAAAAAAAAAAAGCCCTTTATTAAAAGGTATAGGTGTATTGGGAAAAAAAACCCTTTATTAGAAGATATATGTGTATTGGGAAAAAAAAAAAAAGCCCTTCATTAAAAGATATTTGTGTATTGGCAGAGCAACGAAAGAACACAAATAAACCAACCAAGCAATAATCCTCTACCCCAAAAATGCTCCCCTTGAAAACAAAAAAATAAGCAGAAACCACAAAAAAAGGTAAATAGCTTAATTGGAGCAATTTGGTGCAATTGTAATCACCTGTTTGATCACGGGAGGGGCAGAGCCTGCAGTGCTGTAAATCAACCAGCAGAGGGTGCTGTTGGATCATTGGAAATTCAGAGCCTGCAGTTCTGTAAATCAGTCAGCAGAGGGTGCTGTTGGATCACAAATCACGCAGATCCTGCAATGTTATAAATCAGTCAGCAGAGGGTGCTGTTGGATCACTAATCATGCCGAACCTGCAGTGCTGTAAATTCATCAACAGGGGGTGCTGTTGGATCACAAATCATGCCGAACCTGCAGTGCTGTAAATTCATCAACAGGGGGTGCTGTTGGATCACGGATCATGCACATCCTGCAGTGCTGTAAATTCATCAACAGGGGGTGCTGTTGGATCCCTGGTGGTCACCACATGGGGGGCCCCCCCAGTTGTGCCAAAGAAGCCGAAAATTGAGATCTTCCCTCTCCCCTCCCCTCGAAATAAAAAAGGAGAAAGGAGGGAAAGCAAAAATAAAGGTCCTTCCCAAGGGGAACTCCTCTGTCCTGCTGGCTGAGTGGTGTGGTGCAGCCTCCCCCCTCCTGTGCCAAAAACACGCAGGAGGAGAGGCCTCCTGAGCAGTTCCTCGCTGATGGAAACCCCAGCAAAATTCCCAGCTGGCAGCCAGGCCGAGAGCAAAGCCACCTCCCAGCTCCTGCCACCCAAACCCCGTCCCTCCTGCCCCGTTTCCCAGGAGAGGAGGGAAAAAAAAAAGGATAAAAAGAAGTCCTCACCCGTCCCCACAGGTGGGATCTTGAGGGCCATCAACTCGAGCGTGGTTCTGAGATCCCTGGGAACAGGGATCACCCCCTGGGAACAGGGATCACCCCCCGGGAACAGGGATCACCCCCTGGGAACAGGGATCACCTTCTGGGAACAGGGATCACCCCTGGGAACAGGGATCACAGCATGGGAACAGGGATCACATCCTGGGAACAGGGATCACCCCCTGGGAACAGGGATCACATCCTGGGAACAGGGATCACAGCATGGGAACAGGGATCACAGCATGGGAACAGGGATCACCCCCTGGGAACAGGGATCACACCATGGGAACAGGGATCACATCCCCTGGGAACAGGGATCACCCCTGGGAACAGGGATCACATCCTGGGAACAGGGATCACCTCCTGGGAACAGGGATCACATCCCCTGGGAACAGGGATCACATCCCTGGGAACAGGGATCACAGCATGGGAACAGGGATCACCTTCTGGGAACAGGGATCACACCTGGGAACAGGGATCACCCCCTGTGGACAGGGATCACATCCTGGGAACAAGGATCACCCCCTGGGAACAGGGATCACAGCATGGGAACAGGGATCACAGCATGGGAACAGGGATCACATCCTGGGAACAGGGATCACATCCTGGGAACAGGGATCACATCACCTGGGAACAGGGATCACATCCTGGGAACAGGGATCACATCCTGGGAACAGGGATCACAGCATGGGAACAGGGATCACATCCTGGGAACAGGGATCACAGCATGGGAACAGGGATCACATCATGGGAACAGGGATCACAGCATGGGAACAGGGATCACAGCATGGGAACAGGGATCACCCCTGTGGACAGGGATCACATCCTGGGAACAGGGATCACCCCTGGGAACAGGGATCATGCCCAGCTCAGCCAAGACCAGTCAGTCACTCCCACCCCAGGCCCTGCAGTCTGGCTTTGGCCATTTGGGAAGGTGACCAACTCAGGTGACATCATAAATGTCCCCAAGGTTCCATCTGGAGAGGTGCTAAGCAGCCCAGTTTCCACTTGGCACGGAAAGTTCTAAGGAACTCAGACACCCCTTGGGAAAAAAGTGTCTGATGTTTTGTGGATATGGGTGCCATCACATTTTAGGAAAATCAGCAGCTCAGTGGCTTTTAAAGCACTGAAAACTGAGAAAGAACAGCTCAAACAGGGGGAAGGGGCAGCAGTTCAATCGTGAATGGCTTTGTTTTTTAATCCAAGATGCCTCAGGGGGAGAAAAAAACCCACAATGAGCAGAATCAGGGGAGGATTTGAAATATGCAAAAACCTGGGAAGGAAACCCATTTTTTTTTCCCCGTAGCAGCCTGAGCAATAACAAGTGTGCAAAACTGGGACTGAGCGGCACCTTAGACACACATTGGTGTTTCCACAGTCACAGGGGGAAGGGGAGATGTTCCCCAGCGAGCTGTGCTGCTCTCAGAAGGTGCAGATGGGCTGCAAACCCTCCTGCCCCGGTGTTAAACCCCAGGCACCCAGAGCACAGAATCATCTCCTTCATCTGTCGCTGCCATCAGCTCCGAAACGACGTGCAGAGAGCCCTGCTGTCCCCTCAGCTCCTCGGGGTGGCCCTCAGTGCTCGGAGGAAATGAAATCTCTGTGCTCTCTGCCCTTTTTGGGCCCCGTTTTCTTCCCCGTCGATGAGCTGGGCAGGGTTTTGCCCTTGGGGGCGGTGGTTTTGCGCTGTTTCTGATGAGGAGGCTCGCAGGGCTTTCAGCCCCAGCATCTGGCAGTACTGGTTGCACTGGTGCAGGGCTCTGAACTGCTCGATGAAGGAGAAGGAGCAGTTGCCTTTAAACCCTTTGTACCTGCAGCAACAGAGGAGAAAAAAAACCAAAAAAACAACAAAAAAAAAAAGGGATTTCAAGGTTCGTTTTCAGCGCAGGATTTCAAGAACACCTTAAGCAAGTCTCCTCCAAGCTGTAAGAAATCCACTTGTCCTCTGAAGGAAATAAAAGCCTGCCTAAAGAGCTGCTCGGGACTCGTCCATCCCTGCGTGCCCAAAGAGCAGGGACAGCCGATCCCAAGGCTCTGGTGCCCTCCAGTGCCCCCCAGGCTAAAAACGCTTCCCGTTCCCAGGGTCCCAGCTCGCTTCGCCCTCTGCTGACGCCAGCACCGCCCGCACTTCGGGCTGCTTCGCTTTCCACATCCCTGGGAAAACGCAGGCGCGGCGGGGACAAGCGCTCAGAGTTCGCTGGAAGGGCGTTAATTGCTGACAATCGCCCGGGAGAAACGAGCCAATCGGTTCTGTGCCATCCCCGTCTCGCAAGAACAAAAGGGTGCTCGGCGTTTTTAGGAGGCTGTTCATGCAGGAAAGGGAATTATTTGCCTTTTTAGATGACCCCTACCACAGCCTGCACTGCCTGCTCATCCCCTCACTCCACTTTCCCCCTCCCCAGCAGGGCAGTTTTTAGAGCAGTCACTTCCCAGAGCGAGCTGGACAACCACCACTAAAGCATCTCTGTAATCTGCTGATTCCTGAGAATCTAAAAAAAAAAAATATTTCTGGTTTCTTTAGTTTGTAACAGGGTGATAAACACTCATTTCAGCTGCTTGCACCTTGGGAGTAAATCAGTCTAAGTTTGGAGTGGGTGCCAGCCTGCAAACGTTCAGGATTGTCCCAGGCTCTTCACTCTGAGCTCCCATTTTTAATCATCTAAACGATATTGGGAAGGCCTCCATAAACACCAACAAAACGTTAAAGAGCAGATGGGGGTTGTTCTCATCTGCAGTTAAAACAAGAACACATTTCCAGTGCTCCCTCCACCCCCCCCCAGGTTTAAGGGTGAAGATTGAGCAGCGCCAGCGCTGACAAATCCCGTTTTCACTCACCCTTTGGCCAGGGTTGCTATGCCCACGTCCGTCAGCTTCATCCCCACACCTGCAAGGCAGCAAATCTCATTTACGGATTCACCTCTCCCACTGGAATGTTTTGTCCCATTTTTTTTTCTTTCCCAGAGGGTTTTAAGGGCCCCAGTTCAAATTCCTGTGCTCTGTGCCATCAGCCAGGCTCTATCACAGCACTGTTCTGTGGCTGTCAGGGTGCTAAAACAGCCCTCCCCTTCAGAGGGTGAAGATTGGTTTTTCTCTTGGAAACGAGGTAAATAAAAAGCGCTCACCCTGCAGGTCGGTGACGAGCAGGTTCCCGCTGGTCCTCTCGTACACCCAGTGCTGGAAGGTGCAGCACTTCTGGCCAGCCTCCGAGTCCCTCCTCAGGAAATTCACCTCCTTGCCGTCCCTGACCGAGTATTTCACGAACTCCCCGACCAGCTCCTCCTCCACCGTGGCGTAGGGGATGCTGTTGGCGGGGCGGTGGATGAGGAAAATGGGAATGATCCTGAAAGCCAGGGGTAGAAACCGGGAAAATCACTCAAAAGCAGTTAAAATTCAGGGAGCTCTTTCAGTGAGGGACTAAGGAACAGACAAGAGGACGGAGTAACCTCAGAGAGCGAATGAAGAGTTTAAAACCAGCCCAGAGAGCTGTAAACTGTTCCCAGCTTCCCTCTTTAGGAGGCACAGGCCCTCACTAGGATCATCTACCCGTACCAAAAGCTGTCAATACTCACTCTGGCACCTCCCCAAAGCCTTCCAGCGTTTCAGCCTCGGCTGCATACAGCTTGGCGTACTCCCTGGCGGCGTTCTGCACGCAGCACTCCTGCGGCACAAACAAGACACGCGCACCGCTCGCGTCCATTCACCACGGTCCCACCCCACACCCCCAACCCCGCTCCCAGGGCCGGTGGGGGCTGACCTGCAGCGCCAGGTCGTAGTTCCTGCGCACCAGTTCGTCCCTGGTGCCGCTGGCGGGGTTGAGGGCGCTGTGCACCTTGAGGACGCAGGCGTGGCCGGGCGCGAAGACGGGCGCCAGGCCCCGGCGCACGCGGCTGCGGAAGGCGCGCCGGTGCATCCCCTCGCCGAAGTGCCGCTGCTCCGTGGCCAGCGCCCCGTGCAGGTGCCCCCCGAAGTAGCTGTCGCTGAGGGAATCCTCCCGGAACAGCAGCTGCATGAACTCGATCTCCTCCACACCTGAAACGCAACGGGCGCGGGGAAACAACTCCGCTCGGCGGGCACCGGGCACCAAAAATGCTCAGTGGGAGCAGAACGAGTGGTGTGAATGGTCCTGCTGGGGGTGGGACCCCGCTGTTTGAGTGGGAGCAGAAGGAGTGGTGTGAATGGTCCTGCTGGGGGTGGGACCCCACTGCTGGAGTGGGAGCAGAACGTGTGGTGTAGATAGTCCTGCTGGGGGTGGGACCCCACTGCTGGAGTGGGAGCAGAACGAGTAGTGTAAATTGTCCTGCTGGGGGTGGGACCCCGCTGATTGAGTGGGAACTGCGGCACCGCCACCCGAAGCCAGCACGGAGCGAGGTGGCAGCTCGGGGTGGTGAGGACTCAACACCCAGTGGAGAAAAGCAGCTGGAAATCCAGCCTGGGGATTTCACCCCTTGAAAATGGCAAAATGTTCATAAGGGGGGGGGGAAAAAAAGTGGTTAAGCACTTAAGAGAAATGAATGGCAATTCCGAGTGTCTCTAAGTGTAACATTTCAGATGGTAAATGGGAGCAGAGAATTATGCAGTGACCTCTGGTTTAGGCTCTGCCTTCTCTTTGAAGCACAGAGGAAACACTGCACAGAAAAGATAAGATGTAGGGTGCTCCCTAACTCCTGATCAGAAGTCATCCAGTTTTGCCCGAGGAAGTGAATGTTTAAGTTTGTAAAGGATGGGCCCCCCGAAGGCCACGATGGCTGCTCAGGGTGCCCAGGAATGACAGATCTACAGGCAAGGTTCTCTCTTTAGCTGCAGCACAGGGCACATTCATTAAATATTCAGATTTACCTTCGTAACTCTGAAAACTGGAGAGCCGCTCCAGCACTGCAAGGAGACAAAGACATGGATTTTATAGTAAAAAAACCTGAATGGAAATGAATACTATCAGTAATTAAACTGCCAAAGGGAGCTTTACCTGCAGCAGTCAGGTGGAACTCGGCAGTCACCTTCCCGTAGGTGTTGCTGAGGCAGCAGTAATACATGCCCTGCTCTTTGTTACCGGCCTTGGCTATTTCCAGGGAGACGGGAGAGTCATCCTGAGCACTGCAACAGAGAGGTGGGACCTGTTATCCCTGGGAAAAGCGGTCCCTGGATCTCCCTGCGGGGTTTATTTGTTCGAGCACGGCGCGGTCGTTCGGCAGGTGACGATGGGCATTGACGCTGCCCCGGGTGTCGCAGCAGCACAAGCAAAATCAGGAGTCAAAAGGACAACTTTTTCTCTCCATTTCAGAGGTCCTGAACCTTCCTCCAAAAGGAAATGTTTTTTTCTTTCTTTCCTGGCTTTGGGCAGCGTTAATTTGGTACCTTTGAAACGCCACGAACAGATTTTATGGGATCAGCCTGTCATTACTGCCATGGAGGGAAACAACCAGTTTCACTCAACATGGAAGTTTAAGAAAAGATAATGGTCCTGAGAAGCTTTTATTTCCACCCTCCTCTGGAGTCTCAAACTTAATTTGGTATTTTAAAGTCACTTGGAACAGGTGCTGGGATGCAAAGCATGACCAACATCAGCGCACTGGGAGATTTTGCCTCTTAATTACCCTGTTTAAACGTGGGGTTTGCACCCATCACACCAATCCCCTGAACACCTACAAGGGTGAATCACTGGCCCACCATCCAGGAGCAACCAGTCCTTCAGAAAGAGTCACTGACCTCCTGTGCAGCCGAGCCAGCACCTTGGAATCTTTAGTCCAGGTAACGGTGGAGTCCCCGTGGATGTCCCCGAACTGGCAGCACAGCCTCACGTTCCCAGAGCCCTCAGGGAAAGACTCTGCCTGGATCTTCTTCAGCAGCCTGGGAGCTTGAAAAAAGCAGAGCCACCATTGAGGGTGAGGAGACAACGATGTCGTTTTGGCATCTGAACCTCTCGTGTGAAGGACACGAACAGTGACAACCCCGGTAAATAATTACGACGACCCCGGTAAATAATTACGACGACCCCGTTTCCTGGCAAACACAGCCAGCGTGGAGAGCCCACGGGCAGGGGGTGAATTATCTGCATCTGCCACTGTCTCTGCTCCTCTCAAAGCATCAGTTCCCTACCTTGGCAGCCACAGGGCATGGCTCTTTAGCTAAACATTGACCACCTCACAGCAGCGATCCAAGAATCCCTGAGCGCTCTGCCCAGTCCGGAAAGGAAAGTGCTGGGACCTTTCCCTGCCTCCCACACTGCTCTGGCATCTCTGCACGTGGCCATGGCAGCAGGAGGGAGGGGACTGGGAAAGAAAGGGAATCCACCTCCCAGGGAAAGGTTTTGGGGATGGTGACACATCCCTGCCCGATGTAAGAGATGTGAAATTGAGAGAGGTTGCTTTTCCCGCCGCGTGAATTCCGAGCTGCTGTGCTGGTGTCCCTCCTCAGGGATCCCAGCCCTGCAGGAACGCTGCAGGAATGCTGGAGCCAGCTCAAAGGGTAAAGCACCTGCAATTCAATGCTGTGGCTCTCCCACATTCCCAATTCCAGCCCCAATCCAGTCTGGGCCTTTATCTACTCCAGATTGCAGTTCTTATCCAGTCCAGGTTTCTCCCTGTTCGGTCCTGCTCTGATCTGCTAAATCCTTTCAGGATGTGAGCAAGAAATAAGCAAAAAAAAGTGGCAATAAATCTGAGATCCTGGTCCTTGCAAAGCACCCGCAGAAACAACCAGTCCCTCACCTGCCCAGCCAGAAGAGGAAACCCAGTCTGCTCTTACCTTTGCTGTCCTTTTTCAAGACCAGTTTCCTCTGCTCGGGTTTTCTGTCTTCTCTACGAGCCGCGCCCGCCTCGCCCTTCCCGGACTTTTTGACGCCTCCCTTCTCCTCCAGCCGGGGTTTTTTGGACAGAGCCGCCGGTGGCAACTTCTTCTTGGCCCCAGCAGCTGAATGGCCGCCCTTTGCTGTGTCCTGCTTGCACCTGGGGGGCTCAGGCTCTGTCTGGCAGGATTTGGAGCCCTCCTGACTCCTCTGCCTTTCTGTGTTGACGGCGAGCGCATCGCAGGCGGTCGATGCCCCGGAGAGCGGCCGAGTCCTGCTGCAGGGGGTTTGCTCCTCCAAACACCCCTTGCTCCCTGAATCAGCTGGTGGTAAATGAATTAAACCACAATTTACTACGCTCTCTGCCGCCCTGACTTCTTCCTCTTTGGAAGTGGATTTGATGGAAGGATCATCTTTGGTAGGAGGGATCCCGTCAGGACAGGGCTGCTCCGTGCCGGTGTTCACAACCTGGCCCTGAGCCTGGCAGCTCATTAAAGTGGGCAAAGCAGCCTTTGTTTCAGCTTCACCTGGGCTACATTCCACAGCTCTTGGAATCCCATGTTCATCTCCTGCAGCCTGGCTCTCTGGAAACCTGAGGAACTCCTGAGTCACAGCACGTTCCAGCCCCGTGTTCACCAGCTGTGGGAATCTCGCTCTGCTCTCCTGGTTTAGCTGGTTCACAGCTGGGCATTTCCAGGCAAAAATCACTTAAAAGCGGATCCCCGGAGGAGGGAGGGAATGCCCCTTCCTGTTTTGCCGTTTCTGGCAGTTGCTCTGTGTTTTGGGGTAAATTCTTACGTGTTGTGGCTGCAGGAGGCTCAGTTAAAGCAGGCAATTGCATCACAGAGCCGTGTTCCGGTGCAGCAGAAACAACCTGAAAATCCTGACAGCCCTCAGTTTTTGGAAGATGGTAACTCTGAGAATCAGTGCTGTTTTGTGTGTTCGAGTCAGAGTGATGCTCCTTCTGCTGGTAAATTCACCTCATCACTTCCAGGTACGGTGTCAACAGAGCAGTGCCCTGCACGTGTAAGCTGACAGGTGTTTGCACGGGGGAAAATGCCTTTTTCTTCAGGGCAAGGAGCCAGTCCTCCTCTAAAATGCCAGCCTTCCCCAGGTACAGAGTCATTTACCCCGTGCTCAGGATGAAGCCCTGGCCTTAGCAGGGTGCTGATTGCCGAAGGACAAGCTGCTGGTGCTTCCGTCTCGTCTCCCGCTGGCACCGCCCGTGCCACGCGAGCCGTGGGTGCTGCGGCTCCTCGGAGCGGAGCATCATCACTGCACTCAGCCTGCCCAGGGCTGGCTGCTGGGAGGGGTTCCTGCTCTGCCATCCCATCCACTGGCAGAGGAGGATGGCAGCAGCTCCCCTGCCCCACGTCCAGGGCTGGCTGGGGATCAGCACCCCCCGAGGGGCTGCAGGGGAGATCTGCGTCGATGCTACCCCGTCTGTCAAACCCAGAGCTTCTCTCTCCCTCTCCTGGCTCATCCCACGGCTTTGCAGGAGACAGGACAGCACACAGGCACTCCTGTTCATCAGGGACAGAGCCTGCACCCCCTGAAGGAAATGTTGAAATCTCCTCCTTTGATTTATTGTCATTACTAATAATTTCTTGTCCGGAGGAGGCTTCTCGGTGACACCTTTCCCTCTCAGCCCGAGTGAGAGAAGGGGTCTGTAAATCTGCATCCCCTGCTGGCAGTGTGATGTCAGCAGAGAGCATCCCTGCAGCTGGCTGGCTGCTTCCTCCACTCTCCCAAGCCCTCCAGGTCCCCTCTTTTTCGGGCTCCACGCGGAGGTTCTCGCAATTCTGGGCGACGCTTTCAAGATGAGCACCTTGATCCTACAGAGAGGAAAACCAGAAACATAATTAAAAATTAAGAATTAAAAATGCAGCTTGACATGGGCCTGAACTAGAGCTGTGGTTTTAACTTTTTTGGGGTTTGGTTTTTTTTAAAATGTTTTTCAACAGTCAGGTTTCTGACTCGTATCATCAATCCGATGGCTCGAAATCAATCTGCTGGGTAGGGGTCTGAAAGGAAGCACGGGCTGTTCCTCAGAGAGGGATTTGTAGTGAAGCTGCAACTCCTTTTTTATTCTTTGTGCTTCTCCACTCAGCTTGGGTGGAATGTGGAGCTGACCCCGCGCTGGGGACAACGGGGAAGGAACAGACTGAGAAAATCGTTGTCAGTGGCTTGAACCTCTGTGAAATAAACACTATGATTCTGTTTTCCTATTTAGGGACAGTGGTGGAGCATCACACCTGTGCACACAGCCTGTACAACTGCACTGATTTCCCCAGCTGTTTCCTACCCACGCCCTAAAATATGCAAGGACCTGCAGAGGAGGGGAAACTGAAAAGAGAGGTGAGTCCAAACATCCTCTGCTCACAATGGGCATTCCAGAAACCTTCTGGCTCGAAGCATTCCTTCGCTGGGACCTGTTGAGCGGCCTCCCTCTCAGATTTCCCCGCCCAGCTGTCCATTAGTGCCTCTCACCATTATCGGGCTCGCTCTATAATTAGAACAGCTGGGGCTTTACTGGGGCCCTTTTCAGACCCCCATCTCCCTCCCAGCCGCAGCTGTCATTCAGCAGGACACGAACAGCACCTTCCAAAGCCACTCCGGTTCTCCAGGGTTCGCTGCCAAGCAGGGAGAAGCGGTATTTCAATCAGCAGAGCAGCTCTTAATGATAAAATAACCATATCTTTAAACGATCAACACGTTACTCACCTCGAGTGGGACGTTCTCATCCAGCATCTGATTCTGCTCAGGCGGGCCCTGAGTCCTTCTCCTTTCCCAGGGACAATCTTTATCTGCCTCTTCTGCCTGCACCTCCAGGCTTCCTGTCTCCTTGGCAATCAGGACACCTTCCCGAGCGGGAGATGGAGCCGTGGATTCCCTGCCCTCTGCTGCAGCCTGCAGAGACTGTCCTATGGTACTCACGTATCTGCAGAGCTCCAGGGGGTTTAGCAGCTTGAAAAGGTTCCTCCTCAGGGTCTCAGTGAAGGCACAGCCAGCGTGCTGAGGGTTTTCCTCGGGCACGTCCCTGCCCCGCTCCTCCATCAGCGGGGAGCTTTCCCCCCGCGCCGCGCCCGCTCCCGTCATCGTCCCCGCAGCTCCCGCACTGCCGGCACAGGGGGCTGCCTCAGCAGGGGCAGCAGCAGGAGCAGGATCCGCCTGCCTGGCTTTGGCAGCCAGGTGGCCGCTCGCATCAGCCTCCCCTCGGCTCCTGGGGCGTTCATCAGCGGCGGCTGCAGATGCGACGGGCGCGTCGTCGCTGCCTTTCGGACCGCTGCTCCTCTGCCGGTGGTGGCCGACAGCGGGAGTCATGTCTGCCTGCACAGGGGACTGGCTGCACACAGAGGGGTCTCCCCTTACACCGAGCCCTCGCAGCTCTGAGTGATGCCCCCAGAAGCCAATGGGGGTCTCCACAGGCGCAGCGTCACCCGACACTGGCGCCGCGCGAGGAGCTTCGCCGAGGAGCCGAGCGCACCCATCGCAGTCCTGGCTCAGCTTGAGGTCGTCTTCGTCGTCGCTTTCCAACAGAAACCGCAGTTTCTTTTGCCACTTTTCATTTTCCCGCGCTGTCAGCACGTCTGAGCACTCGAAGTACTCCAGGTCATCATCAGAGAAGTCATCGCTGACACCTGGACGTTTCTCTGTATCAATCTCCAGAACAGCGGCAGAACCCGAGGAATCATCTTGTCCTCTGGGAGTATCTGCCTGCTGACTGAGCAGGGAGTTCCTGCTCAGAGAACAGCCCAACCCAGTGTTTTTACACACCTGGCCATCTGCCAGAGAGTGACCAGATCCAGGGCTTTCCCTGTGCAGGCAACAGCTGTCAGTGTGACGAGCGGTTTCACCTGCAGGGCGGGCGCTGCGGAGCTCCTCTGCTCTTCCTGCAGCCACAGCGAGCACTCCCTTCAGGTGGAGCAGCTCATCACCCCTCTCTGTCAAATCCCTCAGGCAGGAAATGTCCCCCTGGGATTTAATCCCGTTTTTTACAGCCATGTTGTCTTCTGTGTCCGTGGGATGTCCCAGAGCGGGGTGAGATTCGTGCTTTGCTGAGCTCCTCGAGCCGTAAATGGCTGATTTTAGATGGGTGACATCAACACGGGCTGGCCCTCACAGGGTGACCTCTTGTGCCGTGTGAAAGGTTCCCCATTTTGCTCACTTCACCCTGAGGTCTCCCACGTGCTGGTTCAGGACAGCAGCGAATTCCTGGGAAGTTCTGCTCCTTGCATCTGCCTGCAGTTCAACAAGAGTCATCCCAGCTGTCAATGAAGTGCAGATCTTGCTCTGTGCACCTGCAAATAAAAGAGACCTGAGAGTGAAAAATCACTCCTGAAAGGGGGATAGGTTTTCTAGACTGACACACACTTGCAGGCATTTTCAAGAGAAGAAACCATTATTTTAAGTGAGCAATAGGGATGAATCTTTCTTTTCCTCCTCTGTTTTATTCCAGTGCCATGGAATTACCCTCCAGCATTCAGCCATCTCCAACGTAATTCCATTACAATGCTAACATTTTTCCCAGTTTCAAACTTATATGTTATTAAAAAGGTCCAATGTTTTATCATTTCTTCCAGTTGAGACCAAAATATTTTGGGGAAATCACACACTTTGACACAGAAGGAACAACATTGAAATGTAAATGAGGTGTTTGTTTGTTTGTTTGGTTTTTATCAATAGCCATTTTGCAGGCACTTTGGGCCACAAAAGCTGCTTCTTATTGATTTCAGAAGGAACTGAGCAAAGAAAAAGAAAAAAATTACCTGACAACACCACACAAATTTGATTAAACGTGAGAAGCGGCTGTAAATTTTCCTCCTCTCTTGCACCACCTTTTTTTCCCTTCAGATGAAAAATCTGCCAACCAAACCCACCGACAACCACCCATCGTATTGCCTGGGAAACCTCCAACGCCCTGACGTATTCCAGATTCCCTGGAAATTCCCAGTGATGCCACAAACACGGACATTACACACCCATTTACGCTTCTTAAGTGAGGCGTTACATTCCCCGTTTGGGAACACAAAGTATTTACCATCACAAACGTCCCACTTCCCCCTGAATAAAAAGCTTCCCATTAAAGTTTTGCTGCATTTAAACGCTCATTCTCATGTTCTCCGTGGAGTAATTAAACCAAGCAATCACCGCACACTGATCTGCCTTAATCTATTTTTAACAACTGCCCGGCATCTGACCCTGCCGGATTGAGCAATTCACGCAGCCTGGGAAGAATCATCGATTTCTGCTAAGTCACCGGATTTATTTTGGTTTTTTTTTTCCCCCTCAGGAATGGGAGAAATTTTTACCTGCCGAGTCTTAGACCAAATAAAATGCAATACGTGCTTAGAGCAAATAAAACGCATTTTTTGGGGATGCCCGGTCTCCCTTCCACATTCTTCAGAGAAGGAAACCTGCTTGCAATGTTTACAATTTTGTGTTGCTGAGCCTCGGTGGAAATGGCGCCAGAGGGGAATTTTGGAAGCACTGAGCAGAATTCTAAATGCAACGAATATATATATATAAAAATCAATCTATCAAAGCAAGGAAAAATGACTATTCTTCAGCAGAAACAAACAACAAATCCCATTTCCCGTGCAATAACAGTATCACTACAGTCACGTAATGCATTCAGAATAAAATAACTCACCCTCCTTCCAGTACTTGTCCAATTCCCAGGATAAAAAATAAAAGCAGATGAGTAAAGTTTGAAGTCCGATCCCCACTTACCCCCCGCTTTTTGGGCCATTTTAAGAGCAGGCTGGGCTGGCGCTCGCAGCTGCGGGACGAAGGAGGCTGAAGCCGCGCATGGCGTGGGGAGCCGGGGGTGCTGTGACCTCAGGGGAAGGGAGAGCCCGATCCCAGCACAGGTTGACTTTTAGGAGAGGCGGTGTCACTGCAGGCGGCAGATGGCCCGTTCTGGGAACACCTCCACCAGACGGGGAGTTGGCAGCTGCCCGACAAGTGCCCGGGAATTTCCTCGTGGCTGGCGCAGACAGAGAGGAAGCGTCGGCCTGAGCGTTTCGTAACAAGGCACTCAAAGGTTCTGGTGAGAAAATCCACAGTGCCTTAAAAAAAAAAACAGGCTGAGGAGACCCAGGGTGGACGGGGACTTTTAACAAGCACTACAGAGAAATTCACCCCTGATTCACAGCCCTCAGAGGCGAATCAGCCAAAGTATTGCCACATTGCACAAACTGCTCGGAGCTCGAGGGACCCGGAAAAGGCTGAAAAGCAAGTTTTTTGTGCCCGGATTTTTATTTTTTTTAAGCATTTTGCAATAATGGCAGCGAGAACTGGCTGTGAGATACCTGCTGTGCTAAACGCTTCTCACTGCCAGCGTTATCAAGAGCCAGATAGGAAGCTGGCGTGTCCAGCAATAAATATAGCACCTCCCATCAGCATCACTCAGGAATAACAGCTGGGATAGCTGTTTTAGGTAACAGCCTAATGGTCAAAATAACCCCCAAAGAGACGAGAGGCAGCCACGTTTGTGTCATCAAATAGTCTGGGTTGGAAGAGACCTTTGAGGGTCCTTTAGTCCACCCTCCTGCCATCGGCAGGGACACCTTCCACTGGACCGGGCTGTGCCAACCTGGCCCTGAACACTTCCAGGGATGGGGCACCCAGCACCTCTCTGAACGCTCGGCCACCGATTAAAAGTGTTCCTAAAATTACTTTCAGTCCACTTTGAGCAACTCGCAACTCCAGAGAGATGAAAACTCCTTTCCGATCATTACCCCGCTCATCGGCAGTGCCGGAGAGCTCTCTGGGAGGCTCTTCCCAAGCCGTCCCTCCTCTCCCACGAGAGTGCCTGAGCCTCAATCTGCACATCTACCTGCGTGGACACTGTGTCACGGGGGAGAACCCACGGCTGTGCGGGCTGCGGGTGGATAAAGCTGTTTGTTCCCAGTTTGCCCCAGTATTGTGTGCTTTTTGCCTGGTTCCGCCCCAGCTCCGCCTCCCCATCCCTGTCCCGCCCTCCCAGGCTCAGCTGCGGACGCCGCACGAGTCAGACACACAACATTCCCCTTTCCAAAGGGCTGAAACAAAACCCGCTCGGCTCCCTCGCAGTGCCCGCAGGGCCGGGGCGAGAGGGGGGCGGCTCCTGTCGCGACATGGCCGAGTCCCCTCAGCCACGTGGGGCGGACACGGGGCGGGACCGGAGCGGGCGGACACGCTCCCCTCGGCCGGACCCGTCCCGGCTGCCCCGCCCCGGCTCCTCCGCTCCCGTGGACCGGACCCGCCCCGTTCCCCTCGGCCGGACCGCCCCGCTCCTCTCAACCGGATCGTCCCGGCTGCCCCGCCCCGGCTCCTCCGCTCCCGTGAACCGGACCCGCCCCACCCGCCCCGCTCGGCGCTTCCTTCCTCCCCGCGATGGAGCGCGGCGCGGCGGGGCCGCTACCCCTGGACCGGCTGTCCGAGCCGCTGCCCCTGGACCGGCTGTCCGAGCCGCTGCCCCTGGGCCGCCTGTCCGAGCCGCTGCCCCTGGGCCGCCTGTCCGAGCCGCTGCCCCTGGGCCGCCTGTCCGAGCCGCTGCCCCTGGGCCGGCTGTCCGAAACGCTGCCCCTGGACCGGCTGTCCGAGCCGCTGCCCCTGGGCCGGCTGTCCGAGCCGCTGCTCCGCAGGCTCAGCGAGCTGCTGGACCGCGCCGAGCCCGGTAAGGGCTGGCGGGACCTGGCGCAGCGGGCGGGAAGCCGCGGCACGGTCCGGCTCAGGTAGGTGGGCACGGGCCAGGGGTTGGGTGTTTGTGTTATCCTGTAAAACACTGGGAAGGTGTATTTGATGAGTGTGTCTCCTCCCTGGATTGGCGTGGTACTGCGAGTTAATGCAAGAAACGCTGAATCTTTTTAGTGGGAATACGTAAACTTGCGTTCTCTTTCTGTAGCCGCCTTCACATCCTTACTCTCTGAACGTGCTGTGATTGGGAGCGCGTGAAGAGTTAACGCTAAACTTCAAACTCAGGAATTCCGCCGCGGTTCACTGCGCTGCGGTGATGGGCGATTGGCTGGCCCGCACCACTCACCTCTTCCAACAGCCCCTCTAAAATCGGCCTTCCTGCGCTTTGAAGTTGAGACGCTGACTCACTCTTTACCGCCTCTGAGTCAGGCACCTGGAAGCTGTGCTAGTTTTTCTGCCGATACCTTAGAAGTTAAAAATGAGAAGGCTTCTCGTCGCGTTTGGTTAGACTTGTGAGGTACAGGCATACAAATAACCAATGCCGGTTTCTGTCACTGAAACTGGAAGGAAATACTGCAGCGATGTCCAAACCAGCAAGGACTTTCCCATCTCTCTTTTGTTTACAATCAGCTCCTTTCTGAGTGTTAAGGAGCTCCACGCCTTGTGTTGCCTCCGCAGCCCTCTGGATGTGGAACAGTGCTCCCTGCGAGTGCTGGAGCCCGAAGGCAGTCCCGGCTGGAGCCTCCTGAAGCTGCTGGGGGAGCGTGGGTGCACCGTGCTGGAGCTGGTGGAGTCCCTGCAGGCCCTGGAGCACACCGAGGCTCTGCAGTGTCTCGGCCTGGCAGGTCAGTGCCGGGCCCTGGAAACGCTCAGGTAGCTAAAAACACCTTCGGGGCTCAAATCCTGATAATTGCTATCCATATAATTACCAAGGTAAATAACTGGCTCATCTGAATCTGAGATTAAAAAAATGGGAGGAAATCACAAATCAGATTTCTCAGAACTCGTTTGTCATGCTTCTTCCAGCGAACTTGTTCTTTCTGAGCTGCTTCCTTGAGGGGTGCTGGTGAAAACCCCAGCCCTGTGCCCTGCAGGAGGCAGAGGCACCAAGCTGAAAGTGAGGAATAGCAGGAAAATGCAGGTTGTGATCCATCCCTCAGGCTGGGCCCGCTTTAATCTGAATAACTCGGAGAAATCGCTGGGAGGGAGCAAACTCCTAAAAGCAAACAAATTCTTCTCACCAGTATTTAATGCCAGAAGTTCTCTTTGCTCCGAGGACACTTTAAGTGCGAAGATGAGGCTTGTTCTTTGTCCCTGGCTTTGTTCCCCTGTGTAAATTGTGTTTTGAAGGTGTCAGGATCGTGGTGCAGCCAGAGTCTCAAGCGGTGCTCTCCGGCCAGGCGGTCAAGCTGTGCTGCTGGGCAACAGGACACCCCTTTGTGCACTACCAGTGGTTCAAGCAGGAAAAAGAGGTGAGAGCTGAGAGGCAGCGCAGGTTTGTGCGAGTGAAAATAACAAATAACAATTTGGGACGATGGCTGTTTGTTTTTAAGACTTGTATTAACAACGAGAGCAGATTGCTGGATGAATCTGCTGAAACAATGCAGCCACTTTTATATCCAGCCACTTCATCCCCGGGGGCTGACTTGGGCAGGTGACAGAAAGGAAGCTGTAAATTCAGCTGTTTCCCAGCTTGGGAAGTGAAGGAGCCGACGGAAATCAAATTGCAGTGCTCGGCCGCGGTTCAGATTAAACCAATTCCACGCATTTCAGGTTCCCCAGGGTAATTCCCCGGAGCTGGTTTTGAATCGGGTGAGTGTCAGGGACTCTGGCTTTTACATCTGCCGAGTGAACAGCGAATATTCCTTCGTCTTCAGCCACTGGGCACGCCTGGAGGTGTGCGAGCTGCGGGGCAGCCCTCACGGTGAGTGGCACAACCCCTGGCGTTGAAAGTCTCTCCTCGGGCCTCTCTTGTTGTGCTTGGGTTGTCTCACCCTTCCTTTCCTGTTTTTTTGTTCCCTGAAGGGATCTTGGGGGGTTTTCCTCGGAACAAACTGGCCATCTGCGTTCAGCCTCGGCCCCAAAACCTGGCGGCGGGGGAGGCTTTGCTGCTGGAATGTGGAGCTGTGGGGAACCCCGTTCCTCGCTACCAGTGGTTCAGGGACGGATTGCCCTTGGCAAACGGGAGCAGGAGCGTCTACACGGTGAGTTGCTGCAAGGGGGGGGTGATGTGCAAGCACCTGGAGCTTCCCACAGGAAAGAATTCCTCCAGAACCTCCGACAGAAGCGCCGGGAGCTTCCTTAATTTTCACTCTTTAAACACAACACCTGAGCCAGGTGAATTCTCCTGGGTTCTGGGGGCGTGACTGGGGCGATGCTTGCACAGGTGACGGCTGTGGATGTGGAGCACCAAGGGACCTACTGGTGTCACGTGTTCAACCAGCACGAGGAGGAGGACAGCGAGAGGGTGGAAGTCGTTGTAGGTGAGGAGTTCTCTTTGAGACAGGCCAGCTCGTTTATCCCTAAAATTTAGCTTGGTGTATTAAGCCTTTTATATTTTCAGTTGCTCCAGTTGTTCAAAAAATCCTGTGCCCGCTTCCAGCAGATGGAATTTAAGGCTTTGGGGGTTTTTAGGGTAACCAGCACAGAAAGGGCTGGTTTTTTGGCACTGTCAGCAGATTGCAAGCTGATTTATGCTTTTGGACAGCTGAAAAATCCAGCTTGACCCTCGCTGGTGATGGGAAGTGTGTGACACAGGACGGGGGCAGTGCAATTTTACTCCTGTTAACTGAGCCAGATGGCAGAGCAGCTCGACAGTGACCTGTGTGCTGCCTCTCATCGCTGTCTTCCTATTCCCCCCCCCAAAAAAAAACCACAAGGAAGGAAAGCTGTGGCACTGGAGGGCACAGCAGGTAAAGCAAACCTTTTGTTGGCCTTGGCTTATTGTTGAAATGACGATTTTATCCGTGTGTTTCTTGGCAGATGATTTCAGCGACCTTCAAGACTCAGGTCAGTGAGGAGTTTTGACAAACTTTACTTTTAGTTTTGCATCTTCCATTTGATGTTACAAGCCACTGAAGGCCAGCTGGGTTGTAGCAAATCCTTTAGGATGTTTGGGTGTGCCTGTAAGTGGGGATTCACTCGTGTTACCACGTTAAGAGCAGCGCAGCTTGCTGGCTCCAGAAGGTTGATTTGTGCACTCACACAAAGGGAATTAATCACCTTTGCTGTCTGGTCTGTAATTTCCCTGCACTCCCAGTTTTAGCACCTTGCTGCTTTCTCAGCTGAGGTGGTGCTGGATAAAGCAGTTCGTGTTCACTGACTCTTTTCATCTCCTCCAAGCAGACCCACAGGAACTGCCCAGCCACAGACCTGTCGGTGAGTGGATCTGCAGCTGGAATTCTGCAGTCTTTCCCACTTTCCAGGAAAGAGATTTGGCTGCGGGGAGGGACACTTGTGCAGTCCTTTCCGGGGTAAACTGCGCCGAGGGCACCGGTATTTTTAGCGACTCCGAGGAGCGTCTGCAGCTTCTCACCTCTATCAATTTACTGCTCCAGGTTCCTCCCCCTGGGCCGTAGCCAGAGTGGTGCTGGAGACAGTGGCGTTGGGATGGTGGGAGGGAAAGGATTTGCATCCTGTCTGCCCAGGGAATGCTGTCCCTGTGCCTGTGGGGTGGGTGCTTTGAAATCACATCAGATCCTGTGCCTGGATACTCTTATTATCATGGAATATATAATATATAAACATGGTTTTTTGTTCTCCCCGTGTCTTGGCAGCCACAGACAAGGTGGCTCTGTTAATAGGGAACATGAGCTACCGGAATCACCCCCAGCTCCAGGCTCCCATGGTGGATGTGCACGAGCTCACCAGTTTGCTGAGGCAGCTGGATTTCAAAGTTGTCTCTCTGCTGGATCTCACCGAGGCCGAGATGAGAAGACGCGGTGGAGGAGTTTTTGCTGCTCCTGGACAAGGGGGTCTATGGTAAGAACACACAGAATTGGTGCAGAAGGTAAACAGAGCAGTTTTTCGGTGGTGGTTGGCGAGAACTGCTTCAATTTACGCGGTCCCTTCATTCTCCCTGCCTAGCGGCTGTCAATGGCTTCGAGCCAGCGAGAGGTGCTGTCAGGGCACAACTAGGTAAGGATTTATTGCCCCTCCAGTGGGCATGGCTTCAAATAGCAGAGGCACGGTGGTTTGGGCCCTGTCACACCTATTCCTGGTGCCTGATAAGTCGTGTCACCCTGGCTGGCTGCCAGGAAAGTGGCATTTCAGAGGCTGCTCCTCGAGCGGTAAACAAAGTGAGAGAGAGGGAGGGGCAGAGACCACTGAAGTGCTGACGTCCCTGAGGAACCTGAGCCTGCTTAATGCTGTGCCCCAGGCCCTGCTGGGAGCCTGCAAACATGTTTGGACTCCACTCACCCCGGGTGTGCAGATGGGTCTGTGATCCCGAGCTCGGTGTGTTAACTCCTGCAGGTGCCACGCGCTCATCTGCCAAGGAGAGAGGAGAGTGTGGTCAGTGATTTAAGGAATACACGCCCAGATGTGTGCAATAACCCAGATCCCAACTCTGGACATCACCTGGAGAGTTTCCTTTTAACTCAGGAAAACTGGGAAGAGGCAATAGGAAAATCAGATTTAATCGTACAACCTTCTGCTAACTGCATTTTTAGCAGTAGGGGTTTATTAATTCTCAGTTCACCTAATCTTACTGCAGATTGATATGACTAAGAGTGGACATTTTTATTCACATAAAGTCCTGGCTTGCAGTTTTGCAGTTTCCTTTTTCAGGGTCCAGAAAAACTTTCTTTAATTCTGTGACACGTTTGTGTTTGTTTGTTTGGGTTTTTTTTCCTACAAAAATATTTCATATTTAATTGAAGATTTTATGTCTTAAAACCCTGTAGGCTGTTGTGTAGTGGCAAGTGAGGGAGGTGATGGCGAGGTAAACGTTTCTGGCTAGGAAAGCATGCCAAGAACTTGTTTGTTTAGCAGAGCCAGGAGTGACCCAGCCTGTAACTAAGAGATGGAGCTGCAATCAGCCGGTAGTTGGGTAGTGGGGATGTGCTCTGGACTGCCACCAAACTAAAGAGGTCGTAACCACTTAAAGCAGCTCAGAGTGTTTAACTCAGACGTGTTGGATGCAAATATCTCATTCTGATATTTCAAATGACCGATTCTATCACCTAGGGGGGGGTTTGGTTGTTTGGTTTTTTTGTAAATTGTTGTGCAGTCGACGGGAAGCGCCGAAGGGAAACCTTCCCGGGTGAACAAATACCGATATTAAAACGCGGCTTGGAGCGGCTGTCCCGCCGTGCAGGGAGGGTTTTGACACCCTAAAATCTGCAGGAGGGTTTGTTTGCTGTCACTCACACCTTGTTGTCACCCCCAGGGCTGCTGTACTACGCCGGGCACGGCTACGAGAACTACGGCAACAGCTTCCTGGTGCCGGTGGACGCGCCCAAGCCGTACCGCTCGGCGAACTGCCTGTGCGTGCAGGACATCCTGGGCAGGATGCAGGCCAAGCACACGGGCCTCAACGTCTTCCTGCTCGACATGTGCCGCAAAAGGTGCCGCAGCTGGCGGCGGGGGGGGGATGGTTGTAAGTTCTGAGTGGGTGAAAGTGAAATGGAAGGAGAAACGCGAGCCTTTCCCCTCGCGGCATTATCCGGGGGGAAGGAGAATCCCGGCCATTCGTTTGGCTCGAGTGGAGGGTTTATTTTAGAGCCCTTCAGAGCTTTTCTGCTGGGCACGTCGTGTGTTTATTTAGAGCCTGAAAGGCCGAGTGATTGATGGGCTTTCTCTGAACAAAGCACTGTGTGCCGAGGAACCCCAGTGCCCGATTCAACTTGTGCTCCCAGTCAGCTCCTCAGTCAGCACTTCTGCTCTCCAGGGAGCGTTTCACAGCAGAGGAACGCTGGTGCCTCAGTGTCTGTGGAGCCTCTAAACTCGGGTGCTGATGAATTCATTCCCAGAATTGCAGGGGTGAATCAGCTGGCTGGTTCCGGTGGTTTCAATCTGTTATTACCTTTATTAATTCCCCAATCAGGAGCTTTCCCTTTCTCGTGTTCCCGTGCGTTGCAGGAACGAATATGACGACACCGTTCTCATCTTGGACGCCCTGAAGGTCACGGCCAACATTGTTTTTGGATATGCAACGTAAGGAGATGTTTCTTCTTCTTCTTCTTCTTCTTCTTCTTCTTCTTCTTCTTCTTCTTCTGGGCCCCAGCAGTGACCCCTGAGCTTGTTCAGGTGACCTTTGCCAGATAATGGACCGGTAACCTCGCTCACTTGGCAAGGGAAGTGCAAAAGCTGCTGAACAGAAGGAGATTCTTGCCCCCCTTCCTCTTGATCGTGCAGATGTTTTCAGGGTTCTCACCTCACAGGTGCCAGGGGGCGGAAGCTTTCGAGATCCAGCAGTCGGGGTTGGCCAACGGGATCTTCGTGAAGTTCCTGAAGGAGCGGCTGCTGGAGGACAAGAAGATCACGGTGCTGCTCGATGAGGTGGCAGAAGGTGAGCTCCATTAACAATCTCCTCGAGCCTGCACTGCTGAAAGCAGCTCTGCTTACGTGTTCTTCCTCTCGTGGTGAACGTGTTCCCTGTGGTTCCTGCCGGCTGCCTTTGCCACCAGAGTGCAGTGCTGGCTCGTGCTCAGCTTGGTGGCCACCAGGGCCCATTATCCAGGCTTTAAAATACTCCCCTCGCCCCCCAGTCCTTTAGAAATTCCTTTGCCTGGAATTATTCACCTTCTGGAAATCATCACTCTGATCAGCCCAAATCAGGGCTGGGATGCTGCTTGAGCTGGCTCTGAGGAGCAGGGAGGCCCCCTGTGAACCCTCAGGGGTTCCTGCAGCAGCAGGAAGGCTGTTTTGGCCTTCAGGGAGGGAAGAGCTGAGCGAGGAACACTCGTAAATCCGCAGCTCCGGGCGGACGCACCGGCACCGGCATAACGGCATCGACCGCGCGACGCTGCAGCGGGCGCTGAGTTCAGCTGGAAGTGCAGCAGCGTCGCTTTTCTTTCAGATATGGGCAGGTGCCCGCTGACCAGGGGCAGGCAGGCCCTGGAGATCCGCAGCAGCCTGTCGGAGAGGAGAGCCCTGAGCGACCCCGTGCAGCGACGCGCGGCCTCGGCGGCGGCGCTGGCGCGCAACCTGCAGTGGGCGAAGGCGCACGGTGCGGTGCCCTCTGTGAATTAGGGGTTGTCCACCTCCTGGGACGGTGTCCCAGTGGTTTGTGTGTCTAACTAAGAGATCCTTAATCTCCTTCTAAAGTCACCACCTGAAACAGGCAGGCAAACTGCATGGTAAATTGCAGGAGATGAAAAGGAGTTTTCAGTGCGTACAGCTGAGGAAAATCGGGATGGGACGAGCTGGAGGCTTCCTGGGCTGCTTTTAACAAAGACCCTTTGAGCTTATTCACCAAAGTTGTTGGAGTACAGAGGGTGAGGGGTGGCATCTCTAGGAGAACTCTTCCCCAGGTGCAGGTGTTTATTCTTGTGTTAATTCTTGCTCGGTGAGCGGATGGGAAAGCGCAGAAACCGTTTTGGACGGGTACAAAATGCTGAGTTAGTTCCATTCAGGGTGTGACGATGTGTCCCTTCCCAGAGCTCCCAGAGAGCATGTTCCTCGACTTCAGGTGTGGCGTTGGCATCCAGCTGGGCTTCGCTGCCGAGTTCTCCAACGTGCTGCTCATCTACACGCGGATCGTGAGGAAACCCCCCGAGGTGGCCGCCTGCAGAGCCCACGTCACCGACTTCCCCCCCGTAAGTGGGGGCTGCTCCTCTTGCTCCACTCAGGCTGAGGGTGTCCTGTCCCATCAATAAAATGGGTCCAAACTGTTGAAACTTTCCTAAAAGGGAAAGAAATTTGTGCTGTTCCATGAGCTACAAATTCTCCACCTTCAGTGAAGTTCTCGTTTCTGCCTCGCGACAGGACCTGGACGTGGATCCCAAGCTGGCGAATAAAGGAACTCCTGAGGAAACTGGGAGCTATCTGGTCTCCAAGGAGCTTCCCAAGCACTGCCTCTACACCAGGCTGAGCTCCCTGCAAAAACTGAAGGTTGATTTCTATATATGTGTTATCCCTGGGGTTGGTTGTGCAGATAATTGACACTAACCGCGTTGTGGTTGTTCAGACTGGAAGTTTACCTTGTTCTCCCCCACCTTTTCCTCTTTTCCAGGAAAACCTGATCTTCACTGTTTGCTTGCACTACGAGTATTCAGGAATAGAAGAGCCCATGGATGAGAGGAAGGAGGTTAACCTTGGGAAGCCCCTCATTGCTAAGTTAGGCCTCCAGCACGGATTGAGAACCAGCAACTGTCCCCACACCCGTGATCCTTTCCACAATCCAACAGAATCCAGCCTTGGAGAGGCAGCAAACCACCCCATCCCCAATCCCTGCCGACCAACTGCCCATCCAGACGGCGTCACAGCACCACAGGCGTGTTCCTGCCACGGCAATTCCAGGATATCGGCTCCCACACGGCAATTTTGGGACCGCTCCCCCGCTGTGGGAAACCCCAACGTGCCAGTGGAGACCACTGATGACACTGCTGAGCTGGGATTGCTGCTCTCTGACAGCCTCACCCTCTCTGAGCAGCAGTAGCTGCGTTTGGGAACAGATCCTGGAATTGGGGGCATCCCCGCTGCTCTTCTGGGCTTTGGGGGGACCTCAAGGGACAAAAGGGGTGGTGATGATTAATGACAGAGTTCCCCCGGAGCTTCTCAGCTCCCAGGCACTCCTGTTGCCTCAGGAGCTGCTGCTTTGCAACTGCCAGATGGCCTTGGAACGATGTGATTGTTCCTGGACTTGCTTTGGGCAAAATTCCAGTGGATTCCTGGCAGGCTGGGAGCGGGATGGAGGTTGGGTGATGGCTGGGGTGGGACAGTGCAGTGTCCCATCAGCAGCACACAGGGCTGATAAACCCCTGCCATTCGGTGTGTCACTGGATTTACAGCTACCTTTTTACATCTGTAGATCTATAAATGTAGGTGTTTCCCTCTGTGTGAATTGATTGCAGTCCCCAAGGGGAAGCAGAGCTTTTATATTTACATAAAAGTGACCCAAACCCCTGGGACTTGGCCACGTCATTGCCTGACAAAACTCGGCCCCGTGGCAGGAAGAGTTTGCAGAGGAAAACTTTTCATCTGTCTAATCTGGTTTTTTGATTTGTGTTTTTTGGCCTGAAGGGCAATTATTTGGAGATGATCTTTATTTTCTTGCTGAAAGTATCTGGCTGGTGTCAGGGATCTCAGGGCTGCTCTTGCTGCCTCTGCAGTTACAGCTTTGGTTGATGCATCCGCTGCTCCCCCTCATTCTGTCAGCTAATCAGAAGCTTTGGCAAAGGAAGTTTCTGGGCCACGTTCACCTTGACCCAAATTCCTGACTGCTGCCAGGATGAGGGTTTATTTGGGTAATGCTCCTTCCTTCCACATCAGCCAGAGGGAGACGTGAATTGGAGATGGTTTGGGAGGACTGGTTGGGAATGTGAGGGAGGTTGGTTTATTTTTTAAAAAAAAAAAGATGGATCACCCTGTTAGTTTAATAATTGCAGCAATCTGCTTCTGCTTCCTGTGCCAGTGGTGAAGGATTCCTCCCAGGCAAGGATTCCTTCCTTTTTTTCCACTCTACCCCTGCCCTCTGTCGGTGTGAAAGCATCATCCCTTGTGCTGCCACCACAAGCCCTGCTGGAAAGTTAACAAGTCTAACAGGGCTGCCTTGAGAATGGCATCAGGGATATTTTTTTCCTGCTCCCAGTGCTACCGAGTCACTGGTGACAGCAGCTTCTCAAAATTGGCAGATGGTGGCTCTGCAAGAAAACAGATTTTCTTGCCTCGCCCCTCAGACTGAGCAAAGAGAGCTCGGCAGCAGCATCTGCTGATGGAATAGCTCCTGTTAAACTCCATCTGCCTGCCAGCTCGGAGGTGTGCAGACCACGGGGGGGGTGTGTGTGTGTGTAGAAGGTACAAAAGGTATGATTAGAATTCTGATGGCTCCGAGTTTAAATGGTGTAAATTGTTTCTGGACAGCTCTGAGTGACAAGAAAACACAGCCCGAGTGGAAGGGATGCTGCTCAGCAGTTGAGTTCGCAGCCTGCACTGCTGTCTGCACCCGTGCAGCTGAGCCAGTTGTTGCACTGACCACAGCCTCCCCAGGGGACAGATGGTTTAGGTTGGGGAGTGCTTTGAACATTTTAGTGGGGTAGGAGAGCGCTGGAGATGGAAATGGTGGTAAATTGTCCCGGGGAAGGATCGAAAACCAGGTCACAGCAAGCAGTGGGCACCTCCTGCTGCTCACTGTGCATTTGGGGGTCGGCTCAGGGTTAGGGCAGCAGGCAGGGGAAGTTTGCTGTTACACAAAGGGGAGTTTGTGTAACCCTGACTCATCTTGGGTAGGTGGGGATGAATCAGACCTCCTTCCTCCAGCAGGGAAAGTCTGGAGGGCTTCAAAGGCTCCCAGGCCACAGAACCAGCGAGGGGCCTCGATTATTTTTATTTTGAACTTTGCTTCTGCTGGAGGAAAGATCAGCATGGGAATCAGCGGCCACTGCCAGGCCCGGTTGCTGCTGCCACCCCTTTTTTCCAGGAGGAAAAGAGAGGGAAGACAGCAGAGGCTGAGCGCTCTCCTCGTAAATGGCTGCGTGAACGCAGGTGAGCTGCTGATGGCACCATCTGCGGCAGCCTCGTGGCTCATTCATTAAGCACCGCCACGGCCTCATCCGATGGTGCACGATGAATAATTCAGAAATAATCCGGGGATATTTGAATAAACGCGGGCAGAAGGAAGGAAAGAGCTAAAGAGAACAAAACAGGCGTTCTCCAACGCTGGATGTAAATGGTGCAGGTGGCTGATGCCTGCCCAGGAGCTGACTGAGGGCTTCTGGGCCAGCACTCTGGAAGGTGCTGGTGAGCGGAAGAGCCCGCGGTGCTCACGGGAACGTCCTGGGATGATGATGATGATGATGATGATGATGTTGATGATGTTTTCTCACCAGGCCTTGTAGTGACAGGACAGGGGATGACGCTTTTAAACTGACAGAGGGCAGGGTTCGAGTGAGGCACTGGCACAGGCTGCCCAGAGGAGCTGTGGCTGCCCCACCCCTGGCAGCGTTCAGATTCTCCGAAAATGGCACCTCTGTGCCAAAGAACCGCCTTGCCAACTTCTGACCACCACCCAATCACACAAGTTTTCCTGTTTCGCTTTTCCCACTGGGTGTGTCTAGAAAAGCCTGGCCTTAAAAACCTCCTTTTGCCAACAGATGTGAACCTGGGATGTTTCCCACCCCACCCCCAGGAGATGCCACCAGCGCCGGTCCCACCGCTCGGCAGCTCGAGGATGATGAGCAGGCAGGAGGCTTCTTTTAATAACCAGCAAAGGAAATGATTTAATTCCCCCCCCCTAAGAAAATACAGAGAGATTAGCAACAGGAGCATCTGAAAAGGGGAAGTTCAGCTGGGAGCTGGTTTTTTAATATTGAATGTTTCAATATAAAGCAGCACGTTTCACTAGGCAGGAAGGAACTGTTTGGTTTGGTTTGGTTCTTGCCCTCCCCAAAAGTTTATTGTGACATAAAGAACCTAAATGTAAATCCCCCAGCACATCTTTAATGCTCTGTGTTGGATGCAGTTAAAACTGATCGAGCTGAGGAGGTTGAGAGTTCTGAATTTCAAGGGCCTTAAGATCCTTACCAGGTAAATAATTCAGAAGTTCTTACTGCACACGAGTTCAGCGTTCGCTGCAGCATCAAAGGGGAAGTGGTGGGAGCTGGCAGCGCTCCTTGCTGACTGCTGGGCTGCACTGGAGGCATCTCTTCAGGAAAAAGGGAAGGAGGGGTGGTTTCAAGATGTACCTGCATCCTGGAGGATGAAATAGGTGGTGTGGGATCTGGAACTCCACGGCTCCCTCGGGGCAGGTGAGTTGGTGTGCAGGTGGAAGGCCCCGCTGGTGACGGTTTCACTGGTCAGGACACAAGGCTGTCCCCTGCCTTCAGGGGCTTTGTCTGCAAAGACAAGGGAGAGAACATTCTTTAGGATGACCTAAACAAAGGGAATTTTTTTACTTTGTGTGCTTGAGTTCATCTTTTTTTACGTGTGAACTGTGAGAATCGATTAACGTGCCCCATATTAATACCAGGGCAGCGGTAACAGCTGCCATCTCCTCCCTGCTGTCACGCAAGCCAACCCCAAAAATGCAGTGCAAGTAAACAGAGTTTGGGTTTCTGCTCTGATCGAAGCAGTTTACTGGTTCATTGGGAAGAAAGAGGGTGCTCTAAATATTATGACATCCCTGCAGGATGAGCCTTACTTAGGCTCGTGCAGGCTGAATTTCACGGCCCTTCCTAGTGCAGAACACAAATCCGTTTGTGTTTTGTATAGAAATCCCCGAGTCGATTTATGAAATTCACCTTCTAGAAACTCGTCAGCCTCACCCAGTCTGCAAACAGAGCAGTTTGGGTTGGTTGGGCAAGTTAGGATTGGTACGTGGGGAATTCCCTTGGGCTGGGGTGGGGCCGCCAGGGCGATGATGGATGATTCCCTGCCCCAGCGATACCCGCGGGCACAGCTTGGGGGGCAGCCCTGCCAGCAGGAGCTATGCCCGTGCAGGAGGCCTTGGGGACGAGAGATGTTCATAACCCGAGCATTATTTCCACCAGAACACGCAGTGTGCTGTGTGCTGCCACTACAAACGTGAGACGCGTGTTGTGCGTTCACAGCCATTACCGCGATCCAATAAAGTACAGCGTGGAAAATGGTGCTGCACAGCGGGAACGGAGACAAGAAGGAGGGATCCGCAATGGCGATGCCGCCGGGATGCTCCGCGGCCAACAAAGGCGGCCGGGCGGAGGCAGCGCAGGGCCCGCGGGCGCTCCGCAGGCGCTCCCGGCGCACCCGGGGCCGTGAGGAAGGGCAGCCCCGCTCCGGGACACGGTTCCCTGCCCAGCCCGGGGTGACCCCGGCGGGGCACAGCGGCGGCCGCGCCGGCGGAGGTGGCAGCGTGTGGCTCCTCCCGTCCTTTGTTGGCCCCGAGCGGAGCAGCGGCCGGGTGGTTTCCCCCGCTGCCCTTCGAGGCCTGCGGCGCTCGGGAGCGCCCGGAGGGCTGCGGGGATCGCCTCCCCGGCGCGGGGGGCACCTCGGCCGTGCCCGCCGGCCCCGCTCGGGGTGGCACCCCCCGAGCTGCCCGGGCTGCGGGAGGCCGCGACCCGGCCCCGCAGCCTCCCCGCCCCCGGCACTCTCCAGGGAGCCGTTCCACACGGAATCACACGGGAGCGTCTCCCCATCTGTGCCGCCGAGCACCCCCACCCCCACCGCCCAGCCCCGCAGCCTCCTGCCATTATGTTCCTCCGTCGCGGGGCCGGGCCGCGCCGCGGGCCGTAGCCCTGCCCGAGCCCGCCGGCTCCGGCCGCAGCAGGTGTGTCGCATGGGGAGCGGAGCTTGCATGCGGTGGGGTCGCTTCCTGCCGGCCCGGCGGTGGCCGGAGCCCCGCGGGTAGCCCGCGCAGCCCGGGCGGGGCCGGATCGCCGTGCCCGTCGCCGGAGGGACCGCGGCCTCCTCTGCCCGGGCGTCCCCGGGGCTCGCAGGGCCCGGCCGGGCAGGGCCGGCAGCGAGCGGGCCCGCGGGGAGGTGGCCGGGGCCGCGGCGGCCCGGAGGAGGGAGCGGCCCCCGGGCCGAGGGGCCGAGGGAGGGCCGGCCGCGGCCGCCCGTGCGGGGAAGACGGGCCGAGGCGGCGGAAGAACGTGGTGCTTCTGCCCAGAACGGCGTGGGGGGGATGAGGGGATGCGGAGAAGGTGTGCAGGGTTGTGCCCCAGACCTCTGCTCAGTTGCAGGTGCAGCCCAGGGCAGAGGGGCCGGCCGGGGTTGCCCAGCCGCCCGCAGGGAGCCCTGCAGAGCAGCATCTCCCGCAGCCCCCGAGAGGAGGGGGCTCGGCGCGTAGGCGGAGGTGGTTACTGGTGTTCCCAGAGCAAGGGTGAGTAGCCAGGAGGAGCGGGGTGGCTGCTGTGTCGGTCCGTGGTGCCTGTCAGCCAGCCACGCAGGAGGAAGGCCCAGCGTGGCCGAGGTGAAGGGGAGCGGGCAGCGGCACAGCGGCCACGGGCGCAGGTGGGTGCGGAGCCCCGGAGCGGCCCGGGCACCGCGGGGAGCCCGGCCCCGTGCCTGGCATCGCCCCAGAGGCGCAGGGCAGGGCCGAGCAGGCGGCTCGGGCCGGGGTGGGAGCCGCTCAGAGGAGCCTGCCCGGGCCTCCCCAGCCGGGGGGTGCCGGCCGGGGGGGCTGCAGCTCGCTGGTTCTTAGGGCCTCCAGCACTGTGGAATAGCAAAAAAGGCCCAAAAAAATATAAAGAAAGAGGGCAGCGGCCGACTCGGCGCTGCGAGGAGGGGGCAAAGGAACTATTTTGCAGGCATGTTGCTGCTGCGGAAATGGATTTCTGGAGGGGAGGGAGGCGCGCGTGTGGGTCCCGTGCCTGAGCAATGGCACAGAGAGCTCCGAAAATGCCACCCGGGCGGCCCCAGCTGCGGCGAGCAGTGGGGAGGGCGGCCGGGAGAAGCCCCAGGGCTCGGGCACCCCTCGGCCGTGTGGGCATGAGAGGAAAGATGTGACGCGTGTGGGAGCAGAGGGGGAGCAGCCCGGGTTGTGTCCCAGGGCTGTGGCCGAGCCTGCCCGGTGCTGCGAGGGAGATCCTGTGAGGATTTTTATTGCGGTCTCTTTGTTAGCTCCAGACAGGCACGCACACACACACACACTCACACACACACACACAATCCCAGCTCTCAGCCAGGTTGTGGGAGGTAAGTGGGGGAGGCGAGCAAGAGGGGGGCTCTGGGGAGCAGGGGCCGCGTGGGCCGGGCCGGAGGGGAGCCGGGGTGCCACGCCACACACCCCCCCTTCCCCACGCACACACACACAAAAATAACCCAACCCCTGCGATTTTCAGGGGGACTTGTTGGCAACTCGGCGAGGGTTGCCATAGCTTTTTATGTAGGGTGACCAGAACCGGCTGGAACTGGTTTGAGGCGGATCAGCTCCTGAACACAATGCAGTCACTGAGCTACTACACTGGGAGAGCTTCCTCCCTTCATGGCAGCCAAAAGCAGAGGAGCTTGCAGAAACAGATACCAGCCCCAAACAGTCTGTGAATGCACACTTTGTAGACACACAGCACTGGTACGTGGCTAACGTAGTCCTAAAAGGGTTCTGGATGGAAATGTACAGATTTGCAGGATGACTCGGGCTTTTCGTGCCTTTTTTTTTATTATTATTATTATTTTTTTTTATGCTTAAGGAAACGGGTGAAAGAGCTGAGATTTACGACCCCGAGTCCAATATTTTTGGCTTTGCAAGGGTGGGACACCGGTGGTGCAGCCGGTTTGGAAGCGAAAGGACATAAAATGGATATTGAATGCTGTGTAATTGTAGCTGTGCTTGCGACTGAGGAGGATGCTTTGCATGCGGTTTTATTTACAGGGGGTGCTGTCTTGTGGTTTGCTTCTTTAGGGGATGTTAAGCTTGGGGGTGTGGGGGTGTGGAGGTTGCTGTGCCTTTCGGTGAGGCCGAAAGGAAGCAGGATTGTCGTAGAATTGTGCATAAAAAAAGCATCTCGAAGAGATGCATTCTCGTTTCCCTCTTTTTTTTTTTTCCCTTTTTTATTATTTTTTTTTATTTTTTATTTTTTTTTCCTCTCCCTTGCAGGCCTATTGATTGGGGCTGCCTTTAACCCTTTGGTGTGTTTGCAGAGGTAACGGAGCAGCGGCTTTAAAAACCCCAAATAAATAACCTTTCAAAGGTCAAGGTTCACGAGGTGAGATGGGGTGGTTGGTGTGATGTGTGGGAGAGGTGAACCCGACACCCTCGGCGCACCAGGAAGGAGACAATTGTTGGAGGGCTCCTGCAGAAATGCTCTTAAGGTCCTCCAGTGTTAATAGGATTAAAGCTACTCTTTGGAAAGCCTGAACTGATATCTTGGCTAAATACACTTATTTTCACTGCAATCTCTCCAGATATAGGTTGGGTTTTTGTCACAGCGCAGCGCTGCGGAACAGGCCTCTGAGTGGCAGTGGTAAATTGTGGGCCGGTTGCGGCGGCGTTGCTCGCAGGCAGAATCTGCTGCCTGGCTATTTACAGCTTGTCGTCCGGCCACGGCCGAGCGACCCAGAATTTGGGGGTGAATGAAGGTTTTCAGCATTAAATGTGGACTTTTAGTATCTCCTACAGGTTAAAAACCCAAAAAGTATAAAGAGCAGGGATGGCTTTTCTTGAGACTGCTGTAACCTCGGGGAGGGTTTTGCAGCAGCCAAGTGGGAAGATGTATTTTTTTGGGGGGGGGGGGCTGGATGTGGAGCTCCAGCCCTGAATTGTAATCTCTCAGTGATGAAATCAGAAAGCGGATGGGCAGCGCATCGTCAGCTCCTGAGGGGTGGCTGCTTTTAACTCAGGGCAGTGGATAATTGACAGGGGGTTGGTGGGTTTATTGTTTTCCCTCGTCTAAAAAATTGAATGTGTGCTCAGACTCGAGCTGGAATTCCTCTCTCACAGTGAGAGCCGAAGGATTCAGAGAGGCAGAGGGAGAGGAGAGAGAAGGAAGCAGGCATGAAGGGAAGAACAAAGGCTGTGAGAGCTTGCACAGTGCATCACTCAACGTTTTGCCTTGGGGGATTTCTTTTTGCTAGAACTGTTCACTTCCTACAGCAGGAAATCAGCAATCAGAAACCAGGGGGATTTATGATTGAAAAACCAAAGAATCTCCCCAATCCTAGCTGGGTAGATGGTTTGGCAGCCTACAAGCAAGATGGTATGGAGGCAGATGATGTGGTAGATGGTGTGGTGTGAAATGAGCGTCCTCTCTGTGCAGACAGAGCCCCATAAGCCTGGCGAGGCTGGGGATGGTGGGTAAGTTGTGAGCAGGGTGCCTGCACCCCGGTGACAACGCCAGGCCACCCTTTTTGTTCCTGAGGCAGCACCTTATGTAAGGCACTGAGCTGTTAATTGTAGGAGAGTGGTTTTTGTTTTTTTTTTAATTTCTGATCATCTGAACAGTAGGCAGATTAAAAATTGGAAGTTCTGGAATTGATGCAGAATTCTGTGCGTCTGTTTGGGGGTTTCAACGCTCTCTGCACTGCAGATTTTTTTATTCTCAGCCAAGAAGGTTTTGGATTTGCAGGGTTTTCGGTAGGATGTGAGATGAGAGGCCCTGGTGAGTTGTGTTTTTCCCACAGATGTGAATCCCTGTAAATGCCCTTCACCAGGAGATGGGGGTTTTGCAGGCAGGAGCGACATTTAGGACGTGATCCGAATCTGTGTGACTCCTGGAATCCGAAAATTGCAGCTGAGTTATCCCCATGCTTGTTTTACATCGGGAGGTACCAAATTAAGCCACGTTTATCGTTTATTTTCAAGCAGAGTGCAGGAAGAACAGGGTTTTCCCTTGTTTTTCAGGAATCCACTCCCATTTTAGGAGGATCTGGGGAAGTGTGCAGGCCCAGCCCCCGAGGTGGATCTCTGGATCCATCCAGGTGGTTTCCAGCTGGAGCTGGAGATGGCTGGGGATGGCTGGGGAGGTTCCTCTGCCCACCTGCTGGGACATCCCTGGTCCTTTTTCCAACCAAAGGCTGAACATCCTGACCCTTGAACCAGCTGGGGGTGGTTCTTTTGAAGCTGTGCTAGAGGTGCTTTAGAGCCCAGAGGCCTCCCCTTCTCTCTTTCCCTTCCTGTTTTCTGCTACCCAAAGAGAACTGGAGATAGCCAGGTCCAAAATTGACGAGATGAGGCTCCTACAGAGTCAGGAAGTGCAGGAGTGATATTTTGGCTGTCAGAATTTTGGATTAGGTCTTTCACTCGTTGGGCATGGAGACAGATTGGACTGTCCTCTTTTCCCGAAGGGCAGATAGATTTGGTGCAGGTTGCTTCGTATCCATTTCCACCTTGGAACACCGAGACGCTTCCCAGAGATGTTTCCATCAGGACCTTAGCGGGTGGTAAATGAGACCTCTGTGCTGAGAACTCCAGAGTTCCCAGGAGGAGAATTCCTGTGCCTGTTAGGAAAGGAATTCCTGGGATTTCTGGAAGCAAGCGCCGTGCCCTTCAGGCCTGGGGAAGAGGAGCGCGACTGCGGTCGCGGCGCGCGTCAGAGCGGTGATTGGAGATGTGGTTCCCGTTTCCTGGAGGAGGGGTTGTGGTCGGGTTGGCTCTGTCTGTCGCTGCGGAGGGGATGATTGGAAGTGTAAATCACTCCTGATATTTGGTGGGTGAACTGGTCGTGTTCTGTGTGTCAGGCTGAAGGTTGCCTAACGAGCCTCACCTAATTTAGGCACCTTGTTTGGACTTTGTGGAGTCCTAGAGGTAAAAACACTGCAGAGAGTTTAGGGAAGGTCCCAACAACGTGAATGCCACAGGTAGATGAAGATTGGGGGTTTTCCTGCTTCCTGTTTGAAGGCAGAGGGTTGGAATTTAATCAGGCAGTTGTATCAAGTCCTTGGATTTGTGGTTGTGCAGCTTGGGAAGAGCTGGATGGATGGCAGGGTAAGAGCCAAAGAGGAAAAGTTCTTTAAAGGTTAAAGATTCAATAAAAGAATAAAAAGCTGGGCTTGTACCTGACAAAAATGAGGGGTTTGAGTGAGCTGGAGATGGGCCCAGTCTGGGGCTGGTTTTTCATCAAAATCCCGGTTTCCCTGGGGAAATCAGGAGCTTCATTCCCTGTTCTGAAGCATTTACAGGCATCACGATGGCCCAGAGAAGGCACAGACTTAACAGCTTGTCTGACAGCCAAGGTGTCAGCTGATTTGGATCTTGGAGGAAAAGGCAGAGTTATCTCCTTAAAAGAAGGGAGTTCCTGAAAGGTTTTTGGGGAGTTTTTGCAGGAGTAACTGCACCGAGGCTTTGCGTGGATTTACATGGATTTTATGTGCTCTGGTCTCTGGATTCCTTTCCATTTAATTTGTGGAGCAACTTGCTTTGTAATGTTGATATTAATGCAGGTGTTAATTTTTGTATTTAGGACTTAATTAGTCCGACAGAGCCACTCAACTATTAACCCTGTCAACAAATTCCAAACCCCTTCTGTATTCCTTTGAAGGTGTTGCCTGACATGTCCGTGTGTATTTCAGAATCCTTGAAAAATGTCCCTCATCTCCTTCCTGAAGTCCCTGATGACTTCCAGGTAGGCAGCGCTGATGAGCTGATGAATGCCCGAGTGTTACAGATTGTTACCTCTTCAGGACTCATCAGGTGGACAGTGCAAATGTTTAGGAAAATCAAGGCAGGGGGAGCTGCAAGTGCCTGACTTTATCTTTCTGAACATGCAGGTTATCTTGCTGTAATCACTGCAGGCCAGGATAGGAGGGAGTGCAGGAGAGGGAGCAGGAAGAAATTTGGGCCCAGAATGAAATGGCCGAGTTACTGAGTGTGGAGTTGAGCTCCCGGTCAATAATTCACCTGCACGCTTGGACCGCTCTGTGACCTCTGCTTCCCGGAAATGTTACTTGTTTTGTGTGAGCCCAGAGCTGAAAGTAACGCCCGTCTGCTCCTCTTACAGATCGGCTTCCCGCCAAAGCCGTGACCATGGGGGACATGAAGACCCCCGACTTCGACGACCTGCTGGCGGCCTTCGACATCCCCGACATGGTGGACCCCAAGGCGGCCATCGAGTCGGGGCACGACGAGCACGAGGGCCACGTCAAGGCCGCCGCCCACGCCGAGGACGACGGCCACGCCCCGTCCTCCTCCGACGTCGGGGTGAGCGTCATCGTCAAGAACGTGCGCACCATCGACGCGGCCGAGGGCGCCGACAAGGACGGCCACCACGCGGCGGGCAACGGCCTGCACAACGGCTTCCTGACGGCGGCGGCGCTCGAGGCCTACGGCAAAGAGGAGGGGAAGCCGCCGAAGGACGACGGCTCGGCCGCGGAGACGCCGCTGAAGGACTCGGCGTTCAACCAGTTCAGCCCCATCTCCAGCGCCGAGGAATTCGACGACGACGAGAGGATCGAGGTGGACGACCCCCCGGACAAAGAGGACGCGCGGGGCGGTTTCAGGGCGAACGTCCTGTCGCAGCAGGAGTATGACAAACTCAAGGGGCTGGGCGGGGAGAACTTGATGAAATCGGGAATGTCGCTCTCCAATAGTCTGGAGAAAAATAAAGTCGCTAAACGAGAGGCGGAGACGAACTCGGTGAATTTAAGCGTCTTCGAGCCTTTTAAAGCCCGGAAAGCGGAGGACAAGTTGCTAAAGGACGGTGCTGACAAGCTCCTGGAGAACAGAGCGCCGGACGGGAAGCCCAGTGCCGAGAAAAGCGACGCGAATCTCGCCGGCGTTTCCCAGGCCAAAGCAAAGTCGTCGGCGAAGCTTTCCTCCTGCATCGCCGCCATCGCGGCGCTGAGCGCCAAAAAGGCGGCTACGGACAGCACTAAAGACTTACAGGCTAATTCAGGGGAGTCCTCTCCCCTACCAAAAGACACAAGCGACAGCCCCCGGGCCGTTGACAAGTCGCCCGAGTCTCAGAGTCTCATCGACGGCGCCAAGAAGCCATCTGTCAAACCCCCCGACAGTCCCCGGAGCGTGTCGAGCGAGAACAGCAGCAAAGGGTCTCCGTCTTCCCCGGCGGGCTCCACGCCGGCAATTCCCAAGGTTCGCATCAAAACCATCAAGACGTCTTCGGGGGAGATCAAGAGAACTGTGACCAGGGTGTTGCCGGAGGTGGATTTGGACTCCGGGAAAAAGCCGGAGCAGAGCTCGTCCATGGTGACTTCGGTGACGTCTCTGCTGTCGTCGCCGCCATCCGCTGCCGTGCTGTCCTCTCCTCCCAGAGCCCCTCTGCAGTCCTCGGTGGTCACCAACGCGGTCGGCTCTCCGGAACTCGCCCCCAAGCAGGTCACCATCAAGCCCGTGGCCACGGCCTTCCTGCCCGTGTCGGCGGTGAAGACGGCGGGCTCGCAGGTGATCAACCTGAAGCTGGCCAACAACACCACGGTGAAAGCCACCGTCATCTCGGCGGCGTCGGTGCAGAGCGCCAGCAGCGCCATCATCAAAGCCGCCAACGCCATCCAGCAGCAGACGGTGGTGGTGCCGGCGTCCAGCCTCGCCGGCGCCAAGCTCGTGCCCAAGACGGTGCACCTGGCCAACCTGAACCTGCTGCCTCAGGGCGCCCAGGCCGCCTCCGAGCTGCGCCAGGTGCTCGCCAAACCCCAGCAGCAGATCAAGCAGGCCATCATCTCCGCCGCGGCCTCGCAGCCCTCCAAGAAGGTGTCTCGGGTGCAGGTGGTGTCGTCGCTGCAGAGCTCCGTGGTGGAGGCCTTCAACAAGGTGCTGAGCAGCGTCAACCCCGTGCCCGTTTACGTGCCCAACCTCAGCCCCCCCGCCAACGCCGGCATCACGCTGCCCACGCGAGGCTACAAGTGCCTGGAGTGCGGCGACTCGTTCGCCCTGGAGAAGAGCCTGAGCCAGCACTACGACCGCAGGAGCGTGCGGATCGAGGTCACCTGCAACCACTGCACCAAGAACCTGGTGTTCTACAACAAGTGCAGCCTGCTGTCGCACGCCCGCGGCCACAAGGAGAAGGGCGTGGTGATGCAGTGTTCCCACCTGATCCTGAAGCCCGTGCCGGCGGATCAGATGCTGGCGGCTCCTCCCGGCAACGCCGCGCCGCAGAGCCCGGCGGGATCCCTGGCGAAGGTGCAGCCCGGCGTGACGGGGACGGTGATCTCCGCCCCGGCCAGCTCTCCCGTCGTCCCGGCCATGCCGCTGGACGAAGATCCCTCCAGACTCTGTAGGCACAGCCTGAAGTGCTTGGAGTGCAGCGAAGTTTTCCAGGAGGAGACGTCTCTTGCCACTCATTTCCAGCAGGCCGCGGACGCGAGCGGACAAGTAGAGTATCCTATGTTTACATTCCCGTCTTTCGCCTCTAAGCCTAGGAGAACTTTGGAGATGGTTTTTTTACTTCCGTTTTACCCCCCAAACTCCCTGATTAAAATGATAAACACAAAAAAGTCTTGCAAGCCCGTAACGCTTTTTAAATCAGGATATTTTTTAGGCCCTGCGAGTTCTGGTATCGCCGCCGCCTCGGTGGTAAAAATCTCAGCTTTAGCTTTTTTTGACAGCTTAATCCTGAAAGTCTCGTGATAGGTTTTACTAATCATCCTTTAACCGTCCTTTCTGTGCTTTGGAGTTCGAGTAGCCCGTGGAATCCACTTAATTGGCACCCTCATTAACAGCCCGTCCGTTCAACCCCAACGAGCGGTTTGATTGGTCCTCAGCTTTTGAGTGCCCTGAGCGAGCCAGGCATTCCCCTCACCTGCAGGGACCCAGGCAGTGACAAATGGCACGCTGACCGCTGACAGCAATGCTGACAGGAATTCCCTAAAAGCTCTTCCCCGGCACCATTCCTTGCTGTGCTTTGGCTGGTTGGGTTTCCCTCCCCTCTTCCGAGCGCTCCCGAGTTCACCTTCCAGCCCATTTTTCCAATTGGTGACTGCTGTTAACGTGGCCTGAGCTGAAAGAAGCGTCAATAAAACTTCCTCTCCCCTCAGTGTGCGCTGTATTTTATAAATCCGGCAGGAGCCAAGGCGGTTAATTAATCCAGGCAGTCGGAGCGTGCCAATTAAAAGGGATTCTGGGGTGCCTTCGGTCGAGCTCGCCGATCCAGCTCTGGGCCCGGCTGAAAAACCTGCATGAGTGCTCAGGGAATATTGCTGGGAATCACACAGGATAAAATCCTGCAGTTAGGAAAATAAGGCTGCCAGTCAGAGGAGCTGATCGGGATCTATTTACGGCACCACGAGGCAGCTGGCCAGGTGGTCACGGAAAGGGATTTGGAGTGTGGGTGCTGGTGGCTCTGCCCCAGCTCCTCCTTTCCTAACAGAGTTAGACTGAGAGCCTGCATTCCCACTGGAATTGCCATCCTAGGGAACTCTTCCCCTCTGGAATGCTGCTGGTGTGTGGGTTCCATCCCTAGATGTAAGCAGGATGTAAATGGCTGACCCTGTTCTGCACCAGCTCCAGCTCTTTAGGTTTTTCCCTGCCTGCTTCGCTGGTGCTCGCTGGTGGCAGATGGATTCTACAGATAGGGAACATCCCATCTACAATCCCCTGTCCTGGCAAAAACCCTGTTGTTGCTGGAAGTCAAAAGGCCCTGAGATAAAGAGGCAGGATAGGTTGGGAGGATGAGGCTAAAATGGAAAACAAAAAGAGAAGAACGAAGAGAAAGTGATGATGTGCTCGCTTTTTTTTGGGGGGGGGTCCTTGTCTTTACAGACAGGTAAATGAACCTTTTTTGCCCTTCCCTTTCTCCCCCTGCTGAGTTTGCTCTCCAAAGGAATAAACCCTTTGCTGCTTTGTCATCCTCAGAGGTGAATGAAATCCTTCATTGCCTTCCTAGTGCTTGGCACTTTTCTGCTGTCAAACTGCCTCTATTTTGGGGGAGGGTAAAAATCGCAGAAGATTCGATATTTTAACTTTGGAAGGGAGGAAACAGGAAGGAAAAACAAAAAGAACAAAGAATCTCCCAGGGAAACTACAGCGCTCAACGTTCTCATGTATCTTTATTTTCCACCTTCACTTTTTTTTTTATCTTCTAACCCTTTTTTTTTTTCTTTTTTTTTCTCCCTGAAACTTTTGGCTTTTTTAAATGCAGGCGGGTGGTGATGATTTTCACCAGCTTGTTTTATTTTGGTGTGGGTTTGGAATGAGAGAGAGAGAGAGAGAGAGAGAGAGCTGGAGTTAAAAGGCCACCCTAAGCCCAAACTCAAATGGTAAGCAAATGTCAGAATGTCACGGTGGATGCTTTTTTGTTCTGCTGGCCTCACTTTGTGTGCTCACTGAGCAGAGCAGGGGCCTTCACCAAGGGCAGCAGATGAGTCTGGCACCGGCAGAGAGGTCACTGAGCTGAGCCAACAGTGCCCCATGCCCCGGGGCTTGTTAATCCCCAAGATGGATTTGAAACCCGGTAAATGGGGCAGCGTAAATGGCCAGGCAGGATTTTGTGTTGCCTTGAAGGTGAAGTGAAGACCCCAGAGCAGTTCTAGTCAGCCTGGGGGGGGTGAGTCCTGAACTCTGTTTGGATGGTGAGTGTTCAAACACAGAGCATTGGTAAATAATTTACAGCACAGCTCTGGAGCTCCTGGTCTGGCCTGTGTTCTTGCAGAGAGCACTCATCAGCACATCTGCCAGCCCCTTCCAGAGAACATCCCTAGAAACACCCGTGGCTTGATTGGCTTGGATTTTAATTCTCGGGGGGATTCACAAATCCCAAGAAATAACAGGAATGATTTGCGCCATCAAGGGTAAATTGGGGAGGTGCTTCTGCAAACCCACATGCATCTCCCGGGCTCAGGGGTGAACTGACGGGGCTGTGGCGGCCTCAGGACACCCCCTATTGTCTCCTCTCTTGTGGTTTGTCGTTTAGAAGACGTGCCCCATCTGCCAGATGCTGCTCCCCAACCAGTGCAGCTTCGCGTCGCACCAGCGGATCCACCAGCACAAATCCCCCTACACGTGCCCCGAGTGCGGAGCCATCTGCAGGTCCGTCCACTTCCAGACCCACGTCACCAAGAACTGCCTGCACTACACCCGCAGGGTGGGCTTTCGGTCAGTATGGCGAGCGCTCTCCGCTTCGGGAAGTTAATTTACCGGTTTTCATGAGGGTGGGTTGGGGGATTTACAGCGACAGGGTTGTCAGAGTTACAGATTGGGGGATAAGCACATTAGGGTGCTGCTCTGTCTGGGCATCCACTTTTGGAGATGATTCAATCACAGATACAGGGCTTATAAAGTTTAGAGAATTCAGATGCATTGCCTTAATTTGAGGTTCTTAAAAAACACCAAAAACTGTGGAGTTGTTTTTTTGCAGATGATTGAATTCTGGTAGAAACAGTGACCTGCAGTATTTACTCCCTTTTCTCCACTGACCTTCCCTGTGGTCTGTGCCTCCACAGAACCACCTGCAGGGACTCCAGGCCTGCCCCAGTAACACCAGCAACCTCACAAATCATTCACTGAGTCACTTAAACTTTCCAAGACATCTCCTAAACATCTCATGGCAGAATTCCTTCATCTGCTGAGACCGAACCAAAGTCACCCAGGCAAAGAAAAGCACCCTGGGAATGATAATTTCTCCCTCCTCAGACTTCCCTCCTTCCCCACCTCTCATCATCAAGCAGAGGAGGTCTTAACAGACCCCCCAAAAGCCCAGGCCAATTTACCTGAGATTGGTAAACTGAGATGAGATGGGTGTAAACCTAACGGATGCTATTGACAGTGTAAATTGTGCCCAGCAAAGAGAGGATGATGCTTGGCAAAGTTCAGGGGTGATCACTTTTAAGGGGAAAATGGGATCTTGGAATGCTTTCTTGTTATCATCAGCATGGCTAAACCCACCTGAAAATGGATTTGACAACAATCCTAACAATAAGAGGAGACAAAATTAAAATAGTGGAAGGGTAGAGAGGGGCCTTCTGTGTTTGAATGTTCTTGGAGTGATTTGGTGGCATTTACTGCTGGAGATGGAGGGCACTAAGAGGGACCCTGGTGTAAAAACTCGGTGTTAATTGGATATTTTGTTTTTAATTTCATTTTAGAATAGATGTGGGGAGCTCACAAACACTCGACCCGGCAGAAGTAGGTTTTTTTGCAAAGTTATTTTCCCACTTCCCACCTGTGATCTGTCGATGTGATTGCCGAGATTCAATTTAGCTTCCCCTGAGTTTTGAATCTGCTGATTTGATTCGATCTGAACAAGGGGGGGAACGCTGCAAAGATTTTCCTTCCTGGTTTTCCCTTCCATGGCCGTTCCCAAATTGCTGGGGGTGCACCTTAAACAATCCGCTGCACGTGCCAAAAAAGGCAGCTCGGGAAATCTGCAGAGGATTGAAGCGTTCCCTGCCCTCAATCAACACATTATCCCCCTGTCAACCTTTCTATCTGCTCTACTGTGATAACACACCCCCCAAAAAAAAAAAAATATCCTGACCTCTTATATCTTTTGGGGTGACATTTTCTCTGCCCTGCTCTGGGATCCCCCAATCGCTGGTTGGTGGTGCTGATTGGTTTGAGCGCTCGGGACGCCGCAATTTACGCCGGTGCCCGCGATTGTGTGGCGGATGTTGCAGATTGACTCTCCCTGCTCTCTCCCCCAGCTGCCTGCACTGCAACGTCGTCTACTCCGACGTGGCGGCCCTCAAGTCTCACATCCAGGGCTGTCACTGCGAGGTCTTCTACAAGTGTCCCATCTGCCCCATGGCCTTTAAATCGGCGCCCAGCACCCACTCCCACGCCTACACCCAGCACCCCGGCATCAAGATCGGCGAGCCAAAGTAAGCACTGTCAATTTACTGGGTGAGGGTGGCCTTTTCCCTGAGCCTGCACTAGGAAAGAGCGATTCCAGGGCGGAATTACGTAAATCGTTGGCGCAGGTGGCCGCAGCCTCGCTGCTTTCCGATGGCTCATCTGCGTTTTTGCTGTGAATTGAGATAATGCCGTTCCAAAACCGAGCTGCTGAGGCTCGTCAGCACTCACTTCTCATAGCAGCTGGTTGGGAAGTGGGGGAAAAAGTGGATTGGAGCTTTTTTTTCCCCTGATATGTGCTCTCTTTCTTTCTGGCTCAGAGCACAAGTGGTTCTGTTCTGTAGCAGTGCTGGTGCTTTGCTGCAGGTGGTTACAACCCGCAGGCCCGGTGGTAAATGATACCTTGTTTTAATGACATCAGAAAGTTGTTTTCACTGCAGAAAAGCCGGAAGATGAAGCTCGCTGTCGGTGTACAAGTGAATTGTGCTCGCATCTGCCAGTCTGTTTCTGATCAGCTCCGTGATTTTAGCATCACTGACCCAGGGGGTGTGAGGGGGGGACACTCTGGTGTTTCCAGGAACTGTAAAACTGCCCCTGCCATTTACTGGCAGTGGGGGATTGACAATCACATTACTGACAGTTGTTTCACAACAGATGCACCACACTGGAAAAATGCAAGGGACTCGCAGTGGGACGAAATGAGATTATTTTAATATCATCTGCTCATCTATCAAGCTCTCTCTCCTGGAACTTTAATCTTAATCTCTTTTGGAACAGGGGAGAAAATCCTTGGATGGTTATGAAGGGTGTTATCCCACAAGCTCCATCCTTTTTTTAAGAGTTCAAAAAAACTCTGGGAAGGAGAAACCCCACCCTGTGGGGCAGAAGTTGTTGTGATGGGAGGAGTATTTCCCTGTGTGGTTGTTCCGAGTTTTGGGGGAGTGTTGGTGGAGCTGCAGGGCAGGGGCAGGTGGGTTTAGGGAGTTACAATATTTCTGTGATTCAGAAATGGGTCAGATTGTCTCCTAGCAGATTCACCAGGGACTGCAGGACAGCAGCCCATCAGAGGACGCTGTGTAAATGATGCTTTTATTGCTGTCAATTGATTATAAATAATGCAAACCTGAGTGAGAATTCACCTCAGCGAGCATTTATCTGAGGGAGGAGCTGGGACCACTCGATGCCCCCAATAACAATCTCTCTCCCAGTTCACATTAAGTGGCATTCAAGAACTTCAAAGCCACAAGACATCACTGCCAAAAAAAAAAATCCATTTACCCTGAAGTGTGTTCCTAGTTCTGATGGAATCAGAAACACAGGGATACTGTCCTGTAGCTACACCAAGAGGCTGAACTTTCAGAGTGTCCTGAGAGCAGATGGTGGTGTTATTATTCTAACTTCTTCCAGGCAGCGTGAATGAAACGTGTCAGCTCTTAACCCCCCCCCCATGAAAAATCGAGTTAATTGACGTGGTGATTGTTGCCCCTCCCCTCCGACTGACGCTGTTTATTGTACTTCTGTTTTTAGAATAATATATAAATGCTCTATGTGTGACACTGTGTTTACTCTGCAACCTTTGCTCTATCGCCACTTTGATCAGCACGTTGAGAACCAGAAGGTGTCTGTTTTCAAGTGTCCCGACTGTTCCCTTCTCTATGCCCAGAAACAGCTCATGATGGACCACATCAAGGTGTGTTCTCTCGTTTTCCTTCCCAAATATATCAGTTTTTTCCAGCATTATATTTATGTTTTAGTGTTCCCTGCCACTGTTTGTGCTTTCAACCAGTAGGGGTTTTATAGGGATTCACTGTAAATGACTCTGACACTTTGCAGATTGAAATCGGAGGGTTAGAGAGGACAGATGCAGCAGCAGAATTACTGGTTGTACAGATGGAGAGGAGTAAGGACAGCAGTGTAAATTGGAGCTCAGTTAGGAGGGAATGAAAACAAAAACACTACCAGGCTCCCCCCCCCACCCAGTCTGAAATGAGGCTGCCCAATTAGCAGGTTAGGGAAGTAAAGAAAGAAATTAAACTGAACAATAAGTATTTCTCGTGCCCTGTTAATCAGCAGTTTAACCTTCAGGAAGTCTCTTTTTTTTGGTGTGTGTGGAAATACCTGCGGATGAATTTACTTAACCCTTTAGGAGTGTGATGTGACGGTGACAGGATGTGATTTGGTGATGGCACTTTGACACAGAAGGAAGGGAGTTTTGTTCCAAGGGTCAGCGCGTTCTGTCAATAGAATTGTGGATGTCCCTGTGAGATTTGCAGTTATTTTTCCACCTTTTATCGCAGTCTATGCACGGAACTCTGAAAAGTGTGGAGGGGCCGCCGAACCTGGGGATCAATCTGCCTCTCAGCACCAAACCCCCCCCTCAGAACTCAGCCGGTCACAACAAGGACGACCCAAAGTCCGTCAATGGGATGGAGAGGCTGGAGAAGAAATCTCCTTCTCCCATCAAGAGAGCAGAGCCCAAAAAAGTGGCCAGCCCCGGCTGGACGTGTTGGGAGTGCGACAGGCTCTTCACGCAGAGAGACGTTTACATCTCCCACATGAGGAAAGAGCACGGCAAGGTAGAGGAACAGACCGGATTATTGTTATTTTTGGGGGGGGATTACCTGCAGCAAGTAACTCATCCCAAATCCTAGCTGGTCCCTAACTAATGCCTTTATCCCTTTTTTTTTGGTTTTGATTTTAAAGCAAATGAAGAAGCACCCGTGCCGCCAGTGCGACAAATCCTTCAGCTCCTCGCACAGCTTGTGCCGGCACAACCGCATCAAGCACAAAGGCATCCGCAAGGTTTACACCTGCTCGTGAGTGTCAACTTTTTCTCTGCTTAGAAAGGGAGTGCAGGCCAATTAAAGCCACTGTGTGAGCTCTGAAACTCTTGTTCTGAGCTGCAGAAAAGCCGCTGATGCGGATGGTGAGGAATTTACGGGCGGGGCACAAAGTCTCTTAAATGCACAACCCCTCTTTTCCACCTGCAAAAAACCACTTGTTTTCCCAACACCTGAGTGTGAGTGTGTGTTTCTATCTGCAGGCACTGCCCGGATTCCAGGCGTACCTTCACCAAGAGGCTGATGTTGGAGAAGCACATCCAGCTGATGCACGGCATCAAAGACCCCGACGTGAAGGAGATGGCCGAGGCCGCCAGCGCAGAAGAGAGGGAGGTCAAAGAAGACACCAAGGTAAATTAATCATTTACAAGACTTGGGGGGGGGTGTATTTTGATGCCTTAAAGGTGGCATTTTCAGGGAAGCACAGAGTTTTAGTGGGATCTGCCAAGGGAAAGTTGCTGCTGTTTACAAGGCACTGACAGTAAATAAGAAGAGCTGCTTATTTATGTGATGCCCCACTGAGCACAAGTGCTGTGAGGAGAGGCTGAGGGAGCTGGGGTTGTTCAGCCTGGAGAAGAGGAGGCTCAGGGGTGACCTCATCGCTCTCTACAACTCCCTGAGAGGAGGTTGTAGCCAGGTGGGGGTGGATCTCTCCTCCCAGGCAATCAGCAGCAGGACAAGAGGGCTTAAGCGCTGCCAGGGGAGGTTTAGGTTGGATTTTAGAAAGAAATTCCTTACAGAGAGAGCGATCAGGCATTGGAATGGCCTGCCTGCAGAGAGGTGGTGGCTGAAGGTGTTTAAGATGAGGCTGGATGTGGCACTGGGTTGGATCAAGGGTTGCACACTTGATGATCTTCCAGCCCGGTTAATTCCATGATTCTACGATTGATTTACGTCCCCTTTGCAGGTTCCCAGCCCCAAGCGTAAATTGGAAGAGCCCGTCCTGGAGTTCCGGCCCCCGAGGCGCCATCACCCAACCCTTGAAGAAGCTGAAGATCAACGTCTTCAAGGTCCACAAGTGCGCCGTGTGCGGCTTCACCACCGAGAACCTCCTGCAGTTCCACGAGCACATCCCCCAGCACAAATCGGACGGCTCGTCCTACCAGTGCCGCGAGTGCGGGCTCTGCTACACGTCCCACGTCTCGCTGTCCCGCCACCTGTTCATCGTGCACAAGCTGAAGGAGCCCCAGCCCGCCGCCAAGCAGAACGGGGCGGGCGAGGAGGAGGAGGAGAACCAGCAGGAGAACAAACCCCACGCCCAGGGGGGAGCCGCGGGCGGCGCCGGCGCCGCCTCCGAGCGGCGCTGCAAGGTGTGCGCCAAGGCTTTCGAGACCGAGGCGGCCCTCAACACCCACATGAGGACGCACGGCATGGCCTTCATCAAGTCCAAACGGATGAGCTCGGCCGACAAGTGACGGCAGGGCTCGGGAATGCCGAGGATGGATTTATTTTGGGGGGGGGGTGATGAAAAATCAAGCTGGTAACAAGCAGCGTTGCGATATATCCTGCCCAACAGCGTCCCCCTCCTTCGCCCGGTCGTGGATGCCCTCACCGTTGGAGCAGTGTTTGGGTTGTAAAAGAGTTTGTACATATTTACACTGAGAAGTTTTGATACTCTTTGGTATGTGTTTGTATCGGTATCTAGCGGAGGGGGGGGAATTTGGTTGGTTGGGTTTTTTTCCCCTGTTTGGTTTCGGTTCTTTTTTGTTTCTTTTAATGCTGGGGCAGCTCTGTAGGTTCCCCTTAAGCTGTTTTTTGTTTTGTTTTGTTTTTTTGGAACACTTCTGGAAGAAAAGGTGAGCTGATGGAAGTGCTTGGAGGGGAGAAGGGAAGGGAAGCGAGCTCAGATTTTCAATTCTCTTTAAATTCCGTGCTTCTAAATGCCTCTGGAAGCTTTTAATCTCTCTCTTCCAAAAGATATATATATTAAAAAGAAGCAGCACCACTGCAGGTGTAAAATGACCCCCTAGAGTGGTAACAAAAAAATAATAATAAAAAAAACCACGATACTTTCCCAAAAAGTACAATTGCACAACTCTATCATGGATAATAAAGCGATAGTTTGGTTCTTAGCTCATCAGGTGCTCGTGCTCGAAGCTCAGAGCGTTACAAAAGGACTGGGCCGCTCGGGATTTACCCCCTCGGATGGTAAATTAGAGGCGTGGGTTTCTAATGACGGTGTCTTTTTTGCCCTGTAATTTATTCTCTCTCCTCCTCTTTGCTTGCAAACAATTTCACCCTCGGCTGCGGGCTCTGCCAGCCCTGCAGGCTGCTGATGCCAAAACCTTCTGGTGCTCGGTGTCCCGACTGTGAAGAAGCCAAGGCCCAGCTGGGAGCGTGACAATGGGGACAAGCCCTCGGGAGAGCCATTTACCACCCGCCTGGTGCCCCTGGTTTCGCTTGCACAACTCCCACACACACACACACACACCAAAATAAAACAAAAAAAAAGGTACCATCCTGTCCCTTTTCTGATCGAGTTCTCGGTGAGAGTCTATTTTTATTTTTTCGGTTGGGTTTTTTGGCCTTTTATAACCTTGTACGTTAATCCCTCCAGGAAAAGGCTTTTGTACTTTTTTTTTTAAAAAACACAAAAAACAACCAAAAAAAACCACAAAAAAAAAGGAAAAGTGTATATATATATAGGTAGGTGCATGAGAAGAGGTAGTGATTGATTGTTGGGGTTCCTTAACGAGTCTTGCTGCTGTCTGATGTTGCTACACACACCACGTCCGTTAACGACTTGTATCAAACACACATTTCACGTGTAAATAAAGGTGGAGCGTTTTGCCCCGGAAAGGTTTCGGTGAGATGCTCTTATTTATCGTGGCTTTGGGGTTGGAAACGTTTTAAAATAAAATATAGATATATTAAAAATAAAATTAGGGATCCTCTGGGCCACCTCTGTGAATTTTCCCAGTGGATCTGGGAGTTGTGTGCGTGAATTCTGCTCTCTCTCCATGCCCACTTTTGATTTGGCACGTCCCTAAATGCTTGTGAGCCCAGCTTGGCATACTGAGTGGTACTGAGACCTGTCTGGGGGGGGATTTTATTTCTGCAGATGCACAGAAATGAATTTCTGACCTGCCAGAAAGCCCCCCCCCCCCTTTGAACCTCTGGAGAAATGAGGAGGGCGAGCTTATTTACTTTGCAAAGAGGGTTTTTTTATGTAACTCTGACCTTTTCCATCTGTTAATAAACATTCCCTTCCTCAGCGCAGCCCACGCAGGACATGCAGTAACCTATTTTTTGTTGAAAACCTTCCTCAAATATTAGGGCAGTTCAGCAGGCAGCTCTTTTGTGTTTGGGTTTCAGATTAGAAACTAAAAGGTTACCTGCCTGGGGTGGGGGAATGGGGTGGCAGGAGGAATAAGTACAGAACACGGCAAACACAAATTGGCACAATCTTGACTTCCAAGTGGCTTCTGCAGCCAGAAGTGGATGCAGAAGGAGCGCAAAAGAAAGAGCCACTTCTTGCCCCCTCCCTTCCAAAAAAAAACCCTGGATTTGCTCCTTCCTGACTGTTCTTGGGGGGGGGGAGAAACAAAACCACCTTTCCATCCTGGGTGTGCACCAAAGGGCATCCCAGTGAGCCGCTGCCCTGGGAATGCCCTGGGTTCACCTGCAAAATGACCTGCAGGCACTGCAGCTCCCTCCCCTGACCCCCAGCTTTCCACACTGAAACGAATCCGGCGCAGTGCTGTGACCGTTATTAAAATGATATTAAAATAATGATGTTGAAATAATATAATATTAAAATAAGCCGAGCGCTGTGCCCTTCCCTAACCCGATTTGGCAGCGGCCTCGGCGCAGCTCATCCATTTCCCATTATTCTGCATTCAGGGGGCTGTAAATGGTGCTGATGGCCATGGGGACGCAGGGCATCAGCAGCCGAGCCCGACGCTGCCGCAGCTCCAAATAAACCATTCCTGAAATCCAATTACCCCTCCAGACGCTTAATGCTTAAAATGTCGACTCCTAAAACCACCAGCAGGCAAAGAGGGGTTGCAAACAGGTCCTTGCCAGCTCCCAAGGCAGGTGACAAGGCTCACGAGAGGAGGGACCCACAGGACAGAAGCCCCACGTGCTCCAAACCACGAATCTCTTGGAAAACACAGAGCTGTAATTCAATATTATCCACACAGGCCGCTTGCAAATGGTCTGGTCAATCTTGGCCAGAATGCCAAGAGCTCCATTTTTCTAAAAAGCCAGCGTAATTTTCCAGCTGTGCAAGCTCCAGAAGATCTACTGGGCAAATATCAACCATCTCCAAGAGCTGGAAATACCTTTAATAACCTGAATAATCTAAACCATGCAGCTGGGAAAAGAACAAAAGAGAAGTGTGGGGGGAAAGGAAGAAAAGCCCCTTCCTGCCATGACAAACGGGGCAGTGCGGGTGTTTCTTTAGCTACCACAATCACCAATCACAATCAGCCAGGCTGAGGCACCGTGGGCTCAGAATTCAGTGCCTTGGACAAAAGGACGCGAACAAAGAACCGAGCAGCTTCCATCCCACCGGGTGTCAACAGAAAGCTGCCCTCTCGCCTCTCGAAATCCTCCAAACGCCAACCCTGCTCGTCACAGAGCCGAACTTCCACTTCTCACTCTCTCCATCAGCAACGACTGAACTAACGCCGCCCATTTACCGTCCCTCAGACTCCGCCACTTCCCCGCTGAGTGGCGAGTCTTTAACTCCAAAATTGACACATCCCCTAACTCACGAGAGCCGATTTCCCTCACAACCGCTCCCAAATTTCCCCGCCCGTCCCTCCCGGCCCCTCCCACGCGGTACCTGCGGGGTCACGGCACGGTCACAGCGCTGCCGGCGCGGGGGGCGAACCCGGGACAGCCTGCAAAAGTTGAGAGCAGGGAAATGTCAGAGATGGCTTGGGCAGATTGTTGCTCGTTGGTCACTGCTCTGAACGCTGCGGTAAATTGCCGGCAGGTTCGAGCGCTTTTAGGTGTGTTCCAGGTACAACTATGAGAATTTGGCCTGTTTTTTATTATTATTTGGCTTTCTGGGAGGGAAATGGAATTAGACAGCGGGTAGCTGGTGTGTCATCTACTTTAATTAGCAGTTCTGTGATCGTTCCTTCCCGGTTGTGCAGGTATCAGACACGTGGGAAAGGTGTTTATGGGAGCGGCCAGCCATGGAAAAGCATCATTTACCGAGCACTGGCAAGGATCTGTTAGCCTCCCTTACGCTGATTTTGTCCCCATGACCATTTTTATTCTTTATTCTTATTCAAATTAGCAGATTTGTACACAAAGGCGAAACCCTCTATTTAAAAAAAAAAAAACATCTAAGGGATGTGGTGTGAAAAACCTACTGGGGGGAATTGCAAGAGCCCATCAGAAGTTTCAGTGGGCAGATCCCGCCCTTACAGAACAGGTAACTTCGTCCCCCATCTTTTTAATTAAAATCTTAACCACACAAAGGAAATGAGAAGCTTCGAGTTTGCTCTCGGGTGTTTTCCCTGTGTCTCAGTAATTACATCTGCTCAAAGGGGATTGTGACAGAGACTTTTCTCTCTCTCTATTTGAAGGATATTAAGAGAGAACTAACCTGCATAATGCAAGCTCAGAACAACTCCTGTGTGTCGGGTAAATGAATACTGGTGTGACTGGCAGATTAACCAGGTGAGGAGGTGAAGGATCTTTTTGAGATCATGTCCTTGGAGCTTGCTTTCCAATATCCATTTCTGTCCGTTCCTGGGAGCATTGCACCTTCCTCTGCCATCCAGTGCCACTTCTGCCTCTCTCACTCAGTCCTGGTCCCTCTTGTCCAACTGTTTGCCATCAAATGTCCAGCTGTTTGCCAGCAGAGAGCCTTTATCAATTTACAAATTACAGGAACACCTTTCCAGTCCTCCACAAACTGGTTCCTTCGACTGATCTTAGCAGCGTTCCCTTGGGTTCTTTGCCATCCCATTGTCAGCCCCAGCCTTCAGGGGCTGATTGTGAACTTGGGGAAAACCTCATTGGGTTCGGTTCATTTAATTCACAGGAAATCAGGCTGTCGGTGCTGTCCCCTCACGGAGCTGGCCCCTCACGGTGCTGTCCCCTCATGGAGCGGTGTTGTCACCTCACGGAGCTGTCCCCTCATGGTGCTGTCCCCTCACGGTGTTGTCCCCTCACGGAGCTGTCCCCTCATGGAGCTGTCCCCTCACGGTGTTGTCCCCTCACGGAGCTGTCCCCTCACGGAGCTGTCCCCTCAAGGAGCTGTCCCCTCACGGTGTTGTCCCCTCACGGAGCTGTCCCCTCACACTTCGCTCCCCTCACAGTGCTGTCCCCTCACGGTGTTGTCCCCTCACGGAGCTGTCCCCTCACACTTCCCTCACGGTGTTGTCCCCTCATGGAGTTGTCCACTCACACTTCGCTCCCCTCACGGAGTTGTCCCCTCACGGTGTTGTCCCCTCACGGTGTTGTCCCCTCACGGAGATGTCCCCTCATGGATTTGTCCCCTCACGGTGCTGTCCCCTCACGGAGCTGTCCCCTCACTTTGTTGTCCCCTCATGGATGCTGTCCCCTCACGGTGTTGTCCCCTCATGGAGCTGTCCCCTCATGGATTTGTCCCCTCACGGAGTTGTCCCCTCACAGTGCTGTCCCCTCACGGAGCTGTCCCCTCACTCTGCTGTCCCCTCATGGATTTGTCCCCTCACGGTGTTGTCCCCTCACGGAGCTGTCCCCTCACGTTGCTGTCCCCTCACTTTGCTGTCCCCTCACGGATTTGTCCCCTCACGGAGCTGTCCCCTGACAGCGCCCCCTGGCGGCCGCCCCGCGCCGCCCCCGCCCCGCCAATGAGCGACGCCCACGCAGCGTTGCCCGAGGGTTGCCCGTGGCAACCGCCTGACCCACAGCGCCGTCCCCGCCAGGCTCCGCCGCCGCCCTCCCGGCTCCCCGCGTGGAACCGCGGCTCGTCCCGCCCTCCGCGGGGTCTGAACGCCCACCGGGAGCCCCTCGGGACCGTCGGCTGCTCCACGAGGCATCTCCGCGGGCAGCAAGCGGGGGGCTCGCCTTCAGGGCCGCTCCGCGCGGGGCATGCCGGGAGTTGTAGTTCGCTCGGCGGGCAGACCCGCTGAGTTTCAAGGGGGTTGTGGCCTCAAGAAAACTACAACTCCCGTGAGGCGTCGCGGGGCGGCCGTGGCGGGGGCGCCGGCCGGTGAGGCGCGGTGCCGCGGGCGGCCCGCGATGGATCTGTTCGGGGATCTGCGGCGCATGAACAAGCGCCAGGTACGGCCCGGGCACCCCGGCACCCCCGGTACACCCCCGGTACACCCCCGGGATCGCGGGGGGCAGCGGCAGCGGCGATCGGGACAGCTGCGGAGGCAGCGCCGGCCCCACCCGGCATCTTGTGCTGTCCCCTGTGAGGGAGGGACCGCTGTCCCCTCACGGTCCCCTCACGGTTCTCCCTCACGGTTCTCTCACCCCTCACGGGTGCAGCGCGGCCGCTCTGTCGATGTGGGGGTGGTAAATCCCCTCAGAAAGGATTTTCTGATTGAGGAGTTTCGGGGTGACAGGTGCTCTGTCGCCTCTCTGTCCCGCAGCTCGTTAAACACAAGAACTCGGGAGGGCGATCAGAGTGGGGTGGATCGTTTGCCAGGTCACTTCTATTCTATGATTCTATGATTCTCTTGCTTGCCAAGCCTTTCCCGGCGCGTTCCCCGGCCCATCGTCACGCTTTCTCTGTTTCCCGCAGCTGTATTACCAGGTGCTGAACTTCGCCATGATCGTGTCCTCCGCGCTGATGATCTGGAAGGGGCTGATCGTGGTCACGGGCAGCGAGAGCCCCATCGTGGTGGTGCTCAGGTAACGTCACCCCCGAGGTGTTCTGGTGCTCCCCTTTCCCCTGCGCCGGGGAAGCTCCGGATTTCCATTTGAATGTTGGGTTTCTTTGCAACAACAAAACGTTCTTTGATTTCCTGGTTCATCTCCCATTTACCATACATAAATAAAGTGGTTTTTTTCGTTCCCAGTGGCAGCATGGAGCCAGCTTTCCACAGGGGGGACCTGCTGTTCCTCACCAACTTCCAGCACGACCCGATCCGAGCGGGGGAGATCGTTGTGTTCAAGGTGGAAGGCAGAGACATCCCCATCGTGCACAGAGTCATCAAAGTGCACGAGAAGTAATGCCACTTTGGCCTTCTTTTCCTCCTTTTTAAGATGCTCCCTTTCCCTCTGATTTTTAATTAGAGTGCAATTTAGAGGATTAACTCGTTTATCTATTTATTACTCATTTATCACCCTGAAAACTCCTCGTTTCTCGATGTTGGTACCTGAGAAAAATCACCAAGGTTGTGAACCTCAGAACTTTATTTTGGGGGTTTTATTGAAGAATTTACCCGTGCCAGGGTGGGCACTCCCCCCTTTCATCCCCACCTTAGATCAGATGGCAGCCTGGGAGGGTTTAAAGCCGTGCCTGGTTAATAAACCCGCTGATGGATGCAGGCAGTAAAATCTCTGATGGGGATGATGTGATGGTGCTGGACTGAGGGCAAACACTGTTATCTGCGCTTGGGGGGTGTTAATTGAGGGTTTTTTAAAGGAAATGGTGTTTAGTTTGTGCCCTCCCTGCCTTCTAGAGGAAATGGGAACATCAAATTCCTGACTAAAGGCGACAACAACGAGGTCGATGACAGAGGCTTGTACAAAGAAGGGCAGAACTGGCTGGAGAAGAAAGATGTGGTTGGGAGAGCCAGAGGGTGAGTGGTGCAAAACGTGCTTTAGAATCAAGCAGAAAGGTAATTTTAGGTCTTGGGTGGGTTCCAGGGTTGGTACAAACTGGATCTGGCGTGGCAGTTTTTTAATTTCTCGTTAAAAAATCGTCCCGGCTTTCCCCGGGAATTTTAGGCGAGCTTTGAGCTTTGGGCTTTGTCCCCTTCTTATTAAACCTGAGGGAAAATTTCCTGGGATTTTTTTAGACAGTTTTACCTGAGGAGAATGAAGGAGTTTAATTTCCTGGCCAGGGGTGAATTAATGCCGAGTGTCAGTGATGGATTTGCACTGAAACGTTTTCCTGGAATATCTGAGGGCTGATTTCACGCCTGCTCTGATCCTTCCAGGTTTTTGCCCTACGTTGGGATGGTGACCATCATCATGAACGACTACCCCAAATTTAAGGTGGGTCACTTGAAGGTGGGTCAATTGAAGGTGTGTCAATTGAAGGTAGGTCAAATTTGAGGTGTGTAAATTGAAGGTAGGTCAAATTTAAGGTATGTAAATTGAAGGTGTGTAAATTGAAGGTGTGTAAATTGAAGGTGTGTAAATTGAAGGTTGGTTAGGAAATTAGGAAATGTAGCAAGTGAATATATTTGGGTTAGGGGTTAGAGGGGGCACACCTGGAAGAGCTGGTGCTTTCCTGGGAAGAGAAGCTGTAAATGAAGTGTAAATGACGGGTGTGGACGCGCTCTCTGCTTTCTTGCAGTACGCCCTGCTGGCAGTGATGGGGGCCTACGTGCTGCTGAAACGGGAGTCCTAAAAAAATCATCTTTTCCCCACCAAACTTCAACCTGCAGGGGGGAAAAAAAACAATTCACCTCCTGTATTTCAGCTGGTTTTGTTTGTGCTTTGGTGTGCTCGGAATAAATGTGAATAAAGTGGGGGTGATGAGTGGAGCTGTTGGCTGTGGGTTAATTGTGGAGTGGCACATTTCCTGCCTCTCCATCCGTCATTTTTTTTGTTTGTTTGTTTTTTTAATTGTTGATTATTTTTGATTTCATCTCAATTAAGCACTGAGCAGCTTTTCCCCCTGAATTTGTAACCAAAAAAAAAACCCCACCCTGATGGCCTGATTTTTGCAGGCCGGTTATTTCAGGGCTACAATTCAGGCTGTCTGCCATTTACACCTTTTTTTTGTGCTCCTGGGGGTTAAATAAACCCCCCCAAAAAAAAAGGTTTTACGGAGCTTTAACAGTGAGTGAATGGCCCAGCAGCCACTGCAGGGCCATCGACAGGGAGGGTAAATCCCCCCTCCTGTGCCACTCTGGAGAGTTTATTATTCCCTCCTATCACACCCCGATAGTGTTAGCCAGAAAATTGATTTTTCATTTACAGATCCACCCGAAAACTGCTGGTTTTTGGTGCAATTCCATTGTTTTCTCTTCCACTGTCAGGGTTATTTTCCTGCCTGGCTTTGTGTTTTTTTGGGAGCTGTGAAAAAAAGAACAGCGTGGGGCTCTTTTTTTCCACCCCCCCCCCAGAGTTTTGTTTCTCCTGTAAATCCCTCCCCTCCACAAAAACCTCGCTGATTATCCCCCAAGTGGCCCCTTTTCTGTTGTGACAGCTCCCAGCTGATTTTCCCTCCAGCGGCATCGACTTCTTTTGTGCCCTCCCAGGAAGGTTTCGTCTCGTTCTGTGTAAATTGTGCAAACATTTGGACGATGGCCTCGAATCTTTGGGGCACCTGCAGAGGGTCAGGCAGGGCTGTAAATTGCCCTGCTCCACGAGCACATCCATAAACATTTCCCCTTTTAATCCTCAAGTTACTCAACACCTCCACCTCCACCACAAAACCCCCCAAAAACGAGCTGGTTGATGCAGCAGGCGCGGGGTAAATGTTGAACTTCCACCGCCCAAGCTGCCTGACGGTGGGCTCTGCTAAAAAAAGGTTGATTGATTTCCCGTTATTAAGCTCCTCCTGCCCCGGGGAGTGGATTTTGGGGGTTGCTCAGGCCAGGAGCGCGGATTAATCGACATTTACCGAGCGTCCCTCGGCGGGCGGGCCCCGTTATTGCCTCGCCGCGGTGCTCGCAGCGCTGTTTGCTCTTGCACCTACGAAAGGCCACGATGAAAGGCACCCCCATCCTTCTCTCCCTGCCTTTTCATTTCCCTGGGATCTGCTGCGCTGATAGAAGGGTGGGAGGTCTCTCTTTGTTTATTTATTGCCCGACTGAAAGGCGAAAGCAGCAAATTTCGAGTGGCGTGGTGGTGATGATGGATACCGTTTGAACGCTGTCGATGTGGAGCAAAACAAGGCTATTATTTATGTTATCAAATTGTTATTTTTCTGGAAAGATGAATAAAAACCATCATTAAAATAAATCCCTATCACTTTTTTTTTTTTTTTTTTAATCCTCGGGAAGAAGTAAATAAAGAAATGCTGCTTCAGGTTGGGGTTGGGGTTTAGTTTCCTGAAGTTTCGGATTTCCTGCCCGGAGCTGCCCCCCCAAAAATTAGAATTTACCACGGGCAGTGGTGTTTTATTGTATTGTTTTATTTTACAGCTCATGCCTGGAGCTGTACTCGTGATTCAGGCATTGTAAATTAAGCAGGAATGCATAATTAATAACCCAAATGAATCACACGAAGCAGTAAAAAGGAGATGCAATAAACTCTGACTAAACAAGGGAGCAAATTAACTGGTACAAGAGGATACACAATCGACTTCAGGAGGGCTTGTGCTGAAGTTTTTTGCTGGTAAATGAATGTTAATTCACATCCCTGGGCACAGCGAAATCACCCCACAGTCTGCACCGTGGCTCCACCCTGTCCCTGTCGCTGTCCTGAGGCACAAAAACACGTCAGGACCTCAAATCCCATCCCGCCCTCCCTCCAGCGGAACCACCGGCAGGCCCAGCGTGTGTGTAAATGTTCCACTTCACGGCTGGTGTGTAAATGTTCCACTTCACGGCTGGTGTGTAAATGTTCCACTTCACGGCTTTTGCAGGGATTCACCGTCCCCTTCCCTGATCCATCCGTCCTTCAGGATGGAAATCTTTCCCCCCCCTCTCCAAAATCGACGAGTTTAAGGCGCTGCGAAGTTTACAGGGCGAGCAGGAAAGCCTCGTAAACCTGTCACTGACCACGGGCAATTTACGGCGTGCTGGGCGCTACAATCAGCTCTGGGAGCGCCCGATTTCAGGGAGGGACGAGAAGATGCTTCGAGGGTCTGGTCCCGGAGCAGGGGGGGGGCACCGTGCCCACAGAACCCCCCCCAAAAACCCCGCCTCGCCCCCCCCCTCCCCGTGACGAGGCGTCAGGAGCGGGAGCATCGCTCGCTATAAATGGGGCTGCAGCATCGGCATCATCGGCAGCGTCCCCGGCAGGGCAGGATGGGGCAGCCCCGGGCGCTGCTGGCGCTGCTGGCGCTGCTGGCGCTGCTGGCGGCGCGGGGGGGAGCGGCTCCCCTGCAGCCCGGAGGGACCCCCGCGCTCACCAAGATTTACCCCCGCGGCAGCCACTGGGCTGTGGGTAAGTGATGATGCCGTTCCTAAAGAGCGGTAAAAAGTCCACCCGATGATTGAGCGGTCAAATCTTCACTCGGTTGTCGTTGCAGGACACCTGATGGGGAAGAAGAGCAGCGGAGATTTCCCCGACGGCTTCGAAGAGGACAACAAAGCCCCCTTTTCGGGCAGCGTCAGGCGGCTGGAAGATTATCTGCGGTGGGAAGACATCTCCAAACATTTGCTGCGGCTGCTGGAGAGGAGCGAAAACAAAAGCGCTCACTTTTTCAGAGGAGGGTCCGGCAGGAACGCCTGGGAGGCAGATGACAACAGCAGCTGGAAAGATGTAAGTGAGAGAGAACCACCTGCAGGGGCACTCCCCACCTTCGATTTGTGTCTGACGGCAGCAAATCGCCGTCCTCGAACTCGAGAAATTAATGAATATTTAGGGTTTTATTGGAACGCAGGGAAAAATCGGCCCCGGTAAATTGAGGTGTGATTTAAATCTCTCCCCTCACTGGTTATGAGTTTCTTTCTGATAGCGATGCTTGCGTTAATTGCGATTAACGCTGCCTAAAGAAAGGAAATCGTTCCGTCTTCAGCTTTGTAATCAAACGAGACGAACGAAATCCACCGTCCTGTGGAGAGAGGGGAGAGATTTGGGCTGCTAAAAGTAGCTGGTGATCATCCATCCCCCCGAAAGTGGAGGCTGGGTTTCCTGCAGTAAATTGAATCCTATCTATCGCCCTAAATTCACATCAACATTTCGGTGGTGGGGAATAATGAGATTATTGCCCTAAAACACCCAGATTTCGGGAACGGTTGGTTAAAAAAAAAAAAAAAAGGTGGTGGGTTTTTTTTCTGTAACTGAAATACAGGACAATTCACAGCAAATTCACCGAAAGCCGGGCGATGGTGACCCCCGCTGTCAGCTGGGGGAACAGCACGGCTCTCCTTTCCAGTCGATGCCTCCTCGCCAGGCTCTTTATAAAGAAATAAATTAATTAATAAATTAAATTAAAACGGTACCGGGGCAGAAGGGGGAAAAAAAAAAAATCTCTCTCCTCCCGAGTGGAAAAAAAAACTTGAATTTTTTTCTGTGAGTTGTTTTTTATAATGCTGATGAGACAGCAGATAAATGAGACGGCAGAGGGAGTTATTTGGGAGAAAATGACTTTCCTCGTGCTTTGGCAGTGGGTTATTACGCTAAGCAAGACAAATGGGGGCTGTTTGGGGAGGATTATTGTGAATTATTGTGAATACACCGAGCAGTTATGTATTAGGTTTATTAACTTACACTGGGTTTATCAACTTAGCCAATCGCATTTTTTCGGGGCTGGGCTATAAATAATCTGTTTGTCTTTTTTTTTATTAGATGATGGACTATCTGCTTCAAGTTGTGAATATGAAAGAGGGCGCTCCCAGCTGAAAGGAGGCCTCTAAATCACCGAGAAATCCAATACTTGCCGTAAGAGACTTATATTTCACAAGCACTCGATCGTACCAGATAATAATAATAATAATAATAATAATAATAATCAACAAGGTCTCTTTTCTGTACACAAAAAATCCCTCTGTGTAAAAACACCGAAATCCACATATTCTTCTACTTCAACTCTCTCTACTTCATTTTCGAGGCTGCATTTTCTCACCTGAATGGCTTTGATATAAATATATATAAATATATATATCTCTGTCTCTCTCCACACGTGTGATTGTCACGGAAGGGTCTTCCAACGAACTACACGATTTACCTGATTAATCAGTCCCTACCTGAGTTGGAAATGACATTTCAGCACCCGCAATAAACAGTACTGATAGAAAGGCCGCGTCGATGCTTTTGCTCGGGGTCCATCGGAGGAAGGGGCGGTGTCACCAGAGAAGGATCCGCAGCTTTGGGGATCGCTCCCTGCTCGCGTTCCTTGTCGATAACGGCGGGGAGCTGCGATGGGAGCCGCTCTGCCCAGGATCGGGCCCGGCCGCGCTCCCGCCTCGCTTCTGATCCCCCCTCCCTCACTGCGATCCCGCTCCGATCCTCTCCGATCCCGCTCCGATCCTCTCCGATCCCGCTCCGATCCTCTCCGATCCCGCTCCGATCCCGCTCCGATCCCTCTCCGATCCCTCTCCGATCCTCTCCGATCCCGCTCCGATCCCGCTCCGATCCTCTCCGATCCCGCTCCGATCCTCTCCGATCCCGCTCCGATCCTCTCCGATCCTGCTCCGATCCCGCTCCGATCCCGCTCCGATCCTCTCCGATCCCGCTCCGATCCTCTCCGATCCCGCTCCGATCCCGCTCCGATCCTCTCCGATCCCGCTCCGATCCCGCTCCGATCCCGCGGTTCCCGCCGTGACCGCCAGACGGCGCCTTCGGGTCGTGAATGGGGCACCCGACGGGGACCCCGCTCCGAACTGAGGGGTCCGGCAGCGACCTGAGGGGACCCCCGGGGTGAGGGGACACTCGGTGTGAGGGGACAGAGGACACCCGGCGTGAGGGGTGAGGGGACCCCCGGGGTGAGGGGACACTCGGCATGAGGGGTGAGGGACAGCGGACACCCGGCGTGAGGGGACAGGGGACCCTCGGCGTGAGGGGACACCCGCCATGAGGGGACTGAGGGGACAGGGGAGCCCCGGTCTGAGGGGACAGGGGAGCCCCGGTCTGAGGGGACAGGGGACCCCCGACCATGAGGGTATGAGGGGAGAGGGGAGTCCCGGCCTGAGGGTATGAGGGGACAGGAGACCCCCGGCCATGAGGGGTGAGGGACAGGGGAGTCCAGGTCGTGAGGGAACTGAGGGGACACCCGGCATGAGGGTATGAGGGGACACCCGGCATGAGGGGTGAGGGGACAGGAGACCCCCGGCCTGAGGGGTGAGGGGACAGGGGACACCCGACATGAGGGGTGAGGGGACAGGAGACCCCCGGCATGAGGGGTGAGGGACAGGAGACCACCGACCGTGAGGGGCGAGGGACAGGAGACCCCGGCCTGAGGGATGAGGGGACAGGAGACCCCCGGCATGAGGGCTGAGGGGACAGGGGAGCCCCGGCCATGAGGGGTGAGGGGACAGGAGACCCCCGACCTGAGGGGTGAGGGGACAGGAGACCCCAGACCGTGAGGGGTGAGGGGAGTAGGGGGACAGGAGACCCCCGGCATGAGGGGTAAGGGGACAGGAGAGTTCCGGCATGAGGGGACTGAGGGGACAGGAGACCCCAGATCGTGAGGGGAGTGAGGGGACAGGAGACCCCCGGCATGAGGGGACCGAGGGGACAAGGGAATCTCAGTCGTGAGGGGACCGAGGGGACAGGGGACCCCAGGCCTGAGGGTGAGGGGACCCCCGGCATGAGGGGACAGGGGACATCCGACATGAGGGGACTGAGGGGACACCCGGCCTGAGGGGTGAGGGGACATCCGACCTGAGGGGACTGAGGGGACACCCGGTGTGAGGGGACAGGGGAGCAGAAATCTGAGCTCTGTGTGTTTTCATCTCCCAGGGCGCGGCAGCGAAGCATTTCCACAGCCAGCCTGCTGCTCCTGAGCCATCCCCGCCGGAGAGAGCCAGCCCTGCTCCGCTGGAAGCTGAGTCTCACCTCTCTCCAAACTTGGCTTAAACGAGGTAGCTTTTTGCTGATTTTCTTGAACACCCAGCGAATTTTCCACCGGGAGGATGGGAAGGGAGGTCAGGGCGCTCTTGCTGTTGACACCGAGTTCCATCCCGGTGTTTCCCTCACAATTATCCACTCACCGTCATTTTTCATCAATATTATTCATCCTTGGGTGCTGTAAATGAGTATAAACACTAAAAACACTCTCTTGTTAACGCAGTTTAAGCAAAAGGAGGAGCAGACACCACTCAGCAAAAGGCCACGCTAAGAGCCTTTAGCCAAGGCAGAGCAAAGAAGTGGTTAAGGATCTAGATGATTTAATCCAGTTTTAAGAAAAGGGTTTTACAGGGAGCAATTAGATGCTGTTTAAGGAATTAATCACTAATGGGTCATTAACTCTGACTGCCATTGTACAGTTAACAAGCCGAGGCAGGATTATTAGACTCGGCACCCAATTAAGGAGGGAGAAGACATTTCCAAGCAAACGAACAAACGAGCTTTTTAAAACGGAAAAAGGGACAGTTTAGAAGAAAGTGGGGGGAAAAAAATCAGAGAGGGGCAGGAGAAAGCTGGGAGTTTGCGCTCGTGTTCAGCTGGTTAAAATATTTATTTCTTAGAGGGAAACTCGGAGCTTTCCTTGGTGCTTTACAGCGCTGACAGCTGATGAGGAAGTCAGGGGGGGTCTTTCCGATGGTTTTACAGGAAAATTGGAAGCAACGGGGAGGGAAAAAGGAGGGCAGCGGTGTCAAAATGTGGGAAAGCAGCAGTGCTGGAGTAAGAGCTAAAAACCGAAGGGAGAAAAAAACATCTGAAAAACAGAGGGATCCCCGTTAGGAGCTTTTAAAAGCAGCTCTGCAGACAATGGGTGGGGAGGAGGCTGCGAAGGGATGTTTAGAAACTGCTGCCCGAGGTTAAAAAGCTCCCCCGGAGCGAGGCTGAACAAAGTTGACATCCTCGGTGCTGACAGGGCTCTCCAAAAGACCCGCGCAGATTGGGAAAATATAATTAGACGCCGGCCTTTGTCTGGCCACGACGAGTGGGAAATGGTGAAAGGAGAGGGCTCCCAAGTCCGCGCTGAATCGTCCCCCCCGCACACAATGAGGGCACTTGTGCATCTCTCCCTCCCTTCCCTAATGAGAAACGTTAATTGCCACAACCTCCCGAGTGTGCAGAGCGCCCCGCGCCCGCTGGAGGAGCGGGGGGTGTTTCATTTACGGCGTCCCAGCCCCATTAGAGCCCGTAACGGAGATGATGGGAAATAAAGACGCCACAATTCGGGTTTGGGTGGGCACGGCTGTGCCAGCCTCGCTGGGCAGGCAGGGCGGGCAAAACCCACCTGAAATTAGGGTTGCCCTACGAGGCACCCAGCGGGGACCCTCAACTGGCCACGGGTTCCTTTCCTGCTGCTGGAGAAGGAGGAGGAGGAGGAGAGAAGAGTCCACAGCCAGGCATCTCCCACCCCTCCACAACCTCCGTGCAGATGTGGAAAATAAAAAGCAGAGCCCCCTCCCCGGGTAGGATGGGACCCCTGGGCTCCCGGGCACCTCACACGGCTCTTTGCAGCTTTTATTGCCACTAAAGGATCGGGTAGAGAGGAGACAGGACAAAAGAGATCGGTTTTTTTGGTTTGGTTTTTTTTTTTCTAAGCTAGGATCGGGCCCCCAACTCTTCGGGGTGAAAAAAAGGGAATTAAAAAGGGAGCACAAAATACAAAGCGAGTGAAGGCGCGAGGGGGGGAAAGGTTGGTGGCGAAGGGACAGCCGGCCAAGGGCGCCCCTCGATCGAACCGGGCCGGGCCTTCCCCCTTCCCCCCCTCCCAGGGAGTGAGTTCCGACGGTTCAGATGGTCTGCCAGGGCTTGCCGATGGACTGGATGTGCTCCTTGGCCTTGAGCCGCAGGGCGGCGATGCTGGTGTTGCGCGGGTCGGCCTCGTCCAAGGGGAACTTGTCCACAAAGGTGGCCCCGCACTGGTAAGGTGGCGGTGGCGGTGGCGGCGGTGGCGGCGGTGGCCCCATGGCCCCCAGGGGCTGCAGGGCGTGGGTGACGGCCGGAGAGTTCAGGAAGGAGGGCGGGGGGGTGAAGCTGCCGCCGGGCGGGGAGCCCACGAAGCCGGGCAGGCTCTGCAGGGCCGCGCCGCCGGGCACGGGTGGGCTCAGCCACGTCTCGAGGGGCAGGTTGGTGCTCAGGGCGCCCATGGGCGTCGCCTGAGGCGAGCGGTTGAAGGAGAGGATGGGCGAGTCCTGCAGCTTCATGGAGGTCACCTCCAGCTTCTCCTGCCGCCTCCACTTGGCCCGTCGGTTCTGAAACCACACCTGCAGGCACAGCCGCGTCAGGCGGGCCCCGGGGAGGGTGCAGCGATGAAACAGAGCCAGGGGGCACGCAGCGGGGCACGAAGGGGTTTGGGGGGTTCCCCGGTGCATCAAACTCGGTGGGAAACAACCCCGCGGCAGAACCAGCCCGCTTGTCCACCCACCACCAGCCCGGCGGCCCCGGGGTGGACACGCCACGGGGAGCGACCCCGAGACCCGGCGGGGCCGCCCAGCCACGCACCGAGCGGGGATCGCTGCTGCTCCGGCCGCCCGAGCCACCCACGGGTGGCTCCCCGATGGCGGGGGTCGCGGGGGGTCGGGCCGGGCGTTACCTGGACGCGGACCTCGGGCAGGTTGACCTTCATGGCCAGCTCCTCGCGGCTGTACACGTCGGGGTAGTGGGACTTCTCGAAGGCGCGCTCCAGCTCGTGGAGCTGGTAGGTGGTGAAGGTGGTGCGGTTGCGCCGGTGTTTTTTCTTGGGCTGCTGCTCCTCGTCCGACGCTTTGCCCTCGGGCAGCTCGGGGCTGGCGCTGCCGGGGCAGAACGGCTCTAGGAAGGGGGGATAAAACACGCGGGTCACCCGCCCAGCCCAACCTTCCTCTCTTCCCTTCCTCCCGCGGGGCGCTCACCTTGGAAGCGCTCGGCTCGGCCCTGCGGCTCCGCCGGCGGCGGCTCCGCGGGCAGCTTGGGCAGGCAGTGACGCGGCCCCCTCCGAGCCGCCTCCTTGGCCGCGCCGTCGGGGGGGAAAGCTCCGAGCAGCCCTTCATCCTTGGGGAAGCCCAGGATGGCCTCGATGCTGTGCAGCCTGGACGGGTTGTTGCCCCCTGCCCCGGGGGGCGAGAAGGCGCCCTCGGCCATGGCGAGCGGGGCGCCCGGAGGGTGCATGAGGCGGCCGGCCCGGGGCCCCGGCGCGGGCAGCTCTGGCACGGAGCCGCCGGGCGGGTTGGCCTCCTCGGGGCGGGGGAGGAGTGCCCGGGGGGCGGTGGGACACGAGCAGGAGAAGGCGAGGCCCCCCGGGCCCCTCCGGCGCGGAGAGGAGGGGGGAGAGGCAGGGCAGGGCAGGGCAGGGCAGGGCATCCCCCCCGGTCCCCGCCCCGCCCCGCAGGAGCCGGCGGTGCCATCCGGGACCCTGCAGGAGGGGCGGGCCGGGCAGCGCTCCCGAGAGCCGGGGGAAAGCGCGGTGGGACCGAGCCTTGGCGGCGGGAGTGGCCGGGGAAGGGAGAGGGAGCCCGGCGGTGTCCCCTCGTTTCTCTTTGCCCGACGGCTCCGGCGCGCACAGATTCCCTCCCGGATGGATCGATCGGACGCTGCCCCGCGGGAGGATCTGGCTCAGGGGGATCGGGGGTGAACGAGCAGGTGCCCCGCGGGACGCTCCAATTTACACACCGAGGGGCTTCAGGAGACACCTGAAGGAGGTGGGCTCGGCCTTTAAGACTTCCCTCGCATTCGTGAGGAACTTCCCCGAGACGCTGGTGTAGATCGGAACCGGGCTCTGTGACGCCGCGAGTGGGGCTGGGGGGTGTGCAAAATGGTTTTGGGTGGTACGTCACTTCGTGCTTGGCTCGGGGGAGGAGGTGGACGCAGCGCTAACCAGAAAACCTCTCCTGCCCGCGTGGTTTTTGCTGCTTTTCTCTTCCCCTCACTTTATCGCTTTTTACTTCCCCGCTCCTCTGAGGCACCAGACGTCCCTTTTGTCCCACGTCATTTAAGGGACATTTAAGGCATTTTCAGCCCCCGCTTTTAGCTCTGAAGATGCTCCCGTTGGAAGCATCGGAGGGGCGCGCGTGTGAATGAAAAAACATTGATAGTGCTGCTTTCTCCGGCTATATTTACCGGTCTAATAAAAACCTACGACCTCGCTCGGTAAATCCTCATTTACGCTGCCTCTCCTACCGAAAGGGGCTGCGTTTCGAGCGGCTCCTTCCCGAGGAACCACCTCAAAAACTGCCTGCGGTCGCTCCTGCAGGTTTACTGTCGTATGTCCCAAACTTAAATGACTATTTTAGAAGGTTTTTCGCAGCTCCAGGTGAGCTTTTCCTTCACTGGGAGCCGGGGGGTGGCTCGGGGGCCACAACAACTCCCTTTTCAGAGAGGGAAGAGGCCACCAGAAGAGAGACAAGAAAAGGTTAGCGTGGCTTTTGTGCGCGACATAAAAAAAAGCGAGCCGGTGCCATTGTGGGGACATCGGAGGGTACTCAAAGCAATCGGTCAGGGGCCATTGTGCCGCCGTAATCTACGTGTGGATTCCCCCAGAACTCCATTAGCGCAGATGAATGGGCCCTGCCATGTCCCTAATTTCTTCTCGAGGGTGAATGGGCCGCGCGATGTCCCTAATTTCTCGGGGGTTTGCACAAAACAATCCCCTCCCGTCCTTCCCGAAACTCCCGGGTAGATGTGGGGATGGTTTTTGGCCCGGCAAGGTGAGAGAAATCCCACAAAAAAACATCTTTCATCCTTTGGTTCACGCGGTGACATCATCATCCTGACACGCCACAGGTTCTTCCTTCGCTCCCGCCTTTTATTTTTATGATATCAATCTGAAATAATCACTGAATAATTACGCTGGAATTAACGCAATCCTTCTTTACTTGTGTTTTCCAATTAGCCTAATTGAGTGGCGATCTCTTCAGAGCAGGACCCACCGGCGACGTTTATCTTGATGGGATGACGAGGGCCTTGAGCTCCAGCGATCCTATTAACGCTCTAAGAACCCCCAATCCCACAGGGAGGGGCTCCCGTGTGACCCAAACCTTTCATCTGCTCCTCTTCTGCCCACCACGTCCCATCCTCACCCTTCCTTAAAACCCCAAATTCTTCCCTGAGTTTTTTTCAGGATGTCCCCGGCGCGGGTTGGGGGGATTCCCAAAAATTGAAAGGTTGATGGAAATTTGGGGTCCAGTTGGAGGGAAATGAAGGGCTGATGGAAATTTGGGGAGGGATTTTTTTTTCCCCTCCAGTCCGAGCGTGGACAAAAAAGAGGTGGAAAAAAAAAGAGAGAGGAAAAAAAAGGGAGGAAGGAAAGGAGAGGGAAAGGAAGGACACAACCGTTTCACATTAACATTTTTACTCGGTGAGGTGTAGACAGACATTTACACAATATTTACACAATATACACACAATATTTGAAACACTGATGGTTGTTTTTATAAGAAATAAAAGCGTTTATTTCTGAAAGCCCTATTAAAATTCACCTCTACCTGATGCACCCACTTTGCTAACCCCCCCTCCCCCTCCCCCAATTTTAATAGCACGGAAAAAAAGGCACATTTTTTTTTCCTCTTCCCCTCTATTAACTTCTTTTTTTCTTGTGGTTTTTTATTTTATTTGTTTGTTTTTTTGTTGCGCGGGAAAAACGTCCCGGTCCGAAACTTCTTCTAAAGATAGAAAGAGCTGTAAATTGCCACCCTCCCCTGGGGGTTTGGAGTGGCTCCAAAGATTTCTTCTTCCCTGCGTTCAGGCGGGACGCCCTAGGGCTGAGCAGCCCTGGTGATGTCACCGCCCTCCTACATCAGCAAACACTTCTGCTCGGCCGCCTGCTTCATCTCGCTGAAAGTGGCCTGCGCCTTCTCTTTGATGGCATCCACGTCCATGTTCTGGATGTTCTGCAGCTGGCCCAGGATGGAGTCCTTGTCCTCCTCCTCCTCCTGGTCCTGCGCCACCATCTTCTGTAAATCCTCCGGCAGGCCCACGTCGTCCCCCGCCATCTGGATTTGGTTCTCGTCCAGCTCGCTCTGAAAGACCAAAAAAAAATGTAGGAAATATGGAAATAGGAGCTTTTTTTTGGGGTCATTTGGTTGGTTGGGTTTTAGGGAGAAACAGAGAGCGCAGATTTTTCGGTCGATGCTTTTCGGGCGTAAATTGCGAATTTGGGGGGGCTCAATCTGCAGGTCAGGGGCTCAATCTCAATCTCAATCCATGCAAGATTTCTCAATCTGCAATTCAGGGCTCAATCTGCAGTTCAGGGGCTCAATCTGCAGGTCAGGGGCTCAATCTCAATCTCAATCCATGCAAGATTTCTCAATCTGCAGTTCAGGGGCTCAATCTGCAGTTCAGGGGTTCAATCTGCAGTTCAGGGCTCAATCTGCAATTCAGGGGCTCAATCTGCAATCTGGGGACTCAATCTGCAATTCAGGGCTCAATCTGCAATACAGGGGTTCAATCTCAATCTCAATCCATTCAAGATGTCTCAATCTGCAATTCAGGGGTTCAATCTGCAGTTCAGGGGCTCAATCTGCAGTTCAGGGGCTCAATCTGCAGTTCAGGGGTTCAATCTGCAGTTCAGGGGCTCAATCTGCAGTTCAGGGCCTCAATCTGCAGTTCAGGGGCTCAATCTGCAAGATTTTTCAGTCAATGCCCACTGTGGTTTTTTTTTAGAAGGATTTCAGCACTGTCAAAAGTGAAGCCCTGGGTGTGATTTGTCATTTTAGGAATCTTCCAAAATGCTTCTGATTCCTTTCCCCTGTAAATGATCCTACATTTACCGGTGTCGACTGCAGGTACCTCCCCACCTCAGGGAAAAAAGGGCACTGAGTGGATAGGAGAGGTTTAAATTAAGATATTTACTCCTGGATTTACCTCATTTACAAAAAAACGAAGATGAAAACCCCAAAAGCTGCCCACAGATCAAACATCTCAGCCTCTCCAAAACCATCTCGGTGATGACGAATGGAAGTTGACAACTCCCCTAATAGGATTGGCTTCATTAAGGGGCCACTTTCTCCCGTCAATCTGCCCCAGAGAGCTCCAGATTTTTGCCCTGCTTAGCCCTGAATTTCGTGCTCCCATTTCCAGTGGGTGCTGCTGATTGATTCACCCCGGTAAATAGCCGTGCTTTGGAGCTGCCAAAAAAGCCCTCCAGGTGCTCTCCGAGCCCTGCAGGTGTCCAGGTGAGAGCTGAGCCCTGAAATCTCCTGCAGCTTCCCCAGCAGGCCCCTCTGGGATGAGGAAATTGTCGATGGGCTGATGGGCAACCCGACATCCACCCTGGCCTGCCGATGATCCCCCCGTCAGCTGCTAATTAAAACGCTGCTGTTTGCAGCCTTAAGGCCCCGCAATCCAATCAGCCGCTTTTGAATCTCCTGCTTAATTATTTTTCTTTTTATGGCCGTAATTAATCTGCCTGTAATTAAACCTCCACCCCCTGGGGAGGTGGTTTTTTTGGTGGGGGTGTGGAATAAATACAATTTACCCCATTCCAGCACGATGGGAGATGGCAGAGCGCCCGAACCACCCGCCTGGGTGGAGCCCCACGTGGTGGTGTTTTTAGTGGGTAAATTGATGAGAGTGGACTCTTCCACAGTGCTGATGGCTTGGTGAATTGTTACCTTGGGCAGCCGGTACTTCTCCCGCAGGTGAACCCTCAGGCAGGCCCGCTCTGCCTTCTTCTGGGCGAAGGCGGCGTCCCTCTCCATCCTGTAAATCACAGCAGAGCAGGGGATTGGCAGCGCTCATCGACACTCATCTGCCAAACCCATCTGCATCCACACTCATCCCTTCCCAGGGGGTTGTCAAAAAAAATTCACAATGAGTTGTCCTCAGAACACCCCCCTGGAGCCCTGTAAATTAAGGAATTCTTGGCCTGGAGTTTGGATCTGCGCTACCTGTTGTTGTCAATTGTAAGAACGAGCGATTTCAATCGATTTCAATTCCTTCTGTAAATGCGACTCTTGGGGTGTTTACACCTGGGAGATTTTCTGGGTGGGGATAAAAAGTCAGGAAGGGAGATTTAGAGAAAGGATCCCGGGTCAAAAAGCGGCCCAGCTCCCAAAACCGGCGGTGCTGATGGAATCTGTCACCTGGGGATTTCCCTGGTCCATCCACCGTTCCACCCACATCCTGTGGGAATGGATTCCAAAGCTTTCCCTGCATGGGAAAAGCTCCTTGGTGTTGTCATCACATTTAAATCGTAAATTGTCAATTGAACTGTGAATTTATTTGCCAAAAGAAGATCTTTTGGTAATTTGGGATAACGTTCCCCTTTCCACCTCTACCTGGAATTAATTTCCCACCTCCCCAGTAACATTTTCACGGGAATTCTGTTGGAAAATCGATCTCATTTCGGTGTGGGGGTGACTTTGTCCCATCAGAACCACTTGCAAAAAGAAAAGTGATTTTTCCTCTGCTCCCCCAAAATGACTTTTTTGCATTTTCCTCTTTAAAAACCAACATTCCGTGTTTTATTCCAAAACAATTGACACTTATTTGGAGAGTTCACCCCAGAAATATCTGATGGCTAAAACCAGACCGGGCCACCTCTGATTCCATCGTCATTAACCTGCCTTTAATCACCTTACAGGACAGAGGGATTGACATTGACACAACCCTTATGCAATCAGCTGGTGGAGGAGCAGATGAATCCCAGCTTTAGAAAGCAGGTTGTTGTATTTATAACCAACTCCTACAAGTCCCAGGAGTTGTTTCCCTTCTCATGTTTTAATCAGCACGAGTGGCAAAGGTTCCATTTACACCCCGAGGAATCATCCCCCGCCTAACCCAGCACGGTAAATGCAGGTAAAGAAACGTAAAGCATTGACAATCTCCTCCCCCTGGAGCTCCAGGAGGAGGAATCACCTCAATTTACCACAATTTACCACAATTCACCACAATTCACCACAATTTACTGGGTCCATCATTACTATTTTAACCAGTCTTTTACCACAATTCACCACAATTTACCACAATTCACCAGGTCAATCATTATTATTTTAACCAGTCTTTTATCACAATTCACCACAATTTACTACAATTTACCAGGTCCATCATTACTATTTTAACCAGTCTTTTACCACAATTCACCACAATTTACCACAATTCACCACAATTTACCCACAATTTACCAGGTCCATCATTATTACTTTAGCCAGTCTTTTACCACAATTCACCACAATTTACCAGGTCAATCGTTATTATTTTAGCCAGTCTTTTACCACAATTTACCACAATTTACCGGGCCCATCATTACTATTTTAGCCAAGTTTTTACCACAATTCACCACAATTTACCAGAATTTACCACAATTTACCACATTTTACCGGGCCAATCATTATTACTTTAGCCAGTCTTTTACCACAATTCACCACAATTTACCACAATTTACCACAATTTACCAGGCCAATTGTTATTATTTAGCCAGTCTTTTACCACAATTTACCACAATTTACCACAATTCACCACAATTTACCAGGCCAATCGTTATTATTTTAGCCAGTCTTTTTCATCAAAGATTTAAACTAAATTAAAAATAAATCAAAAAAACCAGGGAAGGGCTGAATTGTTTCCGGTTTCCTCTGGGGTGATTTCCAAGCAGTTTAGCAGCTGGTACTCACTTCTCCTCCACCATCTGCTTCTGGTACTCCTCGTACTCCTCGCGGGTCATCCCTGCCGCCGCCGCCGGGTCGGAAGGAGCCGAGTCCTCTTTGCTCTCGTCCCCTCCTCCCCCCAGCCCCAAATTCTTCACCTGGTTGCTCAGCATGCTCTTCATCAGAAAGGCCATTTTTGAATCCCCCAGAAATCCAAATTCAAATCAAATGAAATCAAAAAGGAGAGCGGGGACGGAGCAGCCCCGCGGTCAATGGCGAGGTGAGAGCGCCGTGGATGCCCCACCCGCCCTGCCAGCCATAATCTGGATTAAAGAGGCAGCTGCAGGCAGATGGTTCAGATTATTCCATCCCCCCTCACCCCCCATCAGAAAGAAATCAATCATTAGATCGATAGATTTCTTGTGGTATGAATAAAAAGCTTAATTTTAAGCTAATTTTACCCCGAGAAATCAATCATGGTGTGAAAGTGACATTTTCAGCCTCCAAACACGGAGATGAAACCATTTCCACAAGCACAACCCATCAGGAGTGGAAATATCGACGCTGGGTGTAAATATTTCAGCGTTTACAAGAGAAATGGGATTGGAAAAGTCCTCGAGGAAAACAAAAACCCCCCCAAAAATAAAACAATCTGATCCTTTTTTGATGCATCAAAATTTCATCCCCGGGAGCAGAAAGGACAATGGAATGATTTTCCCTTCATTTACACACAGGAGGGGTTTAATGATTTATTATTTATTATTTATTAATTATTTATTAATTATTTATGAATGATCCCCCCAAGTCTGGGGGTTCTAACCCAGCTGGGCTGTAGATTTTGGGACTTGCCTCGGATGGAATTTTTGATTATCCAAATGGCACTTTGGTCGTTCCCCCGGAGCTGGGAGATGATGGGGGGATGGGGATGGATTTGCAGATGGGTTTAAGGCTTTAATCTTTCCATTTACAGCCTTTCTAATTAAAGCAGGCTATTAAAAAACCCCAACCACCAACAAAAAAAGAATAAAAAATATGGGATGTGCTCTCTAACTGTGGATTGTTGGTGATTAAATGAGGGTAAATTAAAGATTCGTCCCCAGCCACTCGTGGTTAAAAATTGAATTTTTAAAGAATGAAAAGACAAACCAAACCAAACTTACTAAAAATATGCATCTTTATTCAAATAAGGTTCTCTCTGAACTCCTCAGGGGTCGGTTGACAGCAGGCAGGAGAAGACAGAGGGGTGGAAACATCAGCTGGTGGGACGGAGAACCAAACCCGACCCCGGTAAATTGGCGTGGCACGGTCGGGAAACAATTTACAAAGCAGGGCAGGGGAACCCCAAACCGTAATCCAGGAGGTTCCCAAACCCTGCTACTGTGCATGTTTTGGGCTGTGGAGGGAGACCCAGATGTTGTTTGATCAGCACCAATCGGGCTCTCTCGGCACCACCCGCCGCTCGCCGGCCCCAATTTACAGCGGTTGGTTCCGCCCCTCCCCCCTCACGGAGCCCAAGTTATCTCCTCCTCCTGGCTGTGAATTCTTGGATAAAAACCAGCCCTGTTTCCCACTCAGGACAGGGTAAGGACGTGGATTGAGTCGGGGTTGGAACGGCTCAAGGCACCTGTAAATTGTTGCTGGTGTGGAAAGAAGCCAAGGGCCAAACTCTGCTGTGTTTTATCCTCAAGGTTGTTGTTTTTTTGTTGTCCCCCCCCTCATTTACCCTCCAGGCAGCGATTTCTCCACTCAGCAGGCTCAAATCTCCCCCAATTTACCGCTGAAGCTCTAAAGTTGCACCCCCCGCCGCGTCAATTGACGGGCAGGTGGCACAACCCCAACAAAACAAAACAAGGCATTGCATAGATCATAAATTACAAAGTAAAAATGACTAATAAAATTAACAGATAGAGTTGAAACTCAGAAAAGATCAGGCCCACCATCGACAGAGCGTTCAAACCTGCCCCTCGTGAAGAGTTGGGATTAATCAACACAAATCTTCTCACCCTTTGAAATCCAAGTGGTAAATAGAAAATTTTTCATCCACCCGCAAACCAATCAGCAACCCCCTCCTCCACCCCCCAAAAACAAAAGGTGGAGGATGGAGGAGGAAGCTGCCTGAGAGGGCAGGCCCTGCAATCCTCACCCCCATTTTGGGAGTTTCACCGTCAGTTGTCGCGGTCGGAGCTGGTTTTGCGGTCGATCATTTACGGTCATTTACGGCGCCCAGCGCTGCCACCTCCCCCGGCATCAGAAGAACTTCTTGGCTGCTGCTTCCTGCTGGCTCCTGGAGGGCACAGCAAGCCAAAAACAGATGGGAATGGAGGCATTTACCACAGCAAACCAACAACAAGGCAGATGGGAATGGAGGTATTTACCACAGCAGTGGAAATTGTAGGGTGGTAAATGGTTTGTAGGTGGGTAAATGGTTTGTAGGATGGTGAAATGGTTTGTAGGATGGTGAAATGGTTTGTAGGATGGTGAATGGTTTGTAGGGCAGGTAAATGGTTTGTAAGGAGACAAGTCAGATGGGAATGGGTTGTACCACAGCGGTGGAAATTGTAGGGTGGGTAAATGGTTTGTAGGGCAGGTAAATGGTTTGTAGGTGGGGGAATGGTTTGTAGGCAGGTAAATGGTTTGTAGGATGGGTGAATGGTTTGTAGGATGGGCAGGTAAATGGTTTGTAGGATGGTGAATGGTTTGTGGGGCAGTGAATGGTTTGTAGGTGGGGGAATGGTTTGTAGGGCAGGTAAATGGTTTGTAGGATGGGTAAATGGTTTGTAGGATGGGTGAATGGTTTGTAGGATGGGGGAATGGTTTGTAGGACGGGTAAATGGTTTGTAGGATGGGTGAATGGTTTGTAGGGCAGGTAAATGGTTTGTAGGATGGGTGAATGGTTTGTAGGGCAGGTAAATGGTTTGTAGGATGGGTGAATGGTTTGTAGGATGGGTGAATGGTTTGTAGGGCAGGTAAATGGTTTGTAGGATGGTGAATGGTTTGTAGGATGGGGGAATGGTTTGTAGGACAGGTAAATGGTTTGTATATTGGGTGAATGGTTTGTAGGGCGGGTAAATGGTTTGTAGGATGGGGGAATGGTTTGTAGGATGGGGGAATGGTTTGTAGGATGGGTGAATGGTTTGTAGGGCGGGTAAATGGTTTGTAGGATGGTGAATGGTTTGTAGGATGGGGAATGGTTTGTAGGGCAGGTAAATGGTTTGTAGGATGGGTGAATGGTGAATGGTTTGTAGACCGGGTAAATGGTTTGTAGGATGGTGAATGGTTTGTAGGATGGTGTAAATGGTTTGTAGGATGGTGAATGGTTTGTAGGTGGGGGAATGGTTTGTAGGGCAGGTAAATGGGTGGTAGGATGAGTGAATGGTTTGTAGGATGGGTGAATGGTTTGTAGGATGGGTAAATGGTTTGAAGGATGGGTGAATGGTTTGTAGGAGGTGAATGGTTTGTAGGATGGGTGAATGGTTTGTAGGATGGTGAATGGTTTGTGGGATGGTGAATGGTTTGTAGGATGGGTGAATGGTTTGTAGGATGTGTCAATGGTTTGTAGAATGGGTAAATGGTTCGAAGGACAGGTAAATGGTTTGTAGGATGTGTCAATGGTTCAAAGGACGGGTAAATGGTTCGAAGGCACAAATAACAAACAAAACCAATTAAAAATAATTAAAAAAAACCCCAAATCACAGCAGATTTTGGTGGGACGTCAGTGAACATCCGAGGGCGATGTCTGATTGTTTCTGAGCGTAAATAGATTTACCTGTACATGACGTAAGCGACGAACAGCAGCGTCTGCACCGCCACGAAGACGAGGAAGTGCAGCGTGGACAGACACGAGGGCAGAGGTGGCAGCTCTGGGCACTTGGCTTTCTCAGCAGGCGGCTGCAACAACAAGCAGGGTGACGTCAGAGGAGACTCAGAGGGGAAAGAATTAAAACAACCCCACCGTAAATGCGGTCAATTAACGAGGACTAATTTGCACCATCGACAACCCCAAAAACCCCCCAAAAAAAAGTGGGAATTGACACGTCCAACCCCGAATTTACCGGGTTCCTCTGGGCTAAGTGCTCCAGGTCCCTCCTGAGCAGGTGCAGGTGCTCTTTGACGTCACTGAAGTGCTGGGCGGCCTCGTGGGCCCCGCCCGTCGATCGCAGCGCGTCGGCCACGCCGCTCCTGCCGCGAGAGAAACCACACCCAAAAACAGCTTTCCCTCACCCACCCCCCACCTGCAGCCCTCTCAGCGCTCGGTAAATTGTTTGTGACAGCGTTTCCTCCAGTTGGTAAGAAAAACTAGGGAGGAATCGCGGTGTAAATGGAACGGGGGGTGGACGGCGCCGGTGGTTTCCACTCGCCGCCCATCTGCTTCCCCATCATCCCCCATCTCCGGGGTAAGCAGAGTTTACTGCCATCTTCCCAGCAAGATGATGATGATGAAACAGCTGAAGGAGTTGTACTGGTGGCAAAGAGGATTAATCTGCAGCGAAAATATCGGTAAGCTCTGCCTTGTTACCGCCGGAAAATTGACAAGCGGGATCAAAAGGTCTTGGGGGTTCCTTTTTTTAATTTACTCGGAACTTGGAGTTTTGGTGCAGATGGGAGCGATGTCAGGAGGGAAATGGAAGGTTCCACCTGCCCAGGTTGCTCCAACCTGACCTTCAACTGGTTCAGTAAACTGAAAAAACACCTCCCAGACCGGCTGGGACGACAATTACACCTGTAGATTGTCCCACACAGCCGCGCTGCTGATGGGTGTTAATTTACCTGCGCTTTCCAGAGGTATTTTAGCCTCACTGGAAGATAATCAGCACCACTGCCCACTTAATAAACGCTGATGGTGCTCGTGTTTCCATCACAACTCTGCCACCAGCAGCAATCTGCACCCCCAGACCGAAGCCCTAAAGCTCCCCAACGACACAATCCATCAGCAATCAGAACCTCGCTGCAAGCCCCGGCCACGCCGGGCTGTCGATGGCTCCCTGCCCACAAAACCCAAGCGTTTCCTTTTTAATCTTCAAGGAAAATATTAAGATGATGTTCAGGCCCAAGGCTGAGCTGATAAGGAACGAGGAAAATCTCATTTACCGGCGAAGGAGCAAATTCAATTTACCGGCGAGGTGGAAAGATTGGGCAAGAATATTAAACCTCCAAGGTTTTAGGGGGAGGGGAAGGGGAAGAACAAGGGGAAAAAAAAATGGAAGGAACTTTAATCTTCATTCTATTAAGAAAAAACAAAACAATTGACCTACTTAGATAAATCATTGACAGAGGGGGGGGAAAAAAATTGATTTTCTCCTTTTTTGGTGGTTTTTTTTCTGTTTGTAAACACAAAGTGAGGGATGTTTGAGCTGCCCACAAAGGGAGGGTTTCAAGCTGTTCCTGATTGAGGCAGAGAGAATAAAACATCTCCGAAGAAGCAGCTGGGTGTTTACTCAGAGAACATTCAATTTACACTCACCCCTTTGAGTGGAATTAAAAAATCTTGATGTTAAAAAATCTTGATGTTAAAAAACCCCCCCTCAAAAAAGGTAAATTGGGGGGCTGAGCCAGCTGAGGGACACGAAATTAATTTACAGAGAGAAATGAGATGGGTGCAGAAAGAATTGACAGGGAAATTTCCAGATTGAAAAGGGGGTTAAAAAAAAAAGATCACAGAGAAATCAAAAGTGCGGCCGTAACGCCCAGCAAGCATTTACCTGATTTCATTCACTTGTCTAACGAGCTCTTCCTGACTTTTCACAACCTTCTCAACCTCCTGCTGGGGAAGCTGCTGTGGGGAGTGAAAAAAAGATCGACAACACCACCAAAAAACAAAACAAACCACAAAAAGCAGATCCTAACCATGAAGATGAGGCTGGTGATGTTTCAATTTACCGGCAGAGCGGCTCCTCTTTTGGCCATCTCCTCGCTGATTGCCGCCAGGTACCTCCTCTGCTCGTCCAGCACGGTGTCCAGCTGCCTGTGGAGCTGCTTGATGTCCAGGTGGATGCGGTTCTGCCCCTCGAAGATCTGTCTCAGCTCGCGGTCGCCGACGCTCTCGAAGTCGTCCGCTGAAAGGAAAGTGCCATTTACGCCCCTCAGGAACCACGCTGCTGTCATTTACCCCCACAAACGCACCTCTGGTCCGTGCAGAGCCTCAGAATTCCCATCAGCCTTGTCTGGAAAAACATCTCCAACAATTCACCTGGCTGGCCTTGCACGTCGGGGTGTTCCTTTTGAAACTCCTCCTTCTTTTTGTCCAGTTCTTGTTGGAAGTGCTCGAATTCCTCCTGATATTTCTCCTTATCTTTCTGAGGGATTTCTGCGTCTGCTGGTGGCTGGGAAGTATTGACAGGAGGGAGAGAGGGGGGTGAGGTTGTTTGTAGAATGTTGGTCTTTAAATAATAATTATAATCCCACCAAAAAAAGCAGCATCAATTTAATTTTCCTGCAATTTCATTGTCCTAAAATTTCATCTCCCTGCAATTTCATTTCCCTGCGATTTCATCTCCTGCGATCGGTGACGTCACAGCTCAAACCAGGTGGTGAAATCCCCGAAAGAGGGAGATGCCATCAGGGAATTGGGTAATGATGCATTAAAAGGTGCTTACTGCTTCCTTCCCAGGCTCGGTCAGCTGGAAGGTCAGGAAGGACAGCACGTCGTGGTCATCTGCAATCGACAAACAAAACAAAATTCACCTCCCAAATCCCAAACCCCAAATGCCAGATCCTTCCCGATCTTGGAGGAAGGGCACCCTCCCAAAGTTGTGCCAGGGGGATGAGGCTGTGCCGGTGGTTGTGTCAGGACAGAGTGTAAATTGGGAGAGGTCAGAGCCCCATCAGCACTTTTTGGGAAGCGGCAGAAGATCGATGACATCGTCGGGAATCCTTACAGTGGATTGACACCCAACCCTCTCTGTGACAGATGGAAACATTCCCCACCTGCCAATCCCCCCGTGGCTGCAGATATCCCAAAGTAGCCCTGGGCTGGTAGCTGCATGTCCTCCACCTTGGCACACAGCTCGTAGTCATCTTTGTCCGGGGTGAAGCCGTTGTTGACCAGCACCTGCAGCGACAAACACGGGCCATTGACCGAGCTCAGAGCGCGTCAATCTCAACACAATCCATCCACAGGGCAGCTCAGAGTGTGTCAATCTCAACACAATCCATCTACACGGCGCTCAGGCACGCTCAGGGAGCGGGCCCACCCCCAAACGGGGCGACCTCGGCGTCCAAAACGTCCAAAACGTCGATTGCGAATCCCGTCGATTACGACACGGGGCAAGGTCCACCCTGTCAGTGCTGTCGTGTTTACCCTTAAAGAACTTTCTCCAGCTCTGTGGTGGATGGCTGACCCCCCCTGTGGCTAGCAGAGCAAGAAATCAGCAGCCCAACACGCTCTCAGCCCTGCACTTGTCTCTCCTTCCCAGGAGCAATTTACAGCCATCTGAAAATCGTAATGAGTCTGATAGATTCACTTCTACCGGTGCTTTTCTATCTGCTTTAACCCTCAGAGCCCTGCTGTTTCCTGGCAGATGAGAGGCCTGGAGTGGTGGATTTCAATCTTGGGGACTCAGGCTCTGAGGTAAATGGTTCTGGTGGTGAAAGGTACTCACGGTCAGTGTTTTTTGGTAGTAGGCGATCTTCACCCGCACGGGGTAGGGCTTGTTCCGGAAATCCCTCAGGCAGGTGGCCAGGGCTTGGGTGGCACCATCACTAGACAAGACAAACCACGTCAGGATTCATCAGCCCAGAGCAGACAAGCATCAACACCAAACGGGGTTTTCGACAGAAAGTTTTCTGTAAATTGTTCAATTTACACGGAACGCAGGAAAAGATGGGGGGGGGGGGATCCGTCTGGTAAATTTCCTCCTTCAGTTTCCCCATTTCCTCCCAAATTACACTGACAGCAAACTCACTTCTGATGGTCATAGAGGAGCTTCCCGTTGTTGCCCACGACGATCACGCCGGGGTTGTTTTTCTAGGGGTAAATAAAGGTAAATAAACAGATCCATCCGATTTCGGTGAATCGGTGGCGAATTTCCCACGAATTTACCACTTCCACCTCACCTTGCCGTCGTTGTCGAAGGAGTCAAAGAAGACCCCCACGCCGTTCCACTGGTCGGCCGCCCCGAAAACGGGCCCTTCCAGGCCTTGCTCCTCCGTAAACCACACCGCCTGTCGGGAAAGCGAGGCGTAAATTGATTTGGGGAGCGTAAATGAATTTTCACGGCGCCAGGCGGAGCGGCGCGTACCAATCCGTCGGCTCCGATGCGGCCTCTGCCCGTCACTCGGAACGTCACCTCCACCTCCCAGTGCTCGAAGGCCGCCTTGCTCTTGGTCCACACCGAGCCCTTCTGGCTCTTCAGGGAGGTGGTGATGCGGATCTGATCGGCGCTGGGGATGGCATCTACCGAGGAAGGGGAAATTAACCGTGAATTATCCATGAATTATCCACACAATCACCAAACTTTCCAACTCCTCAACTACAGAGGGGTTTTCCAAAGGGACTTTTGAGGGGAGCGCTTTTCAAAGGGAGGGGTTTGAGAGTGCAAAGAAACGACGGGTAGATATTTAGGAAGATATCGATTCACTCGCGTTAAATGACACCTATTTGGGTGATTCCACTTTAAAAATCAGCTCCTCTATTGACCGTTTCCTGCAGCCCAGAGTGAAAAAAATAAATTTACATTTATGAATGAAGCAATATCGATTAAATTAAAGCCTAGCAATGCACAGCAGAATTTACGGCTGAGAAACCATAAGAAACTACCATTTACAAGGCGGGGGGCGCGTAAGAAGAACTAGAAAGCCTCAACTTGTAGGGCAGACAACGCATAGATGTAGAAATGTTTGTATTTACTAAGAAAGGATGTTTATTTCGCGATTTTATCGCTAAAACAGCGGCAGCACCGCCACCTCAGCACCGCCCGGCCCGTCCCCCCCCTCACGGCCCGTGCCGGCCCAACCAACCCCCAGCGATCCCCCCCGGCCACGCCACGCCACTCACTGCCCGTGTGCACCCAGAAGGGCACGGTGCCATCGGCCTGCACCAGGTGCGGCCCTTTGAAGCTGTACTTGTACTCGAAGCGGCGATGCGGAGCTGCCGGAGGGGTGGCGAGAGCCGGTAGGGTGAGGGCGAGCAGGAGCGGCGGCAGCGACAGCTGAGGGAACCGCGCCGCCATCTTGGGCCGAGCGGCGCGCCGGGCACGGCCAGCGGGGCGCGCTCTGATTGGTCGAGAGAGGGGAGGCGGGAGAGGGAGGGGGCGGCGCGAGGGGCGGTCGGTGTGAGGGGCGGCGCGAGCGATGGCGGCCAGAGGTGAGGCCTGAGGGGTTCGGTGTGAGGGGATCCGGTGTGAGGGGTCGGTGTGAGGGGTCCGGTGTGAGGGGTCCGGTGTGAGGGGGCGAAGCGATGGATTCGGTGTGAGGGATCGGTGTGAGGGGGCGGAGCGATGGGTTCGGTGTGAGGGGTTCGGCGCGAGGGGGCGGCGCGAGCGCTCGGTGCGAGGGGGTTCGGCCTGAGGGGGCGGCGCGAGCGATGGCGGCCAGAGGTGAGGCCTGAGGGGTCGGTGTGAGGGGTCGGTGTGAGGGGTCGTCTTGAGGGGATTCGGTGTGACGGGTTCGGTGTGAGGGATCGGCGCGAGCGCTCGGTGTGAGGGGGTTCGGCGCGAGGGGGCGGCGCTAGCGCTCGGTGTGAGGGGGTTCGGTGTGAGGGGGCGGCGCGAAGGGCGGCGCGATGGATTCGGTGTGAGGGTTCGGCCTGAGGGGGTTCGGTGTGAGGGGATGCGGTGTGAGGGGTCGGTGTGACGGGTTCGGTGTGAGGGGTCGGTGTGAGGGATCGGTGTGAGGGGGCGGAGCGATGGGTTCGGTGTGAGGGTGTTCGGCGCGAGGGGGCGGCGCGAGCGCTCGGTGCGAGGGGGGTCGGTGTGAGGGGCGGCGCGAGCGATGGCGGCCAGAGGTGAGGCCTGAGGGGTCGGTGTGAGGGATCGGTGTGAGGGGTCCGGTGTGAGGGGTTCGGTGAGGGGTCGGTGTGAGGATCGGTGTAGGGGTCCGGTGTGAGGGCGAAGCGATGGATTCAGTGTGAGGGATCGGTGTGAGGGGCGGAGCGATGGGTTCGGTGTGAGGGTGTTCGGCGCGAGGGGCGGCGCAGGCGCTCGGTGTGAGGGGGTTCGGCCTGAGGGGGCGGCGCGAGCGATGGCGGCGGGAGGTGAGGCCCGAGGGGTCGGTGTAAGGGGGTTCGGTGTGAGGGGTCAGTCTGAGGGGGTTCGGTGTGACGGGTTCGGTGTGAGGGATCGGCGCGAGCGCTCGGTGTGAGGGTTCGGCCCGAGGGCGGCGCGAGCGCTCGGTGAGGGGTTCGGCCCGAGGATCGGCGCGAGCGCTCGGTGTGAGGGTTCGGCCCGAGGGCGGCGCGAGCGCTCGGTGTGAGGGGTTCGGTGTGAGGGGGTTCGGCCCGAGGGGGCGGCGCGAGCGCTCGGTGTGAGGGGGTTCGGCCCGAGGGATCGGCGCGAGCGCTCGGTGTGAGGGGGTTCGGCCCGAGGGGGCGGCGCGAGCGCTCGGTGTGAGGCGGCGCGAGCGTTCGGTGTGAGGGGGTTCGGTGTGAGGGGGCGGCGCGAGAGGCGGCGCGAGGGATCGCTGTGAAGGTTCGGCCTGAGGGGGTTCGGTGTGAGGGATCGGTGTGAGGGGGCGGAGCGATGGATTCGGTGTGAGGGATCGGTGTGAGGGGGTTCGGCGTGAGGCGGCGCGAGCGCTCGGTGTGAGGGGGTTCGGCCTGAGGGGGCGGCGCGATGGATTCGGTGTGAGGGTTCGGCCTGAGGGGATTCGGTGTGACGGGTTCGGTGTGAAGGTTCGACCTGAGGGGGTTCGGTATGAGGGGGTTCGGTGTGAGTGGGTTCGGTGTGACGGGTTCGGTGTGAGGGGTCCGGTATGAGGGGTTTCGGTGTGAGTGGGTCCGGTATGAGGGATTCGGTGTGAAGGTTCCGCCTGAGGGGGTTCGGTGTGACGGGTCCGGTGTGAGGGGTTCGGCGCGATGGATTCGGTATGAGGGGGTTCGGTGTGAGGGTTCGGTATGAGTGGGTCCGGTGTGAGGGGATTCGGTGTGAGGGGGTTCGGTATGAGGGGGATCGGCCTGAGGGGGTTCGGTGTGAGTGGGTCCGGTGTGAGGGGGTTCGGTGTGAAGGTTCGGCCTGAGGGGGTTCGGCCTGAGGGGGTTCGGTGTTGAAGGTTCGGTGTGAGGGGGCGGCGTGATGGATTCGGTGTGAGGGGGTTCGGCCTGAGGTGGTTCGGTGTGACGGGGTTCGGTGTGAGGGGGATCGGTATGAGGGGGTTCGGTGTGAGTGGGTCCGGTGTGAAGATTCGGTGTGAAGGTTCGGTGTGAGAGTTCCGTGACAGAGTTCCATGTGACGATCCGATGTGAAGGGGCGGGGTGAGGGCGTCGCTGAGGGCCGGGCCTGGGCTGGGCTGGGCTGGGCTGGGCCGGGCTCCTCCCCTCCCTCCCCGGGGCACGGCAAGGTCCCCATCGCGGTCCCGATCCCGGTCCTCGTTCCTACCGGTGTTTCCGAGCACCCTCCGGGTGCGGAGGATCTACCAGGAGGGTGACGTGGCCCTGTCCCTGTCCCTGTCCCTGTCCCCGTCCTGCGACCTCTCGCGTGTCTGAAGGTTAAACCATCTCTCCCTTCCCCTCTCAGTGTTACTTTCTTAGCGTAGATGCCACTCACACGCGCTCTTTTTCGCTCCCTTTTTCAGACTAATCGGGAAACCCCACGGGGAAAAAAACAACACTCGCGCTCACAACTTTCCACAAAGCAAAGCCCAGGTGCTGACGGTGATGACACCGACGCTGCCCTGAGAGGCTGATGAAGGTGAGAAACGCGGCTGCTTCCATTGACAACCGAACCAGCGAGTTACAACTTCCTTTAGAAAACAGTAATTTATTTGTTATATATTTTTTTTCCGCTTTCTTTACCCCCTCGTCTTTTATTCTGCCATCCCTTCTTGCTTAATCTGCGAGTGGGAGCAATTTAAGGCTCGGTAAATCGCTTCAGAGGAAGAAGAGGATGATCTTGGAGAGATTAAGTTCTTTTTTTAAAAGGGTACCACCCCCCCCCACACTTCAGCAGGGAGGAAAAAAATCTACAAATAAAAGTCCAGCCTTTTTTTTATTTGGTTTTTTAGAGTGTCTCCTACAGATACCCATCTTTTCTCCTCATTTCTATTTACCAGATTGGCGAATTTTGGGGCGTTGTAAGCGACAAACCAACCCAAATCATCATTTCTTAATTAAAGAATCGCTTCAAATTTTAACGAGACGCCGGCGAATGTTTTAACCCCCGGGTTTTATTCGCTTCCAATTTCCCTCGAGGATTCTCCCACGTTCCTCGCTTAATTCCAATTACAACGTTAATTACACCCGACAAGCGGTTACTGAATCTCGCCCCGTAATTAATCAACCTGATATTTACTCGCCGCATTGTCCTTAGCGGATTAAACCGCGGCTTAGACGAGCGGGGCAAGGAAAGTGAGTGACGCTGCCTCCCGTTGGGAAAGTTCATCTCCCCCCTGAAAGGAGACGCCTTCAGGGATCACGGAATTTGAATTCCCGGCGAATTTCGGTGGCATCTCAGCTTGACCAGCTCCGGGAGAACACGTTAACCTCCTCTGGTGATTTTCGCCCAAGCATTCTAATTTAGCGAGTAATTAAAGGGTCACATGTAGGATCAAGAGCTCGATAAGCTTGGATTACGGCACAGGAAGCTTTGTTTCCACGGCAACGCCGAGAGGAGAGGGGGGGGTTGGTGGTGGTAAATGCTGAGGTCAGGCACTTAATGAACCGGGAATGGTCGCCAGAAAACAATCGAACAATCGTTTAATGATTTGCTGATAGAAAACAACCGCGCAGACAAAGGTCCCGAGGAGTCCCAAACAATGAGCAAAGCAGAACCCCTGGAGCCCTCACGCAGGGATTTGGCGATGTTTGCGTCAGCTGCCCCCGGGGGGCACTGGCTACCTGCGGGGTGACGTCACCACGGGTTCAGCACCCCGAAAAGCACCGTTTCTGGTTGGGTTTGGTGATGGGAAGGGTCTGTCAATCAGCGAGCTCTTGCCTTGGTAAATGATTGCAGCCGCCTTCTTTATTTCCGCTCTCCACAGGTAAATGCTTTTCACTGTGCAGATGTGTCTCCAGCTTCTCTCTGCTGTTGCTTCTCTGCAGGCCAATGCCAGCCTCGTGATGGACACGGAACCTTCCCGATCATTGTCCAGCTGATTAAAGATGGATGGGCCTGGAAATGCGGGAAAAGGTAGGATTTCCACCTCCAGTTTCCATTTCCACCTGTCAGCAGCGTGCTGTGCCACACCGCGGGGCTGCATCCACGCGCTCCGTGTGCCCCCAAGCTGCAGCTGATGGAGCAGCAGCCGGGCCTTGGAGCCATCAGGAGGATCCCAACCCATCCTGAAGAGCAGGATCATCATCCCCATCGGCAAATGAAGGTTTAAAACACCGGAACGTTTTCAAATCGCAGAACAAACCAAAACCAGATCCCGATACAGTTTACTGAGCAATAAACAGATCCCGATACAATTTACCGAGCACAAACACAGATCCCGATACAATTTACCGAGCAATAAACAGATCCCGATACAATTTACCGAGCAATAAACAGATCCCGATACAATTTACCAAGCACAAACACAGATCCCGATACAATTTACCAAGCACAAACACAGATCCCGATACAATTTACTGAGCAATAAACACAGATCCCGATACAATTTACCAAGCAATAAACACAGATCCCGATACAATTTACCGAGCACAAACACAGATCCCGATACAATTTACCGAGCAATAAACAGATCCCGATACAATTTACCGAGCACAAACACAGATCCCGATACAATTTACCGAGCAATAAACACAAACACAGATCCCAATACAATACAATTTACTGAGCACAAACACAGATCCCAATACAATTAACGAGCACAAACACAGATCGCGATGCAATTTACAGAGCAATAAACAGATCCCGATACAATTTACCGAGCAATAAACAGATCCCGATACAATTTACCGAGAATAAACAGATCCCGATACAATTTACCGAGCAATAAACAGATCCCGATACAATTTACCGAGCAATAAACAGATCCCGATACAATTTACTGAGCATAAACACAGATCCCGATACAATTTACCAAGCAATAAACACAGATCCCGATACAATTTACCGAGCAATAAACAGATCCCGATACAATTTACCGAGCACAAACACAGATCCCGATACAATTTACCGAGCAATAAACAGATCCCAATACAATTTACCGAGCACAAACACAGATCCCGATACAATTTACCGAGCAATAAACAGATCCCAATACAATTTACCGAGCACAAACACAACCCCCAAGGAGCTGTTTGGATCTTTATTTATTTATTTTTTCCTAAGCGTGTTTAACGCGGGTCTTTACAGAGTTATTTCAGTGACGTCAGCAATCAACCCGGGGCATTTTGTGCTCTCATTTAGGATTCAGAAAACCGTGAGTGGTGGAGGAGTTCAGAACCACGCGGGAGCCACCAGCAGCCCACTCGTGAAAGGAACGGCACGCAAATGAAATCCAAATTGACGTCGTCGCTTCTCTTTGGCGTTTTCCAGGTAGGTTGGGTGGGGTCTTGGTGGATTTTGGGCTCGGTTTGGTGTTGTTCTTTTTTTCCCTAAGCCCTCATTAACTCCCCTCACGCTGTCTCCCTCTTTTTTTTTTTTAAATAAAACCCAACCAATTAGCACCTCATCAGCGTCAATTAGAGGAGACAAAAGCCGTGTAAAGATAACTCCCCGAGAGGGGGTGGCCCGACATCGTGTAATCGCTTAAGACAGCATTCACCGCCTCTATTCACCTTTTTTTTTCCTTCCCCCCCCTTCTTTCTGGCTCTTTATCTGCTGGTTGGACTGATTGATTTCTTCTTTTCTGGGAAGCCGGGCCTGCCGGCAATCTCAGAGCCGCCGTCATTCAGAGCTACCTGTTTACAGCTCCACCGCCAGCAGGACCGAAACAATCCTATATTGTTGGGATCCCTTCAACTTTAGGCCAGCACAAAGGCCTTGTTTTCAGGCCGAGTTAAAAGGCTGCCTTTTATCCTCATTAAGTGTTCTGCTTGTCCTAATTACACGGCAAGGGCAACAATGTTTAATTTTTGATTTTTTTTTTATTTTTTTTTTTTTTGTCTTTGGAGCGGTTAATTCTCAATCCCCCCCCTCCCCTCACACAACCCGTTAATTAGTGTGGAAGGAACCCTAATTTCCTCCCCATTTACCGCCCCTTGTTTTCACATCGAGCTTGGCTGAGCCTCCATAATGAAATTACCTCATTAAGGCCTTTTCTTCTCTCCAAAGTAACTCGTTCAAAATCGACCCATTTGGCTTTCATCGACCGCCCTCCCCGAAAGCGAAAGGGGCACCGAGGAGCGGGCAGATTTAAATCACGGCCGGTAGTGAAGTTATAATTGGACATCAGCAGCACTTCAGCGACAATTAACCGCTCGCAAAGCCTGCTGATTATTAACTGTGTCCGCCCGCAATTAACGGCGCGTCGGCAAAGCCTCGCGCCATTTACCAACGCGAGGTGCAGTTGGGTTGTGCTGCTGGCAATCCTCGCACTTGCAGAGCCCACCTTTAGTCTTTTAGGAGATGATTATTATCTCTCACTAGCTATGATGCAATTATTAATAACGTTAATTATAATTATATATTTACATGACGATTGCAGCCACAGGGCGTTGTTTGCTGTTCATCTTTTTCCCATCTGCCATAAAAACATCTGGGTTTGGCTGATTGATTTCTCCTCCCACCACGAGCATTTCTTGCTTTTATTTGTTTATTTGCATTTATTACTTTGATTTCTTTGCCTTTTATTTGTCCCTCAAGCTGCCCTCTGATGGTGGGATTATCCCATGGTGGGATTGTTCCATGGGAACATCCAGGGATCCCCTTCCCGAGATCCCATTCCTGGGATCATCCAGGATCCCCTTCCTGGCATCATCCAGGATCCCCTTCCTGGGATCATCCAGGATCCCATTCCTGGGATCATCCAGGATCCCCTTCCTGGCATCATCCAGGATCCCCTTCCTGGGATCATCCAGGATCCCCTTCCCAGGATTATCCAAGGATCCCATTCCTGGGATCATCCAGGATCCCCTTCCTGGGATTATCCAGGACCCCATTCCTGGGATCATCCAGGATCCCCTTCCCAGCATCATCCAGGACCCCCTTCCTGGGAACATCCAGGATCCCCTTCCTGGGATCATCCAGGACCCCCTTCCTGGGATCATCCAAGGATCCCATTCCTGGGATCATCCAGGATCCCATTCCTGGGATTATCCAAGGACCCCATTCCTGGGATTATCCAGGATCCCATTCCCAGGAACACCCAGGGAATGAATCCCAACCCCATCCCCTGCTCCCAAATCCCGCCATCCCCCTCAAATTCCAGACTCTCCATCCCACGCATTCCACACATTTTCTTTATTTTTGGGAATTCCATAAATAACCCGGGATACAAAAATACAAAAATAACCCATTTTTTTCCCCCCCTCCCTCCTCCCTCCCTTTTTTCCCCATCCCAGAATCCCAAGGTTTGTCTTTTTCCCGGGATAACGGGCGGCTCTTCCGGCTTCACTGAGGATCCTTTGGGAATTTCTGGAATTCCGACTGCTCCTTGAAGAAGAGCTGGGCCAGGATGTGATCGGCCGTGCCGTGGAAGTAGCGCCGCATCCCCAGGGTCTCCAGCTGCGAGTGGAGACAAAGCCAGGTCACCCACGGGGGGCACACACACCCCACAGACCCCACAGGGGTCACCAGAGCCCACAGACCCCACGGGTGTCACACACACCCCACAGGTGACACAGAGACCCCACAGACCCCACGGGTGACACACAGAGCCCATGGGTGTCACACAGACCCCACAGACCCCACAGGTGTCACACAGACCTGGGTGACACAGAGACCCCACAGACCCCACGGGTGTCACACAGACCCCACAGGTGACACAGAGACCCCACAGACCCCACAGGTGTCACACAGAGCCCATGGGTGTCACACAGACCCCACAGACCCATGGGTGACACACAGACCCCACGGGTGACACACAGAGCCCACAGGTGTCACACGCACCCCACAGACCCCACAGGTGACACACAGAGCCCACAGACCCCACGGGTGTCACACAGAGCCCACAGGTGACACACAGACCCCACAGACACCGCCCTGTCACCCACGGGGGTCACAGAGAACCCACAGACCCCACGGGTGACACACAGAGACCCCACGGGTGACACACAGAGCCCACAGACCCCACGGGTGACACACAGACCCCACAGGTGACACACAGACCCCACGGGTGACACACACCCCACGGGTGACACACAGAGCCCACAGGTGACACACAGAGACCCCACAGACCCCACGGGTGACACACAGACCCCACGGGTGACACACAGAGCCCACAGACCCCACAGGTGACACACAGACCCCACAGACCCCACAGGTGACACACAGACCCCACGGGTGTCACACACACCCCACAGACCCCACGGGTGACACACAGACCCCACGGGTGACACACAGACCCCACAGGTGACACACAGACCCCACAGACCCCACAGGTGACACACAGACCCCACAGGTGACACACAGACCCCACTGTGCCCATGGGGTGTCACTGAGAGCCCACAGACACCTCCCTGTCACCCATGGGGGTCACAGAGAACCCACGGACCCCACAGGTGTCACACAGACCCCACAGCACCCATGGGTGACACACAGACCCCACAGCACCCACGGGTGTCACACAGACCCCACAGACACCTCCCTGTCACCCACGGGGGTCACACAGACCCCACAGCACCCATGGGATGAACCCACTGGAAATCCCTCCAGGATCATTTCCCATGGGACGAACCCACTGGAGATCCATCCCAGACCATTTCCCATGGGGTGAACCCACTGGAAATCCATCTGTGGGATGAACCCCCTGCAGATCCATCCAGGATCATCTCCCATGGGATGAACCCCCTGCAGATCCCTCCAGGATCATCTCCCATGGGATGAACCCCCTGCAGATCCATCCATGGGATGAACCCCCTGCAGATCCCTCCAGGATCATCTCCCATGGGATGAACCCCCTGCAGATCCATCCAGGATCATCTCCCATGGGATGAACCCCCTGCAGATCCATCCAGGATCATCTCCCATGGGATGAACCCCTGCAGATCCATCCAGGATCATCTCCCATGGGATGAACCCCCTGCAGATCCATCCAGGATCATCTCCCATGGGATGAACCCCCTGCAGATCCCTCCAGGATCATCTCCCATGGGATGAACCCCCTGCAGATCCATCCATGGGATGAACCCCCTGCAGATCCATCCATGGGATGAACCCCCTGCAGATCCATCCAGGATCATCTCCCACGGGATTCCCCCCCCTTAAATCTCTCTCAAGGCTCAACATTCCCATTTTTTCCCGGGAATTCCCACCTGGTTGTTGGTGCTGTAGGCCAGCAGCACCACCAGGTCCTCCTGGCAGGTGCTGAGCAGGAAGTGCTGCGTTCCCACCGGGAAGAAGAGCAGGTCCCCGATGCCGATGGGAAAGGTGGAAGTGGTGCCTGACAGGACCACTCCGGCCTGAGGGATGGGAAAACACGGAATTCCTGAGGGGAATATTCCCACTCTGGGGTTGGAGATTCCCAGGGTGGGATTGGAGATTCCCAGTCTGGGATTTGGAGATTCCCACTCTGGGGTTGGAGATTCCCAGGCTGGGGTTGGAGATTCCCAGTCTGGGAGTTTGGGATTCCCAGAGTGGGATTGGAGATTCCCAGGGTGGGGTTGGAGATTCCCAGAGTGGGGTTGGAGATTCCCACTCTGGGGTTGGAGATTCCCAGGCTGGGATTGGAGATTCCCAGGGTGGGATTGGAATATTCCACATATGGGATTGGAGATTCCCAGTCTAGAGTTGAAGATTCCCAGTGTGGGGTTGGATCATCCCCAAATCCAGGATTGGAATATTCCCATTTCAGGCCTGGAATATTCCCCAATCTGCCACTGGAATATTCCCAATGTGAGCCTGGAATAATCCCCAATCTGCCACTGGAATATTCCCCAATCTGCCACTGGAATATTCCCCAATCCACCATCCCAACACCCCCCACCGCTCTCCCCTCCTTCCCAACCCTCCCTCCCCTCTTCCCAACCCCTCATTCCCTCATTTCCCCCTCCGGAATTCCGATCCCACCTGGCCACATCCGCTGATGACGTATCCCATCTCGTGAGCGTTGAAGTGAAAGTGGGGCCTTCCCAAACTATTCCCGAAAATCCGCAGCGTTGCCAAGGTCAGGGTGTTCTCATGCTGGGAAAAAACCATCCCAAAATCCATGGAAAAGCTCTGGGAAAAGGTTGGGATAGCTGGGATAACTGGGAATTGTGATGGGATGGTTACCTTGTGGAGGGACTCGCTGAAGATGCGCTGATTGGGGGTGAGGCCGGTGCCGTTGAGTCGATAACGAGCCCACTGGAAAACTCCTCCTGGGATTGGGAATTCCTGGGAACCTGGGCAAAAAAGATTGGGAATGAGCTTTGGAAGCTTGGGAAAAAAAAAAGGGAGGAGGAGGAGTTGGGAATTGAGGGGGTTATCCTGGAATTTGGGGGGTAGATGGAAGGGATGGGGGGTGTGGTTTGAGGAGGGGAATCCAGCCCGGAGATGGTGGGAATTTTGGGAATATTCGGGTCCAGATCCTTCCTAAAAGATGGGAATATTCAGTCCTAGATGGGTCCTAAATATTGGGAATATTCAGTCCTAGATGGCTCCTAAATATTGGGAATATTCAGTCTTAGATGGCTTCTAAAAACTGGGAATATCCAGCCCCATCTCCCTCCTATTCCCTGGCAATACCCCCATCTGCAATCCCACTTTCTCTCCCCCCTCCCCATTCCCGGAATTCCCACCTTGGAGGTCGTAGAAGAACTGCCAGACCTGGGAATCGGGAGATTGGGGGTAGGTGGCGTTGTGCACCAGCTGCTCCAGGTTGGGGGGCAGGTTGATGGCCTGGTCTTCTGATTGTTTCTGGAACGTTCGGATGAATTTCACGCCGCCCTCGGGCTGGGGGAGGGGAAAAACGGGATGGGGGAGGTGAGATCCGGGGAAAGTTGGGATACAGATCCAATCCTGCCACTGGGGGATCCCACGAGCCAGACCTTCAAGGTTTGGAGCCATCTGCACTTGTGGGAGGGACCAAACCCATCCCAATCCATCATCCAACCTCCAAACCATCAACGACCTCCAAACCCATCCCAATCCATCATCCAACCTCCAAACCATCATCCATCTGCAAACCCATCCCAATCCAGGATCCACCTCCAACCCATCATCCATCTGCAAACCCATCCCAATCCAGGATAGACCTCCAAAACATCATCCACCTGCAAACCCATCCCAATCCAGGATCCACCTCCAACCCATCATCCATCTGCAAATCTATCCCAATCCAGGATAGACCTCCAACCCATCATCCACCTGCAAACCCATCCCAATCTAGGATAGACCTCCAAACCATCATCCACCTGCAAACCCATCCCAAACCATCATCCAACCTCCAACCCATCATCCACCTCCAGACCATCATCCACCTCCAAACCCATTCTAAACCATCATCCACCTCCAAACCTTTATCCACCTCCAAACCTTTATCCACCTCCAAACCATCATCCACCTCCAAAGCATCATCCACCTCCAAACCATCATCCACCTCCAAACCATCATCCACCTCCAAACCCATCCCAGTTCATGATCCACTTCCAAACCTTTATCCACCTCCAAACCTTTATCCACCTCCAAACCTTTATCCACCTCCAAGCCATCATCCACCTGCAAACCTATCCCAGTTCATGATCCACTTCCAAACCTTTATCCACCTCCAAACCTTTATCCACCTCCAAACCATCATCCACCTGCAAACCTATCCCAAACCATCATCCACCTCCAAACCATCATCCACCTGCAAACCCATTCCAACTCATCATCCACCTCCAAACCCATTCCAAACCATCATCCACCTCCAAAGCATCATCCACCTCCAAACCATCATCCACCTGCAAACCCATCCCAGTTCATGATCTACCTCCAAAGCATCATCCACCTGCAAACCCATCCCAAACCATCATCCACCTCCAACCCATCATCCACCTGCAACCCATTCCAACCCAGGATCCACCTCCACCCCCTCATCCACCAGCGCTCCCGTACCTGCAGCGCCCTGGCCAGCACGTCCTCGGGGGTCCCAGAAAGCGTCATCGACGTCGAGGGTGAGCAGCTCGCGGTGGGTGCTGAAGAAGAGCAGGAAGAGGCAGTCCTGGTCGCCCACGTTCTTCACCCAGTGCACGGTGTTACGGGGGAAGAAAACCACCTGCCCGGCCGTCACGTTGTACGTCGTCACCACCGCGTCGTCCGGGCCGATGATGCCGATCCAGGCCGAGCCCTGCGGGTGTATCACATCCTGAATGTTATATCTTAAATACTGTAAATTGTAGATTGTTATATTGGATGGAAATTATAGCTTAAACACTGTAAATGATAGATTATTATATTGGATGTAAATTATATCTTAAATACTGTAAATTATAGATTATTATATTGGATGTCAATTATATGTTAAATACCATAAATGATAGATTATTATATTGGATGTCAATTATATCTTAAATACTGTAAATTGTAGATTATTATATTGGATGTAAATTATATCTTAAATACCGTAAATTATAGATTATTATATTGGATGTCAATTATATCTTAAATACCGTAAATTACAGATTATTATATTGGATGTAAATTGTATCTTAAATACTGTAAATTATAGATTATTATATTGAATATTATTGAATATTATATATTGCATTTATATATTATAGTGGTTTTTTAACATGCCTTAATTTACAATGCTTTTTAAGATCTTATTAGTCACGGTTAGCAACGCTAATTTTTAATCAGCGAGGCGAATTTTTAGCACTGTCGATAAGTCCTAATACCGTTATTTTCTACATTATTTTATCAATTATAATTATTAATATTTCATACACAACTTTATAACAAATATCGATTTTAGTAATAATATTATTAATATTAAGAAATATTTAATACAATCATTAATACTCTTCTTAATATTTAAAATAACATGAAAATTAGAAATGAATATTACGCTAATATGAGAATAAAATATTAGGATAAAATATTAGAATAAAATGTTAGGATAAAATATTAGACTAAAATATTAGGATGAAATATTGGGATGAAATATTAGAATAAAATATTAGAATTAAATATTAGGATAAAATATTCGGATAAAATAGAATAAAATATTAGGATAAAATATTAGGATAAATATTAGGATAAAATATTAGACTAAAATATTAGGATAAAATATTAGACTAAAATATTAGGATAAAATATTAGGATAAAATATTTGGATGAAATATTCGGATAAAATATTAGGATAAAATATTCGGATAAAATATTAGAATAAAATATTTGGATGAAATATTGGGATGAAATATTCGAATAAAATATTATGATAAAACATTAGAATAAAATATTTGGATAAAATAGAATAAAATATTAGGATAAAATATTAGGATAAAATATTATGATAAAATATTAGACTAAAATATTTGGATGAAATAGAATAAAATATTAGGATGAAATATTGGGCTGAAATCTTGGGCTGAAATCTTGGGCTGAAATCTTTGGGAGGGCACACCTGGAGGAGGTATCCGTGCTCGTTGGCGTTGAAGTGCCAGTGCGGGGCGCGGACGCCGCGGGGTCTGATGCGCAGGGTGCCGAAGGTGATCTGCGAGCGCCGAGCGTTGATGCTGTCCCCGAACGCCCGCTCCTCCCGGCTCGAGTATTCCGAGGGGTCCTGCCGGAAACGGCCCCACTGGATCTCCCCCCCGGGGTAGCTGTGCACCTGCAAATGGGGCAGAAAACACCTCCTTAATTACTCATTATTAATTAATTATTAATTATTAATTAATTATTAATAATTATCAATTAATCATCGATATTAATAAAGTCACGTTATCAGTTGTGGTTTGCTAAGGAGGGCAAGGGCGCAGGGGTAAATGAATGAACTCTCTCTCACTAGCTTATTAATTATAATTATTCGTTACTTAATAATTATTTATTACTTATTAATTAATTATCATTAATTATTAATTATTAAGTAATTAATACTTATTAAGTAATTATGGATTAATTATTACGAATTATTAAGAATTTAATAATTATTGCGATTTAATAACCTCTGGTATTAGTAACTAATAACGGCGAAGAATCGGTCGATTACTCATCAAATTATCTCCCCATCTAATTGCCTAATCCTCTAATCTAGAGAATGAATGAGTAGGCAATTAGAGAATGAGGTAATTAGATTAATAATCCACCAATCAGTCGTCGCGATGAGTTGCTGCTGATGATGCAGAACTTTCTATAATTAGGAATAATTATAATGACTATTAATAATTATCGTTAATAATTAGTTATTAATTATTATTATTGAACATGTCAGTAAGCACATACGTACCACTGAAGTTTACAATTAGGAAATTAAATGATGATGATATAATTAGTTAGATAAATAATCAACCAATAAGCTACTAATAACAGATAAATTATTTATTATTTCTTTATTTATTAATTATTTATTAAAAAGTATTATTAAGTCATACGTATACGTAACTATGACTATAATCAGGCAATTAAATAATGAGATAATGATGTAATTAGATGAGTAACCAACCAATTCTTCCTCATTATTAGTCACTAATAATAACACAGAACTTCCTAATTAATAATCGTTATTAATTACTAATAATAACACAGACAACTCTCATTAATTCTTAATTCTCATTAATTACAGGTAATTCTTAAGTCTCGTTATCGCCCCTCAGGCTCACCTTGGACTTGCTGAGGTGATTCAGGAACTGGAACTTGACGTCCACCTTGTCCTGGCCGTCGGCATCATCGCCCGTCGATGGCGGCGCCGGCACCGTCACCGTCACCGTGGGGGAGTCGGTGACGATCACCAGCGACAGCGCCAGCACCCCCAGCGCCGTGGTGAGCACCCCGGCCAGCAGGCACACCAGGAACACCCGCAGCAGCCACGAGCCGCCACGGCCATCTGCAGCACCCTGGAACATCGACCAATCCATCAGCAATCCATCTGCACTGCCCTGGAAACATCACCCATCCATCCGCGATTCACTGGAAACATCACCCATCCATCCGCGATTCACTGGAAATATCACCCAATCCATCCCCAATCCACACCAGGAACACCCACAGCAGCCACGAGCTGCCACGGCCATCTGCAGCCACCTGGAACATCCACCAATCCATCAGCAATCCATCTGCAATCCATCCGCGATTCACTGGAAACATCACCCAGTCCATTCCCAGTCCACACCAGGAACACCCGCAGCAGCCACGAGCCGCCACGGCCATCTGCAGCACCCTGGAACATCCACCAATCCATCAGCAATCCATCTGCACTGCCCTGGAAACATCACCCATCCATCCGCGATTCACTGGAAACATCACCCAATCCATCCACAAGTCACTGAAAACATCACCCATCCATCTGCAATTCACTGGAAATATCACCCAATCCATCTGCAATCCCTGAAAACATCACCCAACCATCCTCAAGCCATCTGCAACTCCCTGAAAACATTACCTAATCCATCTGCAATTCCCTACAAACACCACCCAACCCATCTGCAATCCCCTACAAACACCACCCAACCCATCTGCAATCCCCTACAAACACCACCCAACCCATCTGCAATTCCCTACATCACCCAATCCATCTGCAATTCCCTCCAAACACCACCCAATCCATCCGCAACTCCCTAATCCATCCCCAATCCCTCCAACCACCACCCAACCCATCCACAACTCCCTAATCCATCCACAATTCCCTCCAAACACAACCCAATCCATCCACAACTCCCTAATCCATCCCCAATCCCTCCAACCACCACCCAACCCATCCACAACTCCCTAATCCATCCCCAATCCCTCCAACCACCACCCAACCCATCCACAACTCCCTAATCCATCCCCAATCCCTCCAAACACCACCCAATCCATCCACAACTCCCTAATCCATCCACAATTCCCTACAAATATCACCCAACCATCCTCAATCCATCTGCAATTCCCTACATCACCCAATCCATCTACAACTCCCTGAAAACATTACCCAATCCATCCACAACTCCCTAATCCATCCACAACTCCCTCCAAACATCACCCAACCCATCCACAACTCCCTAATCCATCCACAACTCCCTCCAACCACCACCCAATCCATCCACAACTCCCTAATCCATCCCCAATCCCTACAAACATCACCCAATCCATCCACACCTCCCTAATCCATCCACAACTCCCTCCAAACACCACCCAATCCATCCACAACTCCCTAATCCATCCACAACTCCCTCCAAACATCACCCAATCCATCCACAACTCCCTAATCCATCCACAACTCCCTCCAAACATCACCCAATCCATCCACAACTCCCTAATCCATCCACAACTCCCTACAAACACCACCCAATCCATCCACAACTCCCTAATCCATCCCCAATCCCTCCAAACATCACCCAATCCATCCACAACTCCCTAATCCATCCACAATTCCCTACAAACACCACCCAACCCATCCCCAATCCCCTACAAACACCACCCAATCCATCCACAACTCCCTAATCCATCCACAACTCCCTACAAACACCACCCAATCCATCCACAACTCCCTGAAAACATCACCCAATCCATCTGCAACTCCCTACAAACATCAATCCATCCCAAATCCCTCCAAACACCACCCAATCCATCCACACCTCCCTAATCCATCCACAACTCCCTCCAAACATCACCCAATCCATCTGCAATTCCCTCCAAACATCAATCCATCCCAAATCCCTCCAAACATCACCCAATCCATCCACAACTCCCTACAAACATCACCCAATCCATCTGCAACTCCCTGAAAACACCACCCAATCCATCTGCAATTCCCTACACAATTCCCTCCAAACACCACCCAATCCATCCCCAATCCCTCCAAACACCACCCAACCCATTTGCAATCCCTACAAATACCAATCCATTCCAAATCCCTCCAAACACCACCCAATCCATCCACAACTCCCTAATCCATCCCCAATCCCTACAAACACCACCCAATCCACCCACAACTCCCTACAAACATCAACCAATCCATCCACAACTCCCTAATCCATCCACAACTCCCTCCAAACACCACCCAATCCATCCACAACTCCCTAATCCATCCACAACTCCCTCCAAACACCACCCAATCCATCAGCAATTCCCTGAAAACATCACCCAATCCATCCCCACTCCCCCCCTCCCCCCGGACTGGGCTCATGTCGCGTCACCGTCGATGGAATTGCCGATGCCGTCGATACCTGGTTGGTGGGTGGATGTTTCCCGTTGGGAAAGGCGGGATAAGTGGGAATGTGCTGATGATCTCCCTGCAGCTCGAACGCCTGGTTGTCCATGGAGCCGGAAAACTGGGAATTCAAGGAATTCAGGGGTCATTACGGGGGGGGTGGAGTTTGTCGGGATTTTGGGGTTGTTTGGGCAGTTTTGGGGGTATTTTGGTCTTTTTTTTGGGTTTTTTTGTTTTTTTTTTTGGGGGTATTTTAAGGATTTTTTTGGGGGGTTTTTGGGGTTATTTTTGAGGTTTTTTTGGGGGTATTTTGGGTTTTTTTGGGGCTTTTTTTTAGGGGTATTTTAGGGTTTTTTTGGGGAGTTTTGGGGGTTTTTTTGAGGGGTTTTTTGGGGTATTTTGGGTTTGAGGTATTTTGGAGGTATTTTGGGGCTTTTGAGGGTTTTGGGGTTATTTTAGGTTTTGAGGGCTTTTGGGAGGTCTTGGGATTTTGAGTTTTTGGGAGTTTTGGGGGTTTTGAGGGTTTTTGGGGTATTTTGGGTTTTTTGAGGGTTTTTGAGGTTTTTGGGAGTTTTTGGGTTTTGAGGGTATTTTATGGGTTTTTGGTTTTGAGGTATTTGAGGTTTTTTTTTTGAGGTTTTTTGGGGGTATTTTGAGGGTTTTTTTGATTTTTTTTGCAGGTTTTTTTGCGGGTTTTTTGGGGCTTTTTGGGGTTTTTGAGTATTTAGGGTTTTTGGGGGAGTTTTGGGGTTTGCAGGTTTTGAGTTTTTGGGGTATTTTGAGGGTTTTTGAGGGTTTTTGGGGTATTTGGGGTTTTTGGGGGTATTTGGGTGGTTTTGAGGTTTTTGGGGTATTTTGGGGGCTTTTGAGGTTTTTGGGGTTATTTTAGGTTTTGGGGTTTTTAGGGGTTATTTTGGGGCTTTTGGGGTTTTGGGTATTTTGAGGGTTTTAGGGGTCTTTAGGGTTTTGCGGAGTTTTTGAGGTTTTTGGGGCTTTGAGGTTTTTGGGAGTATTTTAGGTTTTGAGGGTTTTTGGGGTTATTTTGGGGCTTGTGGGTTTTTAGGGTGTTTTGAGGGTTTTTGGGGTAATTTTGGGGTTTATTTTGGGTTTTTGAGGTTTTTTGGGGATTATTGGGGGTTTTTGGAGGGTTTTTGGGGTTATTTTGTGGGTTTTAGGGTTTTGGGGTTATTTTGGAGAGTTTTGAGGTTTTTGAGGTTATTTTGAGGTTGTTGGGGCTTTGTTTGGGTTTTTAGGGGGTATTTTGGGGTTTTGGAGTTTTTGGGGAGTTTTTGAGGGTGTTTTATGGTTTTTGGGAGAGTTTTAGGGGGTATTTGAGGGTTTTTGGGTTTTTAGGGGTTTTTGTGGGTTCTTTAAGGGAGTCTTTAGGAGTTCTTTGAGTTTTTGGGGAGTTATTCTTAGGTTTTAGGGGTTTTTTGAGTTTTGGTTTTTTGAGGTTTTTGGGGGTTATTTTGGGGTTTAGGGTTTTGGGTGGGTTTTGTTGAGGTTTTTAGGGTATTTGGGGTTTTGAGGTTTGAGGGTTTTTGGGGGTTTAGGGTTTTTGGGGGTTTTGGGTTTTGAGGTTTTTAGGGGTTATTTTAGGTTTTAGGGCTTTTGGGGTTAGTTTGAGGTTTTGGAGTTTGGGGTTTTGGAGTTTTGGATTTTTAGGGGTATTTAGGGGTTTTTTGAGGGTTTTTGAGGGTTTTTTTGATTTTTGGGGCTTTTTTAGGGGTATTTGAGGTTTTGAGGTTTTTTAGGGGTTATTTTGGGGTAAGTTTAGAGGCTTTTTTAGGGTATTTTGAGGTTTTTGGGGTTTTTGGAGTTTTTGGGTTTTTTTTTGAGGTTTTTGGGTTTTTAGGGTTTTGGGAGTTTTTGGTGGTTTTTGAGGTTTTGGGGTATTTTGGGATTTTTGGGGTTTTGGGGTTATTTTGGGTTTTTAGAGGTTTGGATTTTGAGGTTTTTGGGGTTATTTTGGGGTTTTTGTGGTTTTTAGGGTATTTTAGGGTTTTTTGGGGGTTTTGGGGTTTTGGGTTTTTGAGGTTTTTGGGGTATTTTGGGTTTTTGAGGTTATTTTGGGGTATTTTGGGTTTTGAGGGTTTGGGTTTTTAGGGTATTTTAGGGTTTTGAGGGTTATGGGTTTTGGGGTTTTTGGGGGTTATTTCTGGGTTTTGGGGTTAATTTTTGGGATATTTTGGGGTTTTAGGTTTTTGGGGTTATTTTGGGTTTTTAGGGTTATTTTGGGGTTTTTGGGTGTTAGTTTTTGGGGTTTTGGGGTTTTGGGGTTTATTTTGGTTTTTTGGGTTTGGGGTTTTGAGGTTTTTGGGTATTTTGGGGTATTTTGGGGTTTTTGAGGTTTTGGGTTTTGGGGTTATTTTGAGTTTTTGGGTATTTTGGGATTTTGGGGTTAATTTTGGGTTTTGGGGTTTTTTGAGGTTTGGGTTTTGGGGTTTTTGGGTTATTTTAGGTTTTGGGGGTTATTTTTGGGTATTTTGGGTTTTTAGTTTTCTGGGGTTTTGGGGTATTTCTGGGATTTTTGGAGGGTTTTGGTTTATTTTTTTGAGTTTTTAGGGGTTTTGGGGTTGTTTTGAGGTATTTTGGGGTGGGTTTGAGGTATTTTGGGTTCTTCTGGGGGGGTTATTTCTGGGATTTTTAGGGTAATTTCTGGGATTTTTTGGGGGTCATTTTGGGGTTATTTCTGTAATTTTTTCAGGGTTTTTTGGGGTTATTTCTGGTTTTTTTGGGGTAATTTCTGGGTTTTTTTGGTTATATTCTGGGATTTTTTGGGGGTAATTTCTGGGATTTTTGGGGGTTATTTCTGGGATTTTTTGGGGTTATTTCTGGGATTTTTTGGGTTATTTCTGGGATTTTTTGGGGTAATTTCTGGGATTTTTGGGTTATTTCTGGTATTTTTTGGTTTAATTCTAGGATTTTTTGGGGTAATTTCTGGGATTTTTGGGGTTATTTCTGGGATTTTGGGGGTTATTTTGGGGTTATTTCTATAATTTTTTCAGGGGTTTTTGTGGTTATTTCTGGGATTTTTGGGGGTTATTTTGGGGTTATTTCTCTAATTTTTTCAGGGTTTTTTGGGGTTATTTCTGGCATTTTTGGGGGGTTATTTTGGGGCTATTTCTATAATTTTTTCAGGGTTTTTTGGGGTTATTTCTGGCATTTTTGGGGTAATTTCTATGATTTTTAAGGGTAATTTCTGGGATTTTTTGGAGTTATTTCTGGTTTTTTTGGGGGTTAATTCTGGGATTTTTTTAGGGTAATTTCTGGTATTTTTTGGGTTAATTTTAGGGTTATTTCAGGGGCTTTTGGGGCTGAGGAAATTGCGCCATCCCCGCTTTTTCTCTTGACCGTTGCCCCTCTGGAATTTCCCTTCCAACCCTCGGCAACTTCTCCCAAAAATTTCACAATCCCAACGTTCCCAAATCACCCTCCCCCCTGGCTTTATTATCCCAATTTTCCTGGTTTTTTGAGGTTTTTCCTAATTTTTCCATTTTCCTGGATTTTTTCCTTTTTTTCCATTTTTTTCCTTTTTCCTGTTTTTCCTATTTTCCTGCCTTTTTTCCCCTTTTCCCTAATTTTTCCCCTTTTTTCCTGCTTTTTTCCCCCCTTTTTCCCTGTTTTTTTTTTCTATTTTCTTGCCTTTTTTTCCCCTCTTTTTCCTGGATTTTTTATCTTTTTTTCCCCCGTTTTTCCTGAATTTTTTCCTTTTTTTTTTTCCTTTTTCCTGCCTTTTTTTTCCCCCCTTTTTCCTGGATTTTTTCCCCCTTTTCCCTGTTTTTTTTCCCTATTTTCTGGCCTTTTTTCCCCCCTCTTTTTCCTGGATTTTTTCTTTTTTTGTTTCCTTTTTTCCTGGATTTTTTCCTCTTTTTTTTTTCTTCCCTTTTTCCTGCCTTTTTTTTTCCCCTTTTTTCCTGTTTTTTTTTCTCCTTTTTTCCTCATTTTTTTCCTTTTTCCCTTTTTTTTTTTCCTATTTTCCTGATTTTTTCCCCCTCTCTTTCCTGGATTTTTTCTCTGTTTTTTCCCCATTTTTCCTGGATTTTTCTCTTTTTTTCCTCATTTTTCCTGAATTTTTCTCTCTTTTTTTCCTTTTTTCCTGGATTTTTCTCTTTTTTTCCTTTTTCCTGTTTTTTCCCTTTTTCCTGTTTTTCTATTTTCCTGCCTTTCCCCTCTTTTCCTGGATTTTCTCTTTTTTTCCCATTTTTCTGGATTTTTTCCTTTTTTTCCCCTTTTTCCTGCTTTTTTTCCTTTTTCCTGCTTTTTCCCCCTTTTTCCTGTTTTTTCCTTTTTCCTGCCTTTTTCCTGGATTTTTTCTCCTTTTTTTCCCCATTTTTCCTGGATTTTTTCTCTTTTTTTTCCCCATTTTTTCTGATTTTTTTCTCTTTTTTTCCCTTTTTTCCTGTATTTTTTTTCCTTTTTTCCTGTTTTTTTCCCCTTTTTTCCTGTTTTTTTTTCTATTTTCCTGCCTTTTTCCCCCCTCTTTTTCCTGCCTTTTTCCCCCCTCTTTTTCCTGGATTTTTTCTCTTTTTTTTCCCATTTTTCCTGCTTTTTTTCCTCCTTTTTTCCTCATTTTTTTCCTTTTTCCCTGTTTTTTTTTTTCCTATTTTCCTGATTTTTTCCCCCTCTTTTTCCTGGATTCTTTCTCCTTTTTTCCCTTTTTTCTGATTTTTTTCTCTTTTTTTTTTTCCTTTTTTCCTGGATTTTTCCTCTTTTTTTTTTCTTCCCTTTTTCCTGCCTTTTTTTCCCTTTTTTCCTTGTTTTTATTTTCTATTTTCCTGCCTTTTCCCCCCTCTTTTTCCTGGATTTTTTCTCTTTTTTTTTTCCCTTTTTTCCTTCTTTTTTCCCCCTTTTTTCCTCATTTTTTTGCTCCTTTTTTTCCCTGTTTTTCCCTTTTTTCCTCTCCTTTTTCCCCCTGAAATTTTTAAACCCCCCAAAAATCAGAATAAACCCCCCAAAAATCAGAATAAAATCCCCCAAAATCCCCATAAAAATCAGAATAAAAGTCCCAATAAAATCCCAATAAAAATCCAAATAAAATCCCAATAAAACCCCCCAAAAATCAGAATAAAACCCCCCAAAATCCCAATAAAAATCCAAATAAAATCCCAATAAAAATCCAAATAAAACCCCTAAAAAATCAGAATAAAAAACCCCAAAAAATCCAAATTAAACCCCCCAAAATCCCAATAAAAATCAGAATAAAACCCCCCAAAAAATCCAAATTAAAACCCCAAAAAATCAGAATAAACCCCCCCAAAATCCCAATAAAAATCCAATAAAAACCCAAATAACCCCCCCCAAAATCCCAATAAAAATCCCAATAAAACCCCCAAAAATCAGAATAAGAACCCCCCAAAATCCCAATAAAAACCAGAATAAAACCCCCAAAAAATCAGAATAAAAACCCCAATAAAACCCCCAAAAATCCCAATAAAAATCCCAATAAAAATCCAATTAAAAACCCCATAAAAATCCAAATAAAATCCCAATAAAAATCAGAATAAAAAGCCCCAAAAATCCGAATAAAAACCCCAATAAAAATCCCAATAAATCCCCCCAAAATCCCAATAAAAATCCCAATAAAAATCCAATAAAAATCCAAATAAAATCCCCAAAAATCAGAATAAAATCCCCCAAAAAATCAGAATAAAACCCCCCCAAAAATCCAAATAAAAACCCAATAAAAATCCAAAAAAAATCCCAATAGAAATCCCAATAAAACCCCCAAAATCCCAATAAAAATCCAAATAAAATCCCAATAAAACCCTCAAAAATTCCGATAAAAATCCCAATAAAAATCCAAATAAAACCCCCCAAAAATCCCAATAAAAATCCCAATAAAACCCCCAAAAAATCAGAATAAAAATCCCCAAAAATCAGAATAAAAACCCCCAAAATCCCAATAAAAATCCCAATAAAACTCCCCAAAAATCCCAATAAATATTCCAATAAAACCCCCCAAAAATCCCAATAAAAATCCAAATAAAATCCCAATAATAATCCAAATAAAGTCCCAATAAAAATCCAAATAAACCCCCCAAAAAATCCAAATTAAACCCCCAAAAAATCAAAATAAATCCCCCAAAAAATCAGAATAAAAATCCCAATAAAATCCAAAATAAACCCCCAAAAATCCAAATAAATCCCCCCCAAAATACCAATAAAAATCCAATAAAAATCCAAATAAAATCCCAATAAAAATCCAAATTAAAAACCAAAAAATCAGAATAAAATCCTCCAAATTTCCCATAAAACCCCCAAAAAATCAGAATAAACCCCCCCAATCCCAACTTTTCCACATTCCCAGGAATTTTCTCTCACCTGGAGCTCCCAGAGCAGCTTCAGGCACCGTTCCCAACCCTGCTGATGCCTCCGGGTGCCTCTTCCTGCCCTTTTTATCCCCTGGGAAATCGAGGAAGTTCCTCCTTTTTATGCAAATCAAGGCCAGGAAATGAGGGAAAAAAAACCTGCTGGGAAGGGAGGAGGAAATTGGGATTTTCCACCTTTTTTTCCTGGTTTGGGAGGGGGAAAATTGGATTTTTTAAGGGTTTTTTTGGGTTTTTTTTTGGTTTTTTTTTAACAGGAATTTCCAGAGTATTGAAAAATTAAATTAAAAAAAAAAGAAATTAAAATGAAATTAAAATTCAGATAAAATTGAAATAAAATTCAAATAAAATCCAAATAAAATTGAGATAAAATAAAATAAAAGAAATTCAAATAAAATAAAATAAAATAGATTCAAAGAAAATCAAATTCAAATTCAAATGAAATAAAATCAAATTCAAATGAAATAAAATAAAAATAAAATAAATTTAAATAAAATCAAATTAAAATGAAATAAATTCAAATAAAATAAGTTCAAATAAAATCACATTCAAATAAAATAAAATCAAAATAAAAGAAAATAAATTCAAATAAAATAAAATTCAAATAAAATCAAATTCAAATAAAATAAAAATAAAATAAAATAAATTCAAATAAAATAAAATTCAAATAAAATCAAATTCAAATAAAATAAAAATAAAAAAATAAATTAAAAAAAGAAATTAAAATGAAAGTCAAAATAAAAGAAAATAAAAAATTCAAAAAAATCAAATTCAAATGAAACAAAATCAAAATAAAAGAAAATAAAAAATAAAAAAAACCAAAATAAATAAAACTAAAAAATTCAAATAAAATCAAATTAAAATAAAATCAAATAAAATTAAAAGATAATTAAAAAAGTCAAATAAAATTCAAATAAAATCAAATCAAAATAAATAAAATTAAAAATTCAAATAAAATAAAATTCAAATAAAATCAGAATAAAATAAAATAAATATTCAAATAAAATCAAATTCAAATAAAATAAAAAAAATAAAATATATTCAAAAAAAAGAAATTAAAATGAAAGTCAAAATAAAAGAAAATAAAAAATTCAAAAAAATCAAATTCAAATGAAATAAAATAAAAATAAAATAAAATTTAAAATTCAAATCAAATTCAAATAAAAATAAAATAAATTAGAAAAATACAAATCAAATGAAAATAAAAATATAACAAAATTAAAAAATTTAAGTAAAATAAAACCAAAATAAAATAAAATCCAAAAAATTGAACGCAAATAAAATTCAAAATAAAATGAAATTTAAAAAATTGAAATAAAATAAAATTCAAATCAAATCAGAGCAAAATAAAGTAAAATTAAGAAATTCAAATCAAATAAAAGTAAAATAATATTTAAAAATTCAAATAAAATCAAAGAAAAAAATTTAAACATTCAAATAAAATAAAATTCAAAATAAAATAAAAAAAATTGGAATAAGATAAAGTTCAAAATAAAATAAAAAAATTCAAATCAAATAAAACTAAAAAATAAAAAAAAGCAAAATCAAAAAAAATTAAAAAATTCAAATAAAATGAAACTCAAAATTCAGATAAAATTAAACCAAAAATCAAATCAAAATAAAATAAAAAATTCAAATGAAATCAAATTCAAATAAAATTCCAATAAAATAAAATTCCAATAAAATAAAAAGTTCAATTAAAATAAAATTTAAAATACAAATAAAATCAAAATGAAATCAAATAAAAAATTCAAAGAAAATAAAATTCAAAATAAATAAAAGTAAAAAATTAAAATAAAATTAAATTCAAATAAAATTCAGACGAAATTAAAAAATAAAACTCAGATAAAGTTAAAATAAAAGAAATTTCTAATAAAATAAAATAAAATAATTCAAAAAAAATAAAATAAAAAAAATTAAAAATTTGAATAAAATTAAATAAAAATGAAATTAAAAAATGAAACAAAATTCAAAATAAATCAAATTCAAAATAAATCAAATTCAAAATAAATGAAATTAAAAATAAATCAAATTAAAAATTAATCAAATTAAAAATAAATCAAATTCAAAATAAATAAAATTTAAAAAATCAAATCAAATAAAATTCAAAATAAATCAAATTCAAAATAAATCAAATTCAAAATAAATCAAATCAAATAAAAAGTAAATCAAATTTAAAAAATCAAATCAAATCAAATTAAAAATAAGTAAAATTAAAAATAAATCAAATTAAAAAATCAAATAAAAGTCAAAATTAAATAAAATTAAAAAAAAATTAAAAATACATCAAATTAAAAATAAATAAAATTAAAAAGAAAATTAAAAAATCAAATCAAATTAAAAATAAATCAAATTTAAAAAATCAAATAAAATCAAATTAAAAAAGAAATTAAAAATAAAAAAATTAGAAATAAATCAAATTAAAAATAAATCAAATTAAAAATAAATCAAATTAAAAATAAATCAAATTAAAAATAAATAAAATTTAAAAATAAAATGAAAAATAAATAAAATTTTAAAAATCAAATAAAATCAAATTAAAAATAAATAAAATTAAAAATTTCAAATAAAATCAAACTAAAAATAAATAAAATCAAATTAAAAATCAAATCAAATCAAACTAAAAATAAATAAAAGTAAAAAAATAAACCACCTGGGCTATTCCTGGCAGTTGTGAGTCACGGAAGGGCGGCTGCAGAAACTCCTGGGAATTGTTGTGGGAGAAATTGCGGGAATTCCCCTCCAGGTTGGACTTTGATTCCAGGTTTTCATTTCCCTCTTCCGGCTTGGGATGGGTTGGGATTGGGATTGGGATTGGGTTGGGAAAAGGGAGGGGGAAAATTGGGATATTTGGGGGTTTTTTGGGGGTTAAAAAAGGAGAAAATTAAAATTAAGTTAAATTTAATTAAATTAAAGTTAAATTAAATTGAATTAAATTAAAATTAAATTTAAATTAAATTAAAATTAAATTAAATTAACATTAAAATAAATTAAATTAAAATTAAAATTAAATTAAAATTAAATTAAATTTAAAATTAAAATTAAATGAAAATAAAATCAAAATAAAATAAAATAAAAATTAAAATAAACTCAAATTAAAATTAAGTTGAAATTAAATTAAAATAAAATTACATTAAAATGAAATAAAAATAAAATCAAATGAAAATCAAATGAAAATGAAATAAAATGAAAATAAAATAAACTGGAAATGAAATGAAAATCAAATGAAAATGAAATAAAAATCAAATCAAAATCAAATAAAATCAAAATAAAAAAATCAAAATAAAAAATTCAAATAAAATGAAAATCAAAAAATAAAATAAAATAGAAATCAAAAAATAAAATGAAATCAAAATAAAATTCAAATAAAATAAAATTAAATAAAATTCAAATCAAATAAAATTCAAATAAAATAAAATTAAAATGAAATAAAATTCAAGTAAAATAAAATTAAATACAATTCAAATCAAATTAAATTGAAATCAAATCAAATTAAAATCAAATCCCAATCAAACCAAATTAAAAACCCCTCCTTTTAATTAAAAAGATGAAATTGAATTCAATTCCTTCACTCCCCAGGAAATTCCTTTTATTAATGAATCCTTTTATTAATGAATCCTTTTATTAATGAATCCTTTTATTAATTAATCCTTTTATTAATTAATCCACACCAGAAACAAACAATTCACAACCAAACTCTTCCCAGAGCAACTTTAAACTCCAATTATTTTAAAATTCATTTATTAAACTTTAAATTATTAAAAAAACACCTTAATTCCTTTAAAATTTAATTAAATTTAATCCAACTTTAACATTAAACTTGAATTAAAACCCAACATTCCACGGGAAAAAGAGGGAAATTCCCAAAGATTTGGAGGAAAAATCAGGAATTCCTTTAAAATTTAATGAAATTCCTGCAAAATTTAATGAAATTTAATCCAACTTTAATATTAAACTTGAATTAAAACCCAACATTCCATGGAAAAAGAGGGAAATTCCCCCCATTCCTCTCACCTGGCCTTCCAATATTTCAGTAAATTGTTGGATTGGGAGCAAATTCCCGGATTTTTCCTCTTCCTTTGGAGGTTTTTTTGGGAATTTGGAGGTTTTTTATCCGGATTTTTCCACTCTGCCGCCACCTCTTCCTGCAATTCCAGCGGCAGCTCCCGGAAAACTTCGGGATCCACCCCTGGAGGGGCCACAATTCCCGATTTTCCTTGGGATGGGCCCGGTAAAACCGGAATTTCCGCTCCTTTCCCGTCGTTTTCTTCGGGAATTTTCGGGATTTTCGGGGCTCTGTCGTCGTTTCCGGAGGAAATTCCCTCTTTTCCTTCCTGGAGGGAGAAGAAAATTCCAGGAAATTCAGTGAGAATTCCCAGATTTCCAAGGATTCCCAAATCCCTAAATTTTTGGGATGGAAAAGTTTGGGATAGAGGAAAAAATTCCCGGGATTTAGAGGGATTTGATCCCAATTTGAAGCATTCCCAGATTCCCAAATCCTTAAAAATTTTGTGATGGAAAAATTTGGGATAATGGGAAAAATTCCCAGGATTTGATCCTTAAAATCCCTAAATTTTTGGGATGGAAAAATTTGGGATAGAAGAAAAAATTCCCAGGATTTGATCCTTAAAATCCCTAAATTTTTGGGATGGAAAAATTTGGGATAAGGGGAAAAAAATTCCCGGGATTTGGAGGGATTTGATCCCAATTTGAAGCATTCCCAGATTCCCAAATCCCTACAATTTTGGGATGGAAAAATTTGGGATAAGGGGAAAAATTCCCAGGATTTGATCCTTAAAATCCTCCCAATTTGAAGCATTCCCAGATTCCCAAATCCCTCAAATTTTGGGATGGAAAAATTTGGGAGAATGAGAAAAAATTCCCAGGATTTGGAGGGATTTGATCCCAATTTGAAGCATTCCCAGATTCCCAAATCCCTCAAATTTTTGGGATGGAAAAACTTGGGATAGAGGGAAAAATTCCCAGGATTTGATCCTTAAAATCCCTAAATTTTTGGGATGGAAAAACTTGGGATAGAGGGAAAAATTCCCAAGATTTGATCCCAATTTGAAGCATTCCAAGATTTCCAAATCCTTAAATTTTTGGGGATGGAAAAACTTGGGATAATGGGAAAAAAATCCAGGATTTGATCCCAATTTGAAGCATTCCCAGATTCCCAAATCCCTACAATTTTTGGGATGGAAAAACTTGAGATAATGAGAAAAATTCCCAGGATTTGATCTTAAATCCTCAATTTGAAGCATTCCCAGATTCCCAAATCCTTAAATTTTTGGGATGGAAAAATTTGGGATAAGGGGAAAAATTCGAGGGATTTGATCCCAATTTGGAGCATTCCCAGATTCCCAAATCCCTACAATTTTTGGGATGGAAAAACTTGAGATAGAGGGAAAAATTCCCAGGATTTGATCCTTAAAATCTCCCAATTTGAAGCATTCCCAGATTCTCAAATCCCTACAATTTTTGTGATGGAAAAATTTGGGATAAGGGGAAAAAAATTCCCAGGATTTGATCCCAATTTGAAGCATTCCCAGATTCCCAAATCCCTAAAAATTTTGGGATAGAAAAACTTGAGATAAGGGGAAAAAATTCCCAGGATTTGATCCCAATTTGAAGCATTCCCAGATTCCCAAATCCCTCAAATTTTTGGGATGGAAAAACTTGGGATAGAGGGAAAAATTCCCAGGATTTGATCCTTAAAATTTCTCCCAATTTGAAGCATTCCCAGATTCCCAAATCCCTAAAATTTTGGGATGGAAAAACTTGAGATAATGAGAAAAATTCCCGGGATTTGATCCCAATTTGAAGCATTCCCAGATTCCCAAATCCTTAAATTTTTGGGGATGGAAAAATTTGGGATAATGGGAAAAATTCCCAGGATTTGATCCCAATTTGAAGCATTCCCAGATTCCCAAATCCCTCAAATTTTTGGGATAGAAAAACTTGGGATAGAGAGAAAAATTCCCAGGATTTGATCCCAATTTGAAGCATTCCAAGATTCCCAAATCCCTACAATTTTTGGGATGGAAAAACTTGAGATAATGGGAAAAATTCCCAAGATTTGATCCTTAAAATCCCTCCCAATTTGAAGCATTCCCAGATTCCCAAATCCCTCAAATTTTTGGGATGGAAAAACTTGGGATAAGGGGGAAAAATTCGAGGGATTTGATCCCAATTTGAAGCATTCCCAGATTCCCAAATCCCTCAAATTTTTGGGATAGAAAAACTTGGGATAGAGAGAAAAATTCCCAGGATTTGATCCCAATTTGAAGCATTCCAAGATTCCCAAATCCCTACAATTTTTGGGATGGAAAAACTTGGGATAGAGGGAAAAATTCCCAGGATTTGATCCTTAAAATCCCTAAATTTTTGGGATGGAAAAATCTGGGATAAGGGGGAAAAATTCGAGGGATTTGATCCCAATTTGAAGCATTCCCAGATTCCCAAATCCCTCCAATTTTTGGGATGGAAAAATTTGGGATAGAGGGAAAAAATTCCCAGGATTTGATCCCAATTTGAAGCATTCCCAGATTCCCAAATCCCTATAATTTTTGGGATGGAAAAATTTGGGATAAGGGGAAAAAAATTCCCAGGATTTGATCCCAATTTGAAGCATTCCCAGATTCTCAAATCCCTACAATTTTTGTGATGGAAAAATTTGGGATAAGGGGAAAAAAATTCCCAGGATTTGATCCCAATTTGAAGCATTCCCAGATTCCCAAATCCCTAAAAATTTTGGGATAGAAAAACTTGAGATAAGGGGAAAAAATTCCCAGGATTTGATCCCAATTTGAAGCATTCCCAGATTCCCAAATCCCTACAATTTTTGGGATGGAAAAACTTGGGATAGAGGGAAAAATTCCCAGGATTTGATCCTTAAAATTTCTCCCAACTTGAAGCATTCCCAGATTCC